AACTTTATGAATTAGTCATGTCAGTGAAGGAGGGTTTACCACACATATTTTGCTGATGCGATGCGACCCAAAAACTACTACGAATCATATTAGTCGTTAAATACTATGTGTTTAAATGTAGAATGTCGTCTTGTTTTCATTGTTTCAGAAAGTAATTGGTCTACGTTGCAACGTGTTTGCAGTCACGTGGGTACTTAATCACTGACCGTCGACCCGTAAGGAGCAGATCATTAAACCGGTACTTGTGTAAAAAGGCGTGAACGAACACGGTTAATCCACAACTTGGATGATCTGCCCATGGATAATCCAGAGTATACCCGTGTGCTCCTAGTGGAGGCCACCCATACCTGACGGGGCTGGCGGTCGCTGGTGGCGTGTACTACGGCGGCCTTGAGGGCGCCATCATCGGGCCCATTCTGCTCTGCACACTACTTGTCGCCTTCAACATCTACAGCTCCATGCTCTCCAGCCCCAGCACTCCCACCAACCCGCTCGCCACTCCCTTCGAGCATACAGCCGACTTCTTACCCAAAGAGTAAGTAGGAGCGAATAAGCTAATGCAGCCAAGAATCTTCTTGGTTCTTTCGGTAAAGTCACGTAGAAGGGAAGTAATAAAATAATAAAAATGAAACATAATAAAACAATTCTCACGACGTTTCGGCCGCAACGCAAGCAGCCGTCCTCAGGTGAAAACCAGGTCTGTCGAGGCGACAGCGTCTGACGCTGTCGCCTCGACAGACCTGACGCTGTCGCCTCGACAGACCTGACGCTGTCGCCTCGACAGACCTGACGCTGTCGCCTCGACAGACCTGGTTTTCACCTGAGGACGGCTGCTTGCGTTGTGGCCGAAACGTCGTGAGAATTGTTTTATTATGTTTCATTTTTATTATTTTATTATTTCCCTTCTACGTGACTTTACCGAAAGAACCAAGAAGATGAATCCCTGCAGCCAAGAATGTCGCCATAGCCATCTGTGGTTGCACGTGCACGTACATCAGCTATCAAAGAGAAAGTACATTACAAGTGTCTGATCTGATGTGCAGAGTGCAAAACGGAAACAACCAAGTTCCTTTGTTGAACATAGGGTGTTCAACTTATGAAGACTGCAATAAAGTTGAATGCAGTAAAGTTTTGCCAATAACATCATGAGGCCTCCTTTGCCAGTAGCAAAATATAATAGGATTTTTACCCTTTTTTCTGGCAACAGAAAAAAAGGCGCCTTTTGGCGTCATCTGGTCGAACACCATGAGACTCGGCTCTAAAGAAAGCTGTCTCTGGTGTGGATCAATCAATTTCAAGGACAATGCATACATTATCAGTGTATTTTGTTTGCATTCTGACTGCAGGTATTGTGGTTAATGTGAACATAATTCCTTGTAAAAAGGTTTCAGTTTTGTTGCCAGAAAAAAGGGTCAAAACCTATTATTTTGCCAATAACTTCGGCTTTATAAACAGCACTGATATTTTACGTAGCATCATCAATTGGTAAAAAAACAGAATCCTATAAGTTTCGTTGATAATGTTTCTGTGCAAAGCGGTGCGTTGGGACGAGGGTTCAATCTAGGCCACTACGAATTTGGCAACAACAACCATCTGTGGCTTCTCAGCCTTTAATTGGTCAGTCATATTTTTGGGTTTCACTCTTGATATCAATGTCAGCCAGTTGTTGCTGGCCAGTGTCTCTTAAATCATCGTCGTAACATGCCAAATATGAGGAGAGATTGGGGTGGTAAGCACATTGCACGATGAACCCTACGACCTGACTGATTCCCAGCCATTGCTTGTGAGGTGGCGAATGATATCTGAACTGGTCCTAAGCACCCTCATCACTAAATTCCACTGACCAGCATGGTGAAGTATGGTTAAACAACACCCATGACCAACTCTGTGGGGAGGCCTTCATCCGGCAGTGTATTGGCAAACGTTTGTTTTCTTGTGTTACGTGACATAATCTTGTGTGACCTTGTCGATGTGTTTCTGCCAGGGTACCCAATGAAGGCACCCAGCAGCAGTGAGAGCCTTATGGTGTCATCTTCAAATACTGTTCTGCAAGTCACAAAGAGACCAAAGCTGTCGAAACAATAACAGGTTGGCTTCCATGTTCACGGTTGTATGCAAATGGATACCGTATATGCCTACATATATAAAAGGCTCTTTGCACTTTATGCATGTTTCAAGGTCACTAAATGAAAATGCTCTGGACACATCAGAGTATAAAAGTGGTTTGGTCATAGGACCCCTTGTATCCGAGCACCCCATATTCGCCCAAAAGTAGTTGGTTAGTTCTCTCGCTGGTGCTGCCATGATGTGATCTGTACATAAACATGCTTGAGGTATTATCTAGCTTCCATCTTCTTGCAGGGGTAGTTAGGAGTTAAAACCCTGAAATCCCCCTTGGGGTATATATTTGGAGAAAAATGTAAAATGGACTGGAGTGATTCGCATCTTAGAATCTATTGTTTGGCAAGTTCAAGACATTAATAGAATTTGCAGAACTAGGCCATGCATTATAAATTGTTTATATGGATTCTTTTATTCAAAAATGTATACATATATTTAATTTACCTTTGGTGTTCAGTTATCTATATATTTACACTAATTTTATATATGTGCGTGTTGTGTGTATTTGTCAAATACTGCTTTTGTTCAAGGCATGAGTTATCGTGCACATTAATTTAATTATTTATTCACATACGGCTTTTATATTTTAATCTTAAGGTCAGGACACCAGTCCAGGCAAGGCAATCTGTGTGTGCACTAATGGATGTACTCTTTAATGTGCATGGTGTGTGTGCAATTGAGTTAAGATTTGTTATTTCTGGCCACTTTATGGCTGGCCTCCACTGTATTTCTACTGTTATAGCATATATCATATACAATCATGTCTACAATGAATACAAATCGATTAATACGGCCATTGAAACAAGTAATTTGGCGCTCTAAAAGGATGGGGTAAATGCACATCGTTCGTGTGGGTTGCAATTCTAACTATCATGCAAAGAAGTGCAATAATTTACATAATTCAGTCACTTTCCAATTAAACTTGTGTCGAGGAAATTCCCTGGAAAATGTGTTCAAAGAAAATAAAATAAGGCATATTTTACTCTCGTGCTTGTACAACGGAAATGCAAGACAAATCCTTGGCATATCCGGGTTTGTACGGTGTATTAGTATGCAAGCTGTTCAAAGCAATTAAGTATCACACACATGAACAAGTGTGTATTTTCTGCAAACACAATATCGCATCTTGTCAGTTGTAAGCCTGCTAATGTTTTGTTGTTCTGGAACCATGCTGGTCACACTGCCAAAGTTTGGTCAAATCGGCAGTGAATTATTCAATTAAGATACAATTGAGGCAGAAAAATAGTTGAACAGAACTAGCGGATCTGTTTATTAATATTTTATATATATATACAATCATGAACGAATGTTGTCAGCAGGACTGTCAAGTAATTTCATGTCTGTCTCATGACAGAAACGTACCATGTGGTATGTTTTTTTTGCACTGAGCTGTTAGCTATGCTGTATAACAAAATTATTGTGAATTATTCCTTCAGTTGCCTTTGGAGGAGAAAATATTTTACTTCGGTTACATAGTTTCAGACGTTTTTATCTTTTAACAGTGTTCATGCAGATGCTTTTACAGAAATTGAAGCATGGAGTTGATCGCATTAAAATATATAATTCAACAATGTTAGGCAATGTTTTAATGTTGACCTGGCGCATTATGATAAACATGATTAATATGAATGTTCTGAGTAAACGATGAGCTTGGTGGTCGCCTTTGCTGTTTGCCTTTGTATAAAAAAAATGATATCCCGATACCTTTCACGGCAACAGGCTAGTTTGTGTGCCTGCATCGTGACTGGGATTGACACCTCTTGAGATGCAGAAAAAATGTGGGATGTGTGGGAAGAATATATCTCCAAGGGAGGGAAAACATGCAAATTCATTGTCTTGAGCAGTGGTATTATTTCGCAACTTACAAAAACCGGGCCTTTCATTTTCACGGGAAGACTGCCGGATTTCCCAGGACAGATGCTTCAAACAGAGCAGGACATGTGGCAATCCTAATCATGGCAAAATTAAACATCTTCAAAGGAGTCCATTACATCTTCTGCAGTTTGGGAAAATATCAGACTTCATTTCGACTGGAGGCGTCTGATTAGCTATGTCACTCTTTTTCACGGATGTCCGGTTGAAAATGTCATTGGAGTTGCACTGTGAAAGCCATGTTATATCAACTGCCGTCGATTTGGCCTCGCAGCCATGGAAGTAGTGGTAGTTTCGATGCAGCAAATACCCTTCCGAGGTGAATCTTTGGGCAGCACAATACTAATGAACCCATATACACTGTATAACATGGATTACTCCACAATATACTCCCCACATTCTAGATTTTAAGCTTTCGTGACTGCAAGGATGCATATTCTTAGGTTTTTTCGGTAAAGTCACGTAGGTAAAAATTTTAAATTTAAATTAATAAAAGTAAAATAAAAAAAAATCACGTTTCGGAGGCAACACACAGCTGTATCAATCTCTAATTTACTTGATACGGCTGTCGTGGCTGTGACAGTTCCACCTGAAGACGGAAGCTTGTGTTGCCTCCGAAACGTCGTGATTTTTTATTTTATTTTATTTTACTTTTATTAATTTAAATTTTTTACCTACGTGACTTTACCGAAAAAAAAAACCTAAGAATATACTCCCCACACACGATAGTGTGAACCCTGTATTCTCAATATGCTGTGGGATAATCCATTTTTTTACAAGGTGGGACTTTCGTCATGAGTCTTAAACGTATTCTGCAAGTCTCTGCCTCTTGCCTTGCACTGTATTTTGCCATAAAATAAAGCTTTCGCGAGCACTCTAAATCAGGAATTCTCAACGCGTTTTTTTTATTAAAGCCAGGTTTTCTTTACACTGAATATCAACACGTACAATAACTTCTGATCCCACTTTATAGTTTCATTGAATAGCATATACGTATTGTGTTGCAAAACAATTCAAATGAAACAATTAGTGCAGCATGTTAAATTAATGTTTATTCTGCTATAAAATGAACCCATAATTGTCCGTGTTTCTGTTTTGGATACACCAGACTGGTTGGCTCAAGTATTATCGATTATATAACATTCTTGCCTTACTACGAAGTGCATTCAGTACAATCATTATTGCCTGTATAATTTTTACACATTGCTAACGAGTGAAAATTTTACACGTGCAGATTCAACAAGGAATCTCTCTGTAGCTATTGCAGGCATTAAAGGCTGGCCATTTAAGATATATGGCGTTTTCTTGTTTGCTTAGGTAAGACAATGTATTTCTGGAACTACAAGGCCACGCTGATGTGAAAGGAAGAACACTTTTTAGTGAAATCAAAATGTTAGCAGTGCTGTTAATTAATTGTACAAAGTGACCCACATTTCCTTATACAAAGCACGGGGAGACTCATTTGGCAACTGGTGGCTAAATCGTGCTACCACTGGCTCGGTAAGAGTGCCATCACACGTATTTGTTGAGCCAGGCGAGCAGATCGGCACGTGCTTCCTTAATGTGCTGCTCGTCGGCCGGACTGATGTCCTCGTGCTTGCGGTGCACGAAGCCGTGCGTCTGTCTGGGAAACACCTTCACCTGCACGTCCACCTGGCACTCAACCGCAAGGCGTTTCTCCAGCGAGTGCACCTAAGGGCCACGCGGCACGACGGGAACACGCACACGCAGTTTCCGTTGTACGATGCCGAACGTTAAATCTCCAGAACATTCAGATATTTAAAAAACACAAAGCAGAGGGAATGTAATTGCACCAGGTGTTATCGCATATTCTAAGCTGCAGGGTTGAACACTATCGATGTGTGCTTTACCATGTCCAGTGGAATGAACGTGTCATTTTCTCCAAAGATGTATAAGACGGGATTCTTGAGTGCATACCGGTGCTCCTCCTCTCGAATGATACCTGAAGCATGCAGGTGTAGCCAGAAAATAAATTGCACCTGCCATCAAAATGACATCCTCACATCCATCCGCTGGAAATTATTATTATGAATACAATCAACGTGAATTGTATTATTGGCTTATTCGGCTTCTGCATTTGGAGATTTTTACCGTAGCAAGCCACACCGGCTCGCAGCTCGGAGTTTGTGAGCAGCAGGTGGTGGACGGCCAGGCCTCCCCAGCAGAAACCCAAGACCCCAATCCGCTGCACCCCACACTCCGTCTTCAGGTAATCCATCGCGGCATCGATCTCTCTAGTATAAGTACGTACAGTACACACACACACACAACTTACATGGGTTTGGCACAGGGCAGCAGCTAGACACTTATAGGTGTCATTGGTGTGTGGGTGTGAAAACACAATATGGAGGAATTCACACTGGTGCATAATAAGACATTCACACATGTATACGGTGAGACAAACGTTTGTCGCGCAAAGCTTTCAAAATACATAGGAAGGGTGTAACGATTCAACCACCCACCGATTTGATGAATGGTAATTATTAAATTAACATTAAGTATTTTTTTTGTTGTGAAGTTAGCACCCTCTGCTTTAGATATGGGTGTAAACAAGCATTAAACCGTGCATTTAACGGGAGCTAAATATATATTTAGACGGTGTTCAACGTAGGGACGTTTTATTACACTACTCAAGAGTTCATCAAGTTTACCAAAGGGCAGACACTTTAGGCAACTGCAGAGTTCACATTTCAGATTTGCATAGTTCATATGAGGTATAATTTTGAAAGTAATACATCCTTTTTTCTCAAATATATGGTTTATGGAAATAGTGAATGTTTTGACACATACTAAACTGAATGCACCATATTCTTGGTTCTTTCGGTAAAGTCACGTAGATAGAACACAAAAATTAAAAGCAAAAAACCCACGACGTTTCGATCGCAACACAAGCAGTATTCTTCAGGTGAAGAGAAAAGAGGGGGCAAGCCTCCAAATGTAGCTGCTTATAAGGGCTCCAGAATGAGTGGACGGGGGAAAGGGCTGCGCAAGAGACGAAGAGACAGAGGAGGTGGGGCAGAGATAGGGAGGGTAGAGATGGGGGGAGGGAGGAATTGCACCTCAGTACACCCATCAGACAATAGGGAGGGGAAGGAATGGGGATAATGCACCATTCCCATCTCAGCATGGATGAAAAAGTCCGTTCATCCACGCCCATTCAACATGATGATATTGTATGAACATTTCTCCCCCATAAAGAATGGGGGACAAATTATTAACTGCATTTTTGAGGTACAGTCCTAGTTGGTTGACATATTATGCTCCGGTAAGAAAAGGTAATTTCATTGTTTACGCTAGCGATTACCCACACCTGTAAAGTGTCTGACACGTACCTCCGAAATTGTGGAACTGCGAATGACATTTGAAGCGGCGGCAATTTGAAACGCAACAAAGGCCCAAACACATGAGTAGAAACCCATTTAACAACAATAATAACGAAATGTCCTCTTACTTGGCGATGTTGGTGGGCTGTTTGTCCTTTCGCCACTCCTGAAAGGTGCTCCAGTCATGGCTGGGGCCCCAAGGCTCCTTCCCCAGGAAAAAGTCTGGGACGATGCACCTACCAGGCCACATGCCACGCGCCAGACGGCAACGTTCGTACGACCCGCGGTTAATGGCCCATGCATTGACAGCTATCAATTTAAAAAAAAAACCTGTTCCAGCTGCTGAGCCAACTTGTTCAGGGGTGGGGGAAATATCTGCTGCCAAGTGAACATGCCATAACGAGAAAGCTGTATTTCTCCATATGAAAAGACAAAAACAGTTCCATCGTTTAGGACTAACTAAAGTTAACATAACTTAATCATGTCCAATTCTGTATTAACTGCATTGTTTTTAATTATATTCCTGGTAAGGTTCTGCTGACAATGTCCAATAGCCATACAAAAAAATCACTCAACATAAGTATTGAGATATTGTGTAATCAATGTACAACATGCATTACACACCGATTTAATGTGTGTATGAACCATGATCAATCCACGGCTGGGTGAAGGCCTCCTGCGAAGTGGTAATCCACATTGCGCCTGACTGCACAAGAGCTGATTGCATAGCGAAATCTCCTCGGTGGACGCTCTCCGGGACGATTCTCATAACTTGGCTTACCACCACCCCGTAGTGCATGAATTATTAACGGTGGTTTATTCTTTATTGTAAATGGCCATACATTTTAAGCTGGAATTTCCCTGAAATATAATTTAAGTATTGTCCAGTGGTTTCGTATTCTCATGCACGTAATTTTTTATTATTAATCTAGAATGTTCAATCTACGTGCTGTGCTGAATGCTTTAACATTGTGTAATATTCACAAAGGAAATGCTGCCTCAAGTAATTGGGAAGGCTTACTTTTCAGCAGAAAACACGTTCCTTCGGAGTGGGCAGGTAGGAACTTGGTTGGACAGCGCATTCGTGCACGACAGACAAATAATCCCTGGTGGGTAGTGTGGAAGCTGTTGTTCCTACCTGTATAAGTGTAGTGTAGTGTGTAGGTTAAACGTTGAGTTTTATAAGGGCACCACGGGGTGACCAGCCCCTCCCCACCCAGCCCCACCCTCCCCACCCAGCCCCTCCCCCAACTGAATCACCTTAAGGCTGGGAATGTTGAAAGAAACACGAGGCAAAAAGATCCGCTTTTTTATTTTCAAGACTTCCATTTTATGAATGGAGCCACCCTCCCCCAGTTCCATTTTGTGAATGAAACATCGCCCAGTCTCCTCATTGGCCAGTCGCGGCAGTGCCCCGCCCCACCACTAACCCTCCACTCTACCAACACCAACCCACCGCTCCCATTGGTCGGCGCCCCCGAGCCAATGGGAGGGCTCTGGTGGGGCGGGGCCATGCACGACAGACAGACAAATAATCCCTGGTGGGCAGTGTGGAACTGTTGTTCCTACCTGGATTAACCTCGCCTCTGAACAAAGTAAGTAAGTAAGCAAGCAAACAACACACCTCCATGTATATCGCTGTCCCTCCAAGTAAAAATAAAAGTTTTTTTTTCACACATCCTATCAGCTACACGGCCTTTTGGCCGTACATATTTTAAGATGCATTTGTTCAACACAAGAAAACTCTGGATTGGTTCCGGCACATATGCAGTGTCTCATCCAGCAGTTGGACCAGGTGTCAATATAAAGGCCCCTTTACTATGAGTCGTAATACGGCGGCCATCTGGTGTTCTGCATATGCCTGGGCACCAAATATATATATAAACTACTTTGTACTGTACATTACACGACGATATTAGAACACCAACAGCAGTAACATGGGAATAAGCCATTCTCGTCTTGCGAATGGCAGCAATATGTTCAGATGCTAAATGCCAAAGCCGAGCTCTGTTAACCACGACGAGAGAGAGGGCTTCATGAGAGAGAGACTTCATCCAGCTGTGCCACTCCTCCCTTAAATGAGCACAGACTTTAGGGGTAGTTTTCCTCTCTGGTCCATGGGAATGTAATGACATACGTGAATCCTACTCCGGCCAGCCAGTCCGCGATGAAGCGAGTGTTGGGCAGCCTCCACCCATAGATGTCCTGGATGATGATGAGACCTCGATCCGAGGGCTGATCCCCATTGGCACCGGCCTGAGCCGCACTCAGGTAAGACTCCACGTGTCCCGCACGCACCTCCCTGCCATGCCCAATGTAGGGCATTACGTCTCCCAGCTCGCACGGACATGGATTGGCCTCGTTCGCCATCTCGATCGTCTTTCTCTTCTCGAGTCGAACTGGGGATTTAGCAGAACCTGGAGGGAGAGACATCACGTCGAGTACGTTCCAAAGTCAATGCCGGCATTCGTTGATGGTTGCCAAAGAACATCGAGTACAGGAGCAGCAGCAGCAGCACAACTCTATGCGAGGATGAACGCGCGTAAATAAGCCCCCCCCCCCTTCGTCACACGGCGTCACAAAAAGTCAGACCCCCCCCCTCAAATATGACGTCACAAAGCTCTGCCCCACCCCCCAAAAAAATAAAACATGCTTCAAATCGCTTTAAACGATTGTCATTGTAGTGCGTATTTAATGTGGCGCTGCACTCTGATGTTGTAGGAGAAAACATTTATTAAAAAAAGTCTATTTAACTAAGTAGAACGTGTTGTCTATATTTATTTAAAGTTGCGCATTTTGCTGTGACGTCACATTTCTCAACCCCCCCCCCCCCCCTAGGTGTGTGACGTCATTTATGGACGGCCCCTAACTCACCGATTGCTCCGGAATTATAAGAGGCTCCGCAAAGTAAGAGACTCACTCCAAATCTGTGTCCGGTGTCAATAAAGACAAAAACCTCACCTTGCGAATTATAAGACGCACCTCCAGGGCTGAGTGGGGGGGTGGGGGTCACGTCTTATAATCCGGATATTACTGTGCTCGTATAATACATACTAGGTAAAGGCGCAGCTGTGCAGCAGCTTGCCCACGCTGCTGCTATGCTGCCAGAAGGGTCGACGAGAGTTCCTTTCTGGAGTGCTAGAGGCTATTGTGTGGCTGACTCTTCCACGCTGGCCAAACATCTCGGCAGAGGTGGAATCATGCCCACACTTTACCCCACATTTATACCGCTGGGGTGGACAAGAGGTGGTGGAGTTGGGGGGGGAGCAGGAAATTCGCCCCCATCGTTTCAACAGCCTCGCCCCGTGATGATGTAACACGGAATGTTTCAGCTCTCTTATCCACCCGCTCTTCCAAGGCGGCCTCCCTCCCAATGGGGCTTAGTTTGACCATCCTTCACCATGATTACAGCTTACACACAACGTGCTTGCCACCAATGAACCACCACGAGACCTTGGCTGATCTGGTCAAGGAGCATAAACCATCAATCACGCAAATTTCCGTCGTCTTTGCGGCAGCGGCTTCTGGCCGGCCATCGAGCACAAGACGGTCACCGCGTTGCGCGCTTTCAGATGAACTTCTGCGGCCGTCTGGAACGTTCTTCATTCACTGGAGCTATGCACTTTTAGATCGTCCGGATTGAAAACTCGTTTCTTTCGAATTGCTTTTTGTTTAGTTTTTTGTCCTTCCTCCCCCCCGCCCACCTCCGATTTGCATGGTTGGCTACGTACGGTGCGAAAGAAGTTCAACATTGTATGTGAGACAGCTATATTTCGACCAATATTTTGACCAATACAACGTTTGTGTGCCACACACCGTGATTGCAATGGGTGGAGCGCCATCTGCTGGTTAAATGCGCTACTGCACGTAGAGAACATGACACGTGCAGAGATGGTTAATCTGCAATCACATCCTTACAGAGTGATTCTCTTGTGTTCTGCATAGGAGGTACGGAATGTGTATTTTTTATTTTTGCATGTTGCAATGTGTCCAGGAGCATCCCCCCCTTTTTCCTGATGACGACCGCTTGTGTTGCGATCGAAACGTCGTAGTTTTTTTGTTATTTTCTTTCAACCTATCTACGTGACTTTACCGAAAGACCCAAAGAATATGAATTCCTGCAGTCACAAAAGCTTTAAGTCAAGATTTACTAATTGGCTGTGTCGGGTGGTGGTGGGTTTAACGACACATTTATATTCACGCCAAAAATCTCACATACATCATACGCACATACATCAGTCACACACATACATCACAGACATCACACGCACATACATCAATCATAGATACATCACATACTTACATCACACACACATACATCACATACATCACACATACATACATATATCACACACATACGTCACATACATCACACATACATCACATACATCACAGATACATACATCACATACATACATCATTACATCACACATACATCACATACATCAATCACACACACATCACATACATCAATCATACACATATATAACACACATACATACAAAGATCCCCCGTGTAGCCTTAACAAACTGTAAGGGCAAGTGCACCAGGTGTTGGTTGTGCTGGTTGGTGGTGGTGTTCCGTCTGTTTGGGTTAACTATTAACACGGGACCTTTTTGCCAGTATCAAAGTATGAAAAAAAAAGTTTAACCCTTTCTGGCAACAAAACATGAGTTGTGTTCTGATGTTCAAACACCAAACCTCAACAATTTTTGCAAGGAATCGAGTCACTGCATTAAAGACGCACTGCACTTTGTGCATGTTCACCACAAGCACGTGTGGTTACCGCAACGACTTGATTCCTTGCTGGTTAACTATTGCTCTGAGTATGCGTAACAAAATTGTATATCGAGAGAAGGAAACCCGTTCCGAACGCACAGGGATGATGAGACACCACTCCCCGTTGTCTTCACCGGACACTGAACGGTGGATGTTGACCCGACGTTTTAATGTTTCCTGGGCAGGCTTCTCACTCGACTCACCGCTCATAGCCGCTGAACATTCACCAGACATCATCACTCTACACTCATCCACCCAACCCTCATGGCTCATACAACTCGCCAAAGGCCGTAATTATAATATATATTGAAGGGGACACATCCCCCCCAATATATTCAAATATGGTCAAAATGTCCCCCCCCTCCCCCATATATTGCTATAAAATCGATTTCTGTTCATACGATTGTGGTTATGGTTGTACTTTATTAATCCCTAATCTCTGCCATTACATACAATGAAACAAGTAAAGGTACAAAAGAAAAAAACAGAGCAATGTAATACAATACACTATTAGACATTATTGTAAAAAATAAATAAAAAGTCCATCTCATGTGTTAGTAGAATTTTTTTATATTTTAGGCAGGAAATGGCAGAAAATTCGTTTTCAAATTTAGATATTTCTTTGTCTGGGGGGGACCCCCTATAAGATTTGGTCCCCCCTAATGTTGAATCCATGGCTACGGCCTTGCAACTCGCCCAGGGCATCTTAAACACAATAAACACAACTCTCCACTCGGGGACTCACCAGACGCACTCACCGCTGGACTTTAACAAATGCCCGTCTCGTGGTGTGCAGGGGGCGTGCGAGGCAGGGTGCAGGAGCGCCGTCAGACCACTCACATTCACTCTCACTAGACACTCAGTTATTCCCACGAAACACTGACCACTCACGTTCACTCCCACCAGACACCACTCACACTCACCACTCACGTTCACTCCCACCAGACACCACTCACACTCACAATCACTCTCACCAGACACTCAGTTATTCCCACGAAACACTGACCACTCACGTTCACTCCCACCAGACACCACTACCACTCACCATTCAACCACTCACGTCCACATGGACCAGACTCACCACTCACATTCACTCTCACTAGACACTCAGTTACTTACTCATACGAGACACTGACCACTCACAGTCACTCTCACCAGACACCACTCACGTTCACTCACAACAGACACCACTCACACTCACCACTCAACCACTCACGTTCACATGGACCAGACTCACCACTCACATTCACTCTCACTAGACACTCAGTTATTCCCACGAAACACTGACCACTCACGTTCACTCCCACCAGACACCACCCACACTCACCACTCAACCACTCACGTTCACATGGACCAGACTCACCACTCACATTCACTCTCACTAGACACTCAGTTATTCCCACGAAACACTGACCACTCACGTTCACTCCCACCAGACACCACTCACACTCACCATTCAACCACTCACGTTCACATGGACCAGACTCACCACTCACAATCACTCTCACTAGACACTCAGTTATTCCCACGAAACACTGACCACTCACGTTCACTCCCACCAGACACCACTACCACTCACCACTCAACCACTCACGTTCACATGGACCAGACTCACCACTCACATTCACTCTCACTAGACACTCAGTTATTCCCACGAAACACTGACCACTCACGTTCACTCCCACCAGACACCACTACCACTCACCACTCAACCACTCACGTTCACATGGACCAGACTCACCACTCACATTCACTCTCACTAGACACTCAGTTATTCCCACGAAACACTGACCACTCACGTTCACTCCCACCAGACACCACTACCACTCACCACTCAGCCACTCACGTTCACATGGACCAGACTCACCACTCACATTCACTCTTACTAGACACTCAGTTACTCCCACTAGACACTGACCACTCACATTCACTCTCACTAGACACTCAGTTATTCCCACGAGACACTGACCACTCACATTCACTCCCACCAGACAACACTCACACTCACCACTCAACCACTCACGTTCACTTGGACCAGACTCACCACTCACATTCACTCTCACTGGACATCACTCATATTCAGAAGACACTCACAACTCACTTCCACTCCCACCACTCTCCATTCACTTCACCAATCCGCAATGACAATCGTGATTAAGTGTGGCCAATTAAACCCCACGATGTGCATGGAGTAGGGAGGCCCTCATCCAGCAGGGGCCTGACAAACGTGGGTTTTCCTATTCCATGTTGGAAATCCAAGGTTTATGGCAAGGCCGTAGCCATGGAGTCAACATTGGGGGGGACCAAATCTTCCAGGGGGTGTGGGGGTACTCCCAGAAAAAAAAAATCAACATTTGAAAACGAATTTCCTGCCATTTCATGCCTAAAATATATTTTTTAAATCACTAACCCATAGGATGGGCTTTTTTTTTTACAATAAATGTCAATAGTGTATTGTATTAGATTTCTCTGTTTTATCTTTTGACCTTTTCTTGTTTCATTGTATGTAATGGCAGAGATTAGGGATCAATAAAGTACAACCATAACCACAATCATATAAACAGAATTTATTTTATAACAATATACTGTATGGGGGGGGGACATTTTGAGCATATTTGAATATTGGGGGGGGGGGGGGATGTATCCCCCCCCCCCCCCCAATATGTATTATAATTACTGCCTTGGTTTATGGTGCTATTAATTATACGTATACAGTATGTGTATATAAAGCAGACGTTGATATTTGTCCAGTACGGGCATCTTTCGATATAAGTTCCTGGAAAGTTTTCCATAACAAAATATAATACAAATCAACGGGAAAATAAAGTTCGATATACAGAATTTCGCTGAACGGACCTTTCAGTGACTTATTTGTTCCGTATGTCAAGGGATTCCCGTACAGTAATTGTATATTTTTTAGCCAGTTATTTCTTATGCCCACCAGGAGAGGGCAGTGCCACAAATGGTTCTGAACTTCCACCCCCATCACTAATCCGCAATGACAATTTAGGTGTCAACCCCGACCACGCGCGAGGAGTGTGGAGTCTCATACAGCAGGGGATTGATCAACGTTTATTTTTTCCCCCCATTTTATATTGGACATCGAATGTATATTTCATTATAAATAGAACGGTGTAAATTAAAGAGAACGTGTTGCTGTTTGGCCAGTATAGTACTGGACAGACCTCCCTCAACACACTGAATTGGTTCTTGAAAAATTGTCCGTCAAGCGAAAATCCGTATATCGAACCATATTTTCGATGCCCTTACTTCCACCCATCCCATGCCTCCGATTCTTTCTAACATGCATCCTTCCCCCAGAATGCCCATGCCCCCCCACTGTTCGGTACAGCATCTAGTACGTTTCCTTTTAGATGCTACATTAATCCAAATTAAATAACATTTACAGTACATGCTATTTAAATCCAACGGAAGGTCTTGAGCATGGGCTTGTATATATGGAGTGGGAATTCCAGACTCCGAGTAAAGCAGAGGGGTGAACGCCCAATGAAGAGGCCATGTAGAGGGGAGTACACTGAGATGAGAGGTAGGCAGGGAAAAATCCAGGAAGACGGCGATGGCTTGTTGCAATTGATCCGGTGCTGGATTGCGAGCCTGTTAAGCGACCAGATAATTGGGTTCATGTGGGCTTACTTGTAGGTCTGGATATGGAGTATCGCTGCTGCACCCTGTATTCAATTGAAGTGTGGCGGCAAGGGATTTTGGGAGGCCTCTGACTAGCAGGGTTAGTGGAGAGCCACAGTAATCAACTCAATAAGTGATTAAGCTATGAGTGTCTCAGTAAATGGGGCAACAGATTTTAGATGCCAACAGATGCCAGCAGTCTTGCACAGGTGGAGGTAGGAAATCCTCCATGTTGAGATGCGAGAGAAATTCTGAGTAGAAGATGGTGCCAAGGTTTCGGATGCTCTTCATCAGCTGGACGTGGTAACGTTCAATACATAGATGTTTTTAAATATGGATTACAGTTATACATGAATGAGTGCTGCGCTTAAATAGCAGACATGCCAAATGAAATACAGTACTGAATAGCTTCTTTATTTACTTAATGACAATTTACAATATAAAACTGCAACCTTTAGTCTTCTGCATCACCTGCCTGAATGTTATGAGAATATTTACGGTAAGTGCAGATTTCGCAAAATATTTCCTTTGCCCAATTGTTACTGCAGCTCTTGTCCTCGACACTTTTGATACATCGGTATTTACATGGCACGACGAGGGTATACAACAAAGCAAGTCAGCTAGCAAACAAACAGAACACCAAGGCACGTAAAATAAATTTGCATGCATGTGTGCAGACAGACACCACAGAATACAAATAGAGCACATACAGTCAAAGATATGACCTCACATACTGGACCGCGCGCAAATGTTCATGTGCGGGGTCCCATTTGTTCACGCGAACGCGCGCACACACACACGCCACACACTCAGGTCCACTCGCACACTGGAGTTTATTAGGGAACCCTGCAGAGACGCGCAAGGGCAGTTTAGTTTCGTGAGCCAATGAGTTGCAGCAGGAACGTGAAGATGTAGACAATGTCCATGTAGAGGCGGAGGGCTCCGTTGATGTGCTCCTCGGGGCTGATGGAGTTACGCCGATTGCCAAGCAGCAGCTGTGTGTCCACCGCCAAAAACTGCAGCGAGAGAGTCATATTGGCCGCCAGCTTTTCACCATGGCCAAAGTGTACTATATGCGTACCCTATACATTAGCTTGGAGTTCTCGTTAGGTCTTCCAACGCACGTATATCAAATGTCAACAAAGATCATTGGATACAGAATAATGGATTATTTAGAGACAAACTACTGTGTAAGCAGTGTTTTGTAAAGATTTTCTCTACTATAGACCACATTCGTACTATCAATAAGATTCTAGAATAGATTAATGGATTTCGAATACCACTGTGCCTAGCCTTTATAGACTATACAAAGCATTTGACTCATTGATAATTGCTCGTCATCCAAGCTCTCAAACGAATGCCAAAATTTAAAACATTTTTAGAAGTAATTAAAATGTTTAAAAAAACGGAATAGCCATACTGGGATTTCATGAAGAACGTACCAACATATATCACAAGGTAACACACTTTCACTAAAGTTATTCAAAGCAGCATTCAAATATGTATTTGTTTTGATTGGAGAAACAAAGGCATAATAAGACTTCATTTTACCACGTGAGAACCCAATGATATAATGTCTCTTTTGCAAGGGTCAACTGGATCACCAAGTAATGACAGTACAATACATTTCAGAACTAAAAATATGGAGAATAATTTATGATATTAAAATGTTAATATGACTGGAATCCCATTGCTGTGCAGGCTTTTTGTGAATTCTGTACACCTATCAAACACTGTCAGCGCGAGTACAACATTACTTACCACTGTGAAGATCACAGCTCCCAAACCGGCATAAACCGTCTGGATCCATGGGATCTGGAGCCAGACAGTGAAAGCACAAACATCATGAGCTACATTTCAGAGTAAAGCTGCATAGTATTCGCACGACAAGGTATACTTATCATCTAAGTCTAATTTATATTTATATAACGCCTTTACTCAAGGCCTGATATAGCTTACAAAGTGATGACAGAGTTGTATCAGTTTAAACCGTTTAAACAGGATGAGTAGTAATGGCTTCAATGGAAGCATTGTAAAGAAAAGTTTTAATTCCATTTATCAAGTTGTTGAGCCAGCTGGCCAGGGTTGGGCAAAACCTAGCCCACTTTTCACCCAGGCAACTGGAGAGCACAGACTAAGTGTTACTAACCTAGCATTACAACTAACAATAACAGTTAAGAGACAAAAAAAACACACACCATTCAAACTAATCTAGGACGTCATCCACTGTGGAGATGGAGCAATACAATTAGCCCCTGAAGGTGCTGAATGGATGATTACATCACATGATTGCAGTAGCTTGGGGACGTTTTGATTCAGCAGTGGGCTGACCATGACCGAGTGGTGTACTAAATTTGAAGTGTGTGTCGTGGTTTTTCTCTGTTTTGTGAAACTTGCGTATCCGAAGGGGACGGTGAATGCGGCTATGAGGCCGGTGAGCAGCAGCACCATGGAGAGGGCAAACATCACACCAGGACACGAGGTGAAGTCAACCTGGAACACACACACACACAAATCTCACAATGTCTATATTGTATATACCCATTCAATATACACAAAGACAAACAAGTCAAAGATCCCCCATATAGCCTTAACATACTTTCTGGGACAAGTGTTGTTAGCGAGCATCTACACCAAGACAATGATCACTCGTATAGACTGTTGGGGCAAGTGATGCAAGTGAGCATCCATGAAGCCGAGCACGGCACACGAGGGAGTTTGTGGCCAGCACCACTCCCAAACACCTTTGTCTCCCGAGTGGCGAATATTTACACACCACACCAGGTACTCATTTGAGGCTGAGTCGACCTAGGGGAGGCCCAGGACCGGTTCAGATAATTAATCGAACTTGGGTCGCCAGGTTCGCAGCACAGCGTGCTAGCCGCTACACTACCCCTCACCACCTCCCCACCACACCTTGAATTAACTGTATGGTCGAAAAACCCACATAACTGACACAGTATGGGGAGGCCTTCTTGATCCAAAGGGTTGCACATGTACATACACATATTAGTGGAGTATATATTGCGTTGTGACTGTTGTGGGGTTTTTTTCCCCGTTACCTTAGTCTGGAAGCAGAAGAGTGTGACAGCGCCACACACTGCCGCTGTGACGCCAATGCACATGAGCACTGAGTTGGTGTTGTAGAAGCTGTGAGCAAAGGGCAATGGACAAAGATACGTGGTTAACAATAGGGCTGGATCAAAGACGGACTCCTAAAGCAGTGGTAAATGGTGAGACATTTGGTGAAATTAAGTTCTCATCAGACCTTCTGTGAGTGAATTTCAACACTGCTTATTGCACTGCTGTGTACATCAATATCATTGACATTATCAGAAATCACCAACCTAAGCATGACTATAATTTATCAAACAATATTTTTTTCAAAATGCATGTAATTATAACAATTGTTCCATACTGTCAGACACCACCATTGCAACCAACACCATTGTCAAAATTTTCCAAAATGTGTCAGCTGACCCCGCTTCATATATATGCCTCATTGTTGGAGCGTACATTTTCATTATCGTGAGTGATTCAAGAGCCCGAACTGTTAACTAGGTGCCGCGGTGGCTAGGAGATGTTAACTCCCTCGCCTGGAATGCAGGAGGTCGTGGGTTCGAGCCCAACCCCGATGGCCCCATGGTCACGTGGATTTTTCTCCAGGCCCTCTGGTTTTTCCCATCCACATTTAGAAACATGAATTTTGAGTATTTGCCTGCGATACATGTTTAAATGATAAGCCACTTCGTTGACCTATCATTTGTGGCCAGGTTGCTTCTGAAAAAGAGCTAATAGCTCAGTGGGTCTTACCTGGAAACAGAAAGTTTTAAAAGAATTAATATATATACCTTGCCAGCATTCCAGTGAGGTAGGACATTGCCAGCGTCTGTAGGAAAACAACGGTGACATATATATTCTCAAGTCATCCTTTGTCGACACGTTTATGTAAACATCCATGCAATGTGTCCATCCGTGTAAAAGTAAAAAAAAAAATCTACGTGCAAAATGCTTACGAGGACGGCCAGCAAGATGAAGTTGAGTGGGAAAAGCCTCCTAAACAACAAAGGAGTCATAGCGATGAGCACTGCAGACAAATCAGTGCAAGAAGATGCATTCTGAAATAAATATGCAAGTACATAAAATTATATTTATGGCGTTAGAATTAATATACTGGACCCGAATTGCACCCAAGCCTCTGGTTACTGTTTATCATGTAAACGTGAATGGAATGGAAACATGAGTTCTGGAAAGCATTTTTGAGCAATAATGTATTATTTTATAAATTTTCTTAACTTAACCCAGTCATGCATAGATGACTAAAAGCGAAACCAAATATTTTGCTGTTGGATTGATGTGATTTTAGTCAAAAATACCCCCCAAATATGATGAAAATGTTTCCAATAATTTATTTTAAAATTATAATTATGTCCATGACAGTGAACACTAAGCTTCCACCACGAAGTTACTATATGGTAACCAGTGATAGAAGAAATCTCTGGACCTGTTTGTAAAACGTCTTTGTTGCAATTGGCCTCGGTAGCGAGAAGTTACCTCCGTCACCTGGTACACAGGAGGGCATGGGTTCGATCCCGACCCAGATACCTGTATATTTTGATCTACATGTTCTCTGTGTGGTCACGTGCATTGTTCTCCAGGTCCTCTCTACATTTAGAAACATGCGTTTAAATTATTTGGCGACTATACATTCCCACATATGATACAAACCACTTCGATAAGCTATCATGTGTGGCCAGGGCACCTCTGAAAAGGCACTGATAGCTCAGTGGGCCTTACCTGGTAAATAAAAAAAACACATTTTTTTAAAGAACAAGGCCCCATAATTTACATGGCGTGTCCTTGCCAGAACATCTGGAAACCCAGCAGCATTTTTTTCATAAGCCTGATTCTGCTGACGAGACCCAGAAGGCCGAAACCAGTCCAGAGTTGTCTTGCTTAAACACATTCTGATGGATAATATCGGTTTGGAAAGCCAATAAGCCTATGACAAAAATATATTTTGTTTGAGAATGGTCTGTGTTTATGTAATTTCTCTACACATGTGGAGTGCTAGTCAAGTACACGATATTTTCTTAACATTGGCCTGGGTCTTGGGTATGGGCACAACTCATACTACTGTTATAACATATAAAGGTGCAGGCCTGACCTGCAAGTGCTTGCTCACGCCACTGCTGATGGAAGAGCCTCCACTAGAGTGAGCCTCTTTCGAGACCTTCTAGAGGGTATTTTGACCGACTGCTGTTTTAGAAGATTCAAATATCTACTGTAACACGATGTCTCACCTTGCCTTGGTGCAGCAAACCAAACCGAGATATGTAGCAAAGAAGACGCCACTGCATTCACAAAAGGAAGGGGCTCTGTCAGATGTATGTAAGCAGTGCCACAATTTATGGCTTCATGTTTGGGTACATTGTTTAAACAATTATAAGCAGGAAATGATGAATCATACTCACTAAGAGGCCCAGTATATTGCTGGGTTATTCTGCACAAATTTCTTCACGGGGACACTGTTGAGAAGCACATGAACAATATTAAAATTCACTTCTAAAATCCTCCTAATTGCAAGGTTCATAATAATTTTCCTGGTGTTTGGGGCCCAGAGAATTAAAATAAAAGTAAGTGTAAAGAGACAGCTATATATTTTACTGTTTATAAAATAACTCTTCATAACTGGAGTATAGTCGCAAAATAATATCAGAAATAACAAAGGCTTGCCCCAAAGATACACATGTTTAAAGAACATTTCCTTCAGTGTTATCCTGATTGTGCTATTGGCGCCATGTCATGCGACAAAGTATTCAATCGGAACTCTCGCAGAGTGGTGCAACCCTTCGTGATTGAAGAATGACCCACGGATGCAGATATCAGAGCTTTCTCTAAGATCCCAAGTGGCTTATAATCTACACTTAAGGGGTAGCACTTTTCCACCTTCCCTGCCACCGAGAATAACGGTTGTCACATGACAGTCAAACAAATGTTTTTTATTCTTTAAGTGCATAACCAAATTGAATGTGTTTTCGTATGTGCAGTTATTCGTGACCAAGCTGGGGCCATACACCTACTACACTTGGGAGCCCAGTTTAATCACAGGTGGTTGTGTGGAATTGGAACCAGGCTCTCAGCAGTGGCAGCTTAGTGCTCTGACCTCTTGAGCCACCCGGCCAACTTTGTATTGGTCCACCAGACCTTTCTCAATACGGTCCCCAAGACTTCTAACGCGCAGCGGCCAGCGACTCGAATGACAGTGTGGCAGATGGGACCAATAGATTTCTTAAATCCAGACAAGTTGTAGTTAGAGTAACTTGAAGAAGCACCTCCGATTAGCACGGTTGCTAGGTACGGTGAGAAAAAAGTTCTACATTCATAGATTCTTTATGCCCCAAAATCACCCTCTCTCCTCTGGCAACGTCTCCCCGCCACCACCGACTTACACGAAAGTGCACACCGCCACGAAGCCGAAGGTGACAAGCAGCTGCACAAAAAGGATGATGTAGACCTGTGGGGCACAGACGTGTCTTGTATTCAGTCCAATATACAGCACTAAAACCACATATATACACACACTATAATGACTGATGTAAATGTTCATGTTTTAGAAGGGCTAAGCATATCTAATACAGATAACAGTGACTGCCATTAAAAGGACTTTCTAGAAATGCTAAGAATATCTCATGCATACAGACGGTCATGATTTTGTGACACAAAATACACCCTGGAGGTTGATCAGATTAACTCGTAGAGCAGTTCTACATTGCTTAAAGTCCCGTAGTGAACACTTAAAAATGTATGATCCCCCATCATCAGTGCACCAAACAACATCCCACGGAGTGTAACGCTGACAAATATAAAAGCCTGCTTCTGAGTACACATTTTAAGACAATCCCCAAGGAGCCTACCTCACACGCAACTATCAAAGTTATACTTTTATCATGAACATCTAGTTGTGTTGTTGATCATTGCACGGTTGGAGCGTAAACTGAAAATAAAACTATAGCTTATGCCCTTTAAACGTTGTGCAGCTTATTAATTCACATTTGTTGTGTACTACATAGGCAACCAAACAACCTAGAAAACAATTATGTAAGTAGAGCGTGACATTTTACTTTCCTGCAAGGCATTCCCATAGCTCTGGGTTAATGCCACACACTGGATCTATTGGGTTGGAGCATTGGGAGCAGTGGTTAGTGGGGAGACCCTTATACTGGTAGGAACCTCCTGGTTACACCAGCCCACAAGGGATTATTGTTTCCGCCCGTCGTGCATCCAAAAATGGGAGGGGTGGGGCTGGGTGGAGAGGGTGGGGCTGGGTGGGGGGTGGGAGGGGTGGGGCTGGGTGGGTAGGGGCTGGTCACCCCGTGGTGCCCTTATAAAGCTCAACGTTTAACCTACTCACGCCGGCTTGTGTCCACTCTCACAGTCGGCCATATTTGCAGAATACACCACGCCGCCGTTGACCCTGACCATTGACCTAGCAACCCAACGTTCCTATCAACTCCCTCCCCACAGGAATGTGTTCCTCACACCATATGGGTCAAGGGGGGTTATTTGATCATACCTCACCACACTTGTGTGGGTGGGGAACAGACATGGGAGTACAAGAGTGCAGTACAACAATTTACTTTGGTGCACTGCCCTCTGCTGCAGACCATGAAATTCAATAACCTGCCTGCCATGCACGGAGATTGCCCTTTAGCTTCCGAGATCTGACGAGATCGAATGCATTCCGGGTTGTTTGGTCATAAGCCTTGAAATCTAACTCCATTATTTGTATATATTAAAAAAATATATCCTTTGAAGGTCACTGCTGTCAGACAACAGTCACACTGGAGGTTGCAAGGGCATGTTTATCTTCGGTTGAGGGTCTAAGGAATTCCGGAATCTGGTTATGGTACACACCTTTTGGATGAACATTCGTCGTACATTCTTGTCATCCCAGACTCCGATGGAATTTTCATTTGTACTTACGCCTCCATACTCTAGACACACACGCAAAGGCATTGTGGTTAGAAGTGGTGATGTGGCCAGCACTATGCCACACTTGTGTTTGTAATGCTGTCCTTTCCAACTAAGGATGAAAGCATTCACCCATTAGCTTTGTCTATCTGTCTGTAATCGGAGGGCATGATAACTCCCGGAAAGATTATCCAATGTTAACAAAGATTTGATATTATAGTGTGTTGCTGTTAGGGACTTATCCTAAATAAAACCGACCAAATATATAAAAAGGGTTGCCCAAAACATGGAGACAATCCAAACCATGAACCTCTCCAACAGGTTTATGCCATGTCGCCACCCACATATATAGGCCAGGAATGTAGTATGACAAGACCAGTCAGGCAAAGGTAGTTAGGCTATGCTCAGCCTGCCACGCAGCTCTGTATATACACTCTTAAGCAATCTAATACTATGTGGATGTTGTCAAGTTAAACAATTAAAACATATGCACATATTCTCATTCTGAAGTCAATCACACGGACTGCGGAGCACACCATTCAATGTAGTTTCTTAAGATAATGCTGCCTCTAAAAATAATCCTCTCATGCACCGTCATCCCAAACACTTAGCTAATATACACAACATTAGCACCCAAGAGGCAAAACCAACTCTCGACAACGGGCCATGAGCGATATTTAACAGTCCAGTTTTCAAAAACACGAAAAACTGCTTGCGTTTCATGTGCACCGACCTATCCCACGTCACTAGTTCTCACGTGAGCAGTGAGGAGGCCTCTGTGTGCACGACAGATGGGCCCACGGTTAAATGTCACGTCCGAGTGGCGACCGTGCATTTGTCCATTAGGTGCGGTCACCGTAAACAGTTTTCCCTTTGCTTAAAACAAAGTCACTGAGTCACCGTGATGTATGGCTTACACTGAACTCATACGGGCACCAAATTAAATGAGTGTGCCACTTCTTAGTTGGCTTGGATATGTCTGAAAAAACTGTTGTGGTGTTCAGTTTCAGTTCCACGTGACAGTATTTATGTACTATGATAAAAAAAATAGAAACTTTCGGAGATTATAGTTTCATTTTGGCAAAGGCACAAATTCGCGGACTCGGGTAATGCTCTGAAAAGTATTTGGCAGCGTTCAAATTAATCAGAGGGCTTTGGTCAAGGGTGTGGTGCAGAATCACAATTCCAAACCAGGGCAGGTTTGTTAGGCAGTTGTGTCAGGTGTGTCCCTCCACAGGTACTGCTCTGAATTATCTAAGCCTCGTCCTGCATTATGATTCATGATGTGCACACACACTGGATGGACTGTGGCTTGGCATGTGCATGGTGGGCAGACTGTGGCTTGGCACTCATCTCCCCAGCTCCGACTGCCACCTATTTCACATTGCTTGCCAAAATACTGCCGTACAAACTCAAATGTAACTACACATTTACATGTACATTTCTGTGTATGTGTCGTGGGCCACTCATCGTTGCAAGCACTGCTCTAGAATGTGGCCCAGTCATGTTATTTAGTAAGCGCAGGCGCCACTCATGTTATATTGGGCTTGTTTTTAGTCCCGAACTGTTAAAAGTCAACAACAAAACCAACATAATGAGTGGTGTCTGCGTTTACTGAATTACGTGGCTGGGCCATTTCCGAGAACACTATTGGCAGAACTCCAGGTGATGCTCCCAAAACAAGTTCCAATAGTCCATGCACCACCAAATGTCCCTTGAGCCCCCCAAGTTCACTCTCTTTACTGCTGTATCATTGTTAAGGTGTCCCGGACAATAAGTCTACTGCCCCTCCCCCACCCCGCCTAAGCAAAGTGTATCGCTTGCCTGAAGATAAAAAGTGACGCGACTTCATTATCACCTCTTTTCCACTTTTCATCTGCAGAAAGCTCATTGTTGTTTTTAGTAGAGGCGGTTTCATTTCCGCCATCTAAGATTAAAAAAGAAAATCACTCACCGGGCCCTCCAGTACTGGGGCCAATGTTCCCGAAGGACGGGTGCAGGGGAATGGTCGGCATCATGAAGGGCGGTGGCGCGGTGCCCCCTCTCTGCGGCTGCGATGCATTAGGGGGTGGATTCTCTCCCGGGTAGCCCCCCGCTGGCTGCCCCCCAGCAGGAGGGTATCCCCCAGCAGGAGGGTATCCCCCGGGCTGCCCCCCAGGTGGAGGGTATCCCCCAGCAGGAGGGTATCCCCCGGGCTGCCCTCCAGGTGGAGGGTATCCCCCAGCAGGAGGGTACCCACCGGGCTGCCCCCCATATGATGGTGGGTAACCGCCGGGGGGATCTTGGCCCGGGTTTGGGTAGGGCTGGTAGGGGGGAGGGTAGCCAGGCTGGTTGGTGCCATAGTATCCGGACGGAGCGCTTGGTTCCGACATGGTCGTGTAGTACGAGGGGCGTCACACGCTGCTCCGCTTGTGGGTGTGTTTCCTGCGTCTGTCCGTGCGTCTGGACAGGAGCCTGGAAATATAAAAGGAGCAAATTGATGAAAGACAGGAAACTGATCATCAGTGGATTGGATTATAGATCCAACGATATGAGTGACACATTGTTTTCATACATTAACACATACCTGTCAACCCATACAGTTTACCCGTATTCTTGTACAGGGAAATTGAGCAAAACAATGTTTTGTCTATTTGTTTGTGTTTCTCCCTTGTGATGAGACTTTGTAGGATGAACGTTGAGATTTGTAAGGGCGCGGGGTGACCAATAATGTCTGAATTGGACTGTAATAAGGGAGGCACTGATAGGGAGTTGACAGGTATGTTAACACCCCCAACCTCCCCCACCTCTCTCCGTGATGGGCAAGATAATCGAATGTATTTATGGTTTCGGTAAATTACATGTAAATGATATTCTAATATTAAATTTTAGCCGACGGGAGCAGACAAAACTGTGAAAATGAGGCCTGACTGCATACCAGTTCATGAACTCACTGCCAGGGTGGCCTAGTCCAGAAATAATATCCGCACTTATACTTTGGTAAACACATGTACTATATACTAGCTTAAAGTATAGAAAATTCTGAAAGCATATCTTTACTGGAGCTTATTATTGGACCCATTGTATACAACGTGTACCATTCCCAAATGTCAGGCAGTTCTAGATTGATTAGATTCACAGGGATATTACACCACTTCAATAAAGCCCTTTGCCAATCCACTGCTGGATGATGGCGTCTCCATGCAGTGTTGCTTTGTCTGGGTTGTTTGCCCATACTTGGCCACACTGGGTCAGTACGAGTTGATTTAGGGCAGAAGGTGGGGGGGGGGGGGCATGGCCCAGGGCCAGTTGCAGTTATCGAGATATCGCAAATCCACAGGCCACACGGATATTTGCCATGCCGGAAATTGACCTCAGGTGGCAGGGTTCACGGTGGGGCAGCACAAGAAAAAACAACTCTGCTTTTACCGTATTACAGTGCCACCGCTCCACCCACATTTGCATTGGGTTCACTGTAATCTGTTAAACAGTTAAACATTTTCCATCGAGGCTAAGCAGATGTTCGCTTCTGCACATCAAATGGTGTATGCAAACACAGTCCAGAGGAGGCAGCTATATGCTCCTGGCCCAAATAACAGTTACGCTTGGAATTCCACTTTTAAAAAAATACATTATTTTTTTAGTATACCAAATAAAGGGTCTGCTTTGTCTTGAATTCAGACTGCCTCCAACTAATACAGTGCTCAACTCAAATACTCAGACCGTGGGATCGGAGATGTACGTTAAGTTGAGTGATTAAGTAAAGTGTACTGCCAAGTAAAGATGCAATGTTGGGCAACCCAACTTTGGTCTAACGGTGCCAACCACATGCCAACGTTGCATGTTTACTGGAAGTATATTAATGAAGGCTCATTGAATTGATCTAACCGACTGTCGTGCTTAAAAGCTGCTATTTGGGAAATTATGACTATCATCACAAACCATCCATGGCCTTTTGATAAAACTTGATTCATACTCGACCCTGCAACGCTGCCTTCATTCTTTACAAGACTGGCAAGGACATAACCCATGATTGACCACTGTATCAATAATAAAGAATAATAAAGTAATGCAATTTACCAAGCAACAGATTCAACAGAAGTCAACAGTCCACCGGGGAAGATGTTGAACCATGCCAGGGGCACATGTCTGTGTGTGTAGCATATTGCACTGTGGACACACCTAGTTACTGAACAATGCATGCTCTACACCTCCGAGGGCTGCTCACATGCATGCTTTGCAGGAGGGCTATTATAATTTGAATTCCTGCATAGTCTGTATGTCAGATATGTTGGGTGTGCACCATATCAAGACAGTCAAAGCCCAGGAGAAGTTACGTACTCAAATGAATTAAAGGGACCGTGGATTATACACATTTGCAAAGGAGCGCAGTAAACTAATATTTTTTTCACGAGATGATATATAATGATTTAACTGTCCAAATTGTTTTACACGGTCCACTTACCATCCTTCATTATAGGATACAATGTGGGTAATCCCACATCTGGCCAGCAAGGAAGAGTAGGCCAAAATTCCCTCAAACGGTGTTCTCCTAGAGGCCCTTCTTCCAGCAGTGACGCGAGCAAGTAGTTGTTGGACAGCACGTGTTCTTTGACCTTATACACTATAGTTTACCTCCGGGAAAGCTCCCCCTTATGAGTAAGAGGATCGGATATACAAAAACTGTGCTCACCATAGTATTTATGCAAATACTCTATAAAGGTGCTGTAAATACCATACCTAACGTTGAGTTCGTTTGTTTTAGATGCGATGACATCACTGTGGCCCAAGTGAACTGTGACGGTATGAGGTGGCTTAGTTTTACTGATCCCGAGTTAACATCTTGGTGACCACCTGTGATTAATCTGGATTCTCAAATATTCATGGTCTCATTCCATTCACCAATGGCTGCATATGTAAGAAATAAAAGTCACATTCCATATTATTTTATCTTTCATTCAGCAAATTCCATCCAACAGAAAGAAACATTTATTTTAATTGAAATATGCCATACCCTCTGCAGGGCATATAAAAGGCGTGTCCCGACTATTCTTAGAGTCCTAGAGTATAACATTTGAAATGCGATGTGACATCTTCTGTGGCCATTTTCAGACAAAGTCGTGCACCGTTTGCTGTAAAAGTAAAAAATCCTCCGTAAAACAGCTCCCCATGCCCGACCTCGTTTCCACCAAAGCAGCAATTCACGCCCACGCAGTATTGGTGGCACGGACCCTTTTACTGCCCTTTCACTGCCCTTTATTGCGTGTTCTGTGTAACTAGGACAGCTTGTCTCAGCCAGTAGCGACAGTGGCAAGGCTGGCGCTTTAGTCATTTTGCAAAGGAATTACTACACCAGAGACGGAAGAATATTGAGCAACAGTTTTATATAAAACTGACGTTTAAGTCGGAGCTGTCCGGTGCTGAGCTCCAGAAAATAGTCCAGTGGGATGGGGGTGCCCCAGAAATAAATTCCTGATTTTTATACGCTGCAGTACCAAGGATACGTACAACACTGTATCATACTAAATCTTGCTTGTGTGAATCAACATGTGGCAACCACAGCAATTGTTACAGAACTAATGACTGAATGGAGAATTATGTTTTATTCGAGGAAACACAATCTGTGTACGTTCACTACGTGGGTGGAGTGGGGGTACAGTGGTTAGCTGATTACATTTTTAACCTGATGACCTAAGTTTGATACCCAGCCACAGCTCACATCTGTGGTGAGTGATAACTGAACAGGACCTGGGGGCCCCCCAAACCATCACCAATTGGACTAACCAGCGTGGTGAAGTATGGTCAAACAACACTCATGACTGACACTGCGTGGGGACTTAAACCAGAAGTGGAATTTAAAAAGGGCTGAAAATTAAATTGTTTAACAATATTAAAGTAGATTCCAGGTCGTCAAGTCTTTATGCCAATTAAGATAATCACGCCTGACAAAGTTAAACATCAAGGGAAATCAAAAAGATTGTCTGAAGTGTTGATAATCACAGGTTTCACGGCAACAACACCTGGAGTAGGTACTTAACACATCCACCATTTCACCTGCAAAAAATATATCTAATCAACATTAATAGCCCACATTCGTTGGTGGCATGAAGTCACTGTACATATAATACGAAACGCACATTATTAACAAAACAAACCAGATAAACAAATGTTTAAACAACCATAAACACCCGCCCTCCCCCATGTCTCTTAGTCAGAGCCACGTTTGGCAGGGCCAGAAGTCCTCATGAGTCATCACTGTCGGGCAGGGCGATGCCACCACTGGACATGTCGTCTTTCATTTCATTAAACCACGCAAAGCTCTGCTGGTGATGACTGTGCGAAACCTTTCAGATGATTTGGACACACAGACATGAACCGTGTACAAGTAATGTATAAACAAACATGTGCAGCCGGTGTAAGAAAACATTCGCTTGTGTGCGTGGCACTACTAATCCGACATCACACGCTGTGGAACCGGCAACCAATTCCTGTGTCCACGGAAAACATCGGTGGTGGGGATTTACCCTGCCCTGAACCAACTAGCACTGACCAGGGTGGTGAAGTATGGTGAAACATCACATGACTGACACAGTGTGTGTGTGGGGGGGGGGAAACCCCTTCATCCAGCAGTGGCTTGACTAAGGGCTGTAGATTAGCACGGTGTAATTCTGCGTTAACTTAACAGTGAAGGGAGGTCTTTGTAATGTACTGTACTTGAGACAGCAATTACACTTTATTATATTAAAGTATTTTACTCCGAGTTATCTGCAAGACTATTGTCGTTTTAGAAACAGAAGCGTGTTTGTTTACGTCTGCGTGACCGAGTCAGCCTGGACAATGTTGATCTTCTATCTCGTAAAGCTAAGCAGGGCCATCCTGCCTGCTGTGAGCCTTGGATGGACAGACAGGAGAGAGACGTCGGCCACGTGGTGGACACCACAGACGCCACGTGGTGGATACCACGTGGTGGACACCACAGACGCCACGTGGTGGATACCACGTGGTGGACACCACAGACGCCACGTGGTGGATACCACGTGGTGGACACCACAGAGGCCACGTGGTGGACACCACAGAGGCCACGTGGTGGACACCACAGAGGCCACGTGGTGGACACCAAACACAACAACATCGTTGTACCCTACTTCTTTGCTCCCGCCTCTATTCATTCTCACTGCCTTCAACAACAAGCCGAGAAGACAAGCGTGTCGGTGGTGAAGTATGGTCAAACAATCCCCACGCAAAGGGAGGCTCTCATTAAGCAGTCGATAGGCAACAACAAGGACTGGCTGTTGTCAGTACATGCAAATACAGAGAGTATAGCTGCTCGTATGATTTCCCACCACCAACCACCACGATGACGACCGATCAACCCTAACAAGTGTTGCTTTCATTCGACGAACAGAGTGCGTGGCACTACTAATCGACATCGCACTAAAACGTCTTCATCATCAGCAGCAGCATCATCATCGCGTTCCTTCGTAATCAGATCAAGATGTAACATCGCCACGTGTGTGTGTGTGTCTACAGTGCCGTGTCAATCCACTGCTGGATGCGCGGGTTGCGGTCTAAGTTACTGGAGCCATACTTCACCACGCCGGTCAGTGGTGCGGGATGGCGAAGGCCATAGTGATGTTGTAGCACATCGTACTAACACGCACGACAACGTATGCCTGTGGTTAGCAGTGTGATGGGAGTTTGTTTGTTTGTTCAGCGACGTACCTTCTAAGTACCAGGAAACTCTTCTCTTGAACGACAACAGCAACAAAAGCCGCACGTGGTGGTGGTGATGGTGGTGGTGGTGATGTCTTCTGATCTGAAGCTCCTGGATGAGGAGGAGGAGGAGATGGAGAGGGGTCCCTTCTCGCCTGGCCTGGGCAGGGATGAACGCGAGAGGCAACTGACGTGAGTCAGGCAGGGAGTGGTGGTGGTGGTGGTGCTGATGTTGGTGGGGGTGGTGGTGGTGTTGGTGGGGGTGGTGGTGCTGATGTTGGAGTGGGTGGTGTTGGTGGTGCTGATGTTGGTGGTGCTGATGTTGGAGTGGGTGGTGGGGGTGTTTGTGGGGGTGGTGCTGATATTGTTTGAGTGGTGGGGTGGTGCTGATGTTGTAGGAGTTGGTGGTGGTGATGTTGTTGGAGTGGTGGGTGGTGGTGCTGATGTTGTTGGAGTTGGTGGTGCTGATGTTGTTGGAGTGGTGGGTGGTGGTGCTGATGTTGTTGGAGTTGGTGGTGGTGTTGATGTAGGAGTTGGTGGTGGTGATGTTGTTGGAGTGGGTGGGTGGTGGTGCTGATGTTGTTGGAGTTGGTGTTGATGTTGTAGGAGTTGGTGGTGGTGATGTTGTTGGAGTGGTGGGTGGTGGTGCTGATGTTGTTGGAGTTGGTGGTGCTGATGTTGTTGGAGTGGGTGGTGGTGGTGATGTTGTAGTGGTGGTGCCGACTGTTGCGTTGTGCTGCGTGCGAGCTCGTGGTAGGAAGTGGAATGAGAGTCTCCGTGTCCGCCCCACCCCGACACCGTCGTCACTTGCCAATGAATTCCGCACAACCACCACCACCACCACCACCTCCATCGCTCCCACGGCGAAGTCTCCACGGGGTCGCCGTCTTCTTTACGAACGACTGACGGGGCAAAGTTGCTGTCTGAGTAATGTTTATAAGGTTTATAACCCCGTAAGGTTCATAACCCCGTGTTGAGTTTTCACGTCCAAACGGAGTACAGTCGTTTCAATATGGGCACAAACAATAAAAAATTTTCTCTTTGTTTTTTTCGGTAAATACTCTGAGGTTTTTTTAGGTAAAGTCACGTAGGTAAAAATAAAGTAATAATAACAAATGAAAATAAATCTATTTTTTCGGTAAAGTCACGTAGGTAAAAATAAAAAAATAATAACAAATTTAAATAAATCAATTAAATCACGACGTTTCGGAGGCAACACAAGGAAGCGTGATTTAATTGATTTATTTTCATTTATTCTTTTCACCTACGTGACTTTACCGAAAAAAACCTAAGAGTATGAATCCTCGCAGTCACGAAAGCTTCAAATCTAGATTTTTTTTTCGGTAGAGTCACGTTGGTCAAAAATTAAATAAATGACAACTAAATTAAAGCACGACGTTTCGGGCGCAACACAAACGTCCTTCTTCAGGTGGGGACAGCTTAGCGAAAGCACAACCGCTTAAGCGTGTGGCTTCAAATCTAGAATCATATTTGTTTGTTCTAGATTTGAAGCTTTCGTGACTGCAAGGATTCATATTCTTAGGTTTTTTTCGGTAAAGTCACGTAGGTGATTTATATTTTTTATTTTTATTAATTTTAATGTTTTACCTACGTGACTTTACCGAAAAAAACCTAAGAATATATATTTGTTTGTGTTTCTCCCTTGTGATGATTGGAACTTTGTAGGATGAACGTTGAGATTTATAAGGGACACGGGGTGACCAATAATGTCTGAATTGGTCTTTAATAAGAGGCATTGATAAGGGGTTGACAGGTATGCAGCTATGGGGCCGTCCATAAATGACGTCACGCACCTAGGTGGGGGGTCAGACATTTGTGAGAAATGTGACGTCACATCACAAATTGTAATAAATATACACAAGACATTCTACTTAATTTAATATACTTTTTAATACATGTTTTCTCCTACAACAGAGTGCAGCGCCACATTTATGGACGGCCCCTATATGAAGGTCAACTCATGAGGATGTTGGTGTGGCCGGAACACCACAAATGCTGCTGCTGGGTTTGTTTTCTTTCCTTCCACATCGCACCAAGTGCTCGTTTTTTAAGGCTGAGTCTACCTAGGGGAGAGACCCAAGATCAGAACTGGTTCAGTTGATCGTCAATGGTGTGCGCGGATTGCCGGGTTTGTAGAGGGGTGCGCCCTAACCACTGCGCCACCGCTCCCCACCCTCCCACAAAGACAAAGATCCCCTTTATAGCATTAACAGACGTTTGGGGTACACATGCACACACATACACACACATGAACACACACACATGAACACACACACATGAACACACACATACACACATGAACACATGCACACGCATACACACACATGAACACACACACCGTGGACACACACACACATGAACACACACACCGTGGACACACACACATGAACACACACACATGAACACACACATGAACACACACACACCGTGGACACACACATGAACACACACACACACGAACACACGCACACACACACATGAACAACAACAACAACAACCGCCATTCGCCACTAAGTGGCGGTGACGTCACCACGAAGCTTGTGCCAGGCTAGGTGCACCTTGCGGCCACGTGAAGTGTCGAATGCCCGCTGGCAGGAGGTCACGGGGCAGACCCAGCAGGTGCCACGGGTCGACTGAATGAGATGAGATGACACACAGACACATACACAGACACAAATACTGGAGCTGCTTATCATCATACACACATTAAGATAAACGCATCACGCACAGATAAACGCATACACACGGAAATAAAATAAAAACAGAGATCTCCCCCACCCCTCCATAGCCTTAAACAGACGGTTGCAACAAGATCTGTTAGCAGGGACAGAATCACACAGAGATACACACAGACACACAACACACACACAACACACACACAGCCACACACAGACACACACTCAGACACACAACACACACACAGCCACACACAGAAATACACACAGACACAGAAATACGCAACAGACACACACAACACACACATAGAAATATACACAGACACACAGAAATACACACAGACACACAACACAGACACACAACACACACACATAATACACACAGAAATACACACAGACACAACACACACAGACACACAACACAGACACACAACACACACATAATACACACAGAAATACACACAGACACAACACACACACACACAACACACACACAGCCACACACTAAGAAATACACACAGACACACAACACACACAGACACACAGACACACAATACACACAGACACACAACACACACACAGACACAACACACAGTGGAACTCGCACACGGAGTGCGGTTTTTGTTGTGAAATACGTTTTGCCCAGGGTAGCTTGGTCAATCGTGAGGTGTTGGCTGTTACTGCTCTTAAAGAGCCACAATTATAAAAGAAGCCCAAATACTACGCTAAGTTTTTTTTCTTTCTTCAAATGGAGACTTATATTTACGATATAGTTTGAAGACAGGGGTATACTGTTAATGGCTTTCCGCCCACCCTATACACAACACCACCACCACACGTTCCCAGTAAACATGAAAAGTTGGACCCAAAGGTTTCGACCACACGCCAAAGTTCACCCAACATTGACTACAGTGGTTTGGGGGGGTGGGCTGCTGTTACATATTTGTACTATGAAGGAGGCCTTCAATTAAGGTGTTTCTCTCACACCACTTTGTCTATCGATGGAGATGGAGGGGTGAGTCGCGGGTTGTTTTCCTGGCCACCAGTTCCATTTTAGACTGATGGCCTTAATCTAAATTGTCTTGTGGTTATTGTTGTTTTTTTGACTTGCATCCCACTGGGATTTTTGCACACAGCGTTGGTGTACGGTGCTTTTTCTGCAATGTTTTGCTGTCTTTTCTTGGATTTTCTGTTTGCACTTAGTCACTTGAAGACGTTTTCTTGTTCATGTTTTTTGTTTGTTGCGGTTGCACCCGACTCAAGAGCCGAATAGCTCACAGGGCGATACCCAATAAATGAACTTGAACCATTTAACTTCTTTCGCACCGTACGTAGCCAATCACGCGTAACGGACGTGCGGCGGAAGGACAACAAACTAAACACACAAAAAGCGGTGCTAAACAAAATACAGTTTTCAGTCTCGATGTGTTTACGAAAATAAAAAGCGCACAGCTCCAGTAGTTTCCTGAATATCGGAACGGAGAACGTTCCAGACGGCCCGCAGAAGCGCATCTGAACGCGCGCGATGAGACGGTGATCGTCTTTGTTCGATGGCCTATAGCCAAAATCTTCTGCTGCTGCTGCGATGATGATGATGACGACGACGACCCGAGTTCACACGATCGATGGTAATCAATAAATCGTGTGTTCATTTGCAGCGAACACTTTGTGTTGTAACGAGCGCGAACACTTCTTAACGCATTCGCTCGGCAACCAAGAAGCCAATGCGGACGCGGTCGGATCTTGCAGCTCCACCCCGTCAGGACGCGTGCCACACGGTGTTTGTACACAAGCCGCACCTTGATAATGGTTTTGTTGTGTGTGGTTTGGGCTTTAGAAAGACCGTCCCGTTCAAAGCGGTGAATTTGCAATCATCTGAGTCGCCGTAGATGCCCCTTGGTGCACGCCCCACCGTCGCCATGGTAACAACAACAATACCGTCGCCATGGTAACAACAACAACACCGTCGCCTTGGTGACGGACGAGCCGCTGCTGCTGAACGCGCGAGGCCTGCGCCGCTGTGAACAACCAACTCGTCAACAACCAACTCGTCAACAACCAACTCGACAACAACCGAATCGTCAACAACCAACTCAACAACAACAACCAACTCAACAACAACAACCAATTCAACAACAACCAACTCAACAACAACAACCAACTCAACAACAACCAACTCAACAACAACCAACTCAACAACAACCAACTCAACCAACACATCAACAACCAACTCGACAACAACCAACTCAACAACAACCAACTCAACAACAACCAACTCAACAACCAACTCAGCAACAACCAACTCAACCAACACATCAACAACCAACTCGACAACAACCAACTCAACACCAACCAACTCGTCAACAACCAACTCAACCAACAACCAACTCAACCAACAACCAACTCGACAACCACCAACTCAACAACCAACTCAACAACCAACTCATCAACAACCAACTCAACAACAACCAACTCGACAACAACCAAGCCAACAACAACCAACTCAACAACCAACTCAGCAACAACCAACAACAACAACCAACTCGACAACAACCAAGACAACAACAACCAACTCAGCAACAACTCGACAACAACCAACTCAGCAACAACCAACAACAACCACGGACGGACTCACGTTGGGTACGTAAATTATTATTATTTCCACCCCTCTACAAACCCGGCAACACGAGTTCGATTCCCCGCTCACGGGCAACACCACTGACGATCAACTGAACCAATCTCTCCCCTAGGTCGACTGAGCCTTAAAAAACGAGTACCTGGTGCGATGTGAGGGGGGGGGAAGAGCAGCATTTGTGGGGAGACAAAGGCGGCCTGGCGTATTGGTGCCCCTTATAGATCTTAACGTTCATCCTACAAGCTCCCATCACAAGGCAGAAACACAAACAAATAGACAATTACCACTAGTACACTCACCACTACTACACTCACCACTACACTCACCACTGGTACACTCACCACTAGTACACTCACCACTAGTACACTCACCACTAGTACACTCACCACTACACTCACCACTAGTACACTCACCACTAGTACACTCACCACTACACTCACCACTGGTACACTCACCACTAGTACACTCACCACTACACTCACCACTAGTACACTCACCACTAGTACACTCACCACTACACTCACCACTAGTACACTCACCACTAGTACACTCACCACTGGTACACTCACCACCACTCAACTCACTACTACTACATTCACCACTAGTACACTCACCACTACACTCACCACTAATACACTCACCACTACTACTATACTCACCACTAGTACACTCACCATTACTACACTCACTCACCACTACTACACTCACCACTACGACACTCACCACTACACTCATCACTACACTCATCACTACACTCACCACTACACTCACCACTAGTACACTCACCACTACTACACTCACTCACCACTACTACACTCACCACTACTACACTCACCACTACACTCATCACTACACTCATCACTACTACACTCACTCACCACTACTACACTCACCACTACTACACTCACCACTACACTCATCACTACACTCACCACTACACTCACCACTAGTACACTCACCACTAGTACACTCACCACTACACTCACCACTAGTACACTCACCACTACACTCACCACTAGTACACTCACCACTAGTACACTCACCACTAGTACACTCACCACTACACTCACCACTAGTACACTCACCACTACACTCACCACTGGTACACTCACCACTAGTACACTCACTACACTCACCACTACACTCACCACTGGTATACTCACCACTAGTACACTCACCACACTCACCACTACACTCACCACTGGTACACTCACCACTAGTACACTCACCACTAGTACACTCACCACTACACTCACCACTAGTACACTCACCACTACACTCACCACTACTACACTCACCACTAGTATACTCACCACTAGTACACTCACCACTACTACACTCACTACACTCACCACTAGTACACTCACCACTGGTACACTCACCACTAGTACACTCACCACTACACTCACCACTAGTACACTCACCACTACACTCACCACTACTACACTCACCACTACACTCACCACTAGTACACTCAACACTACACTCACCACTGGTACACTCACCACTACACCACTCACCACTACACTCACCACTACATACCAGTCAACCCCTTATCAGTTGCCTACCTTATTACAGACAAATTCAGACCGTATTCGTCACCCCGTGCCCTCATACATCTCAACGTTCATCATACAAAGTCCCATCACAAGAGAGAAACACAAATAGACGAAACTAAATGTGCCCGTATTGAAACGGCTGTAAGCCGTATAGACCTGAAAACTCAACTTCCCTGTACAAGAATACGGGTAAACCTTTATGGGTTGACAGGTGTAACAGTATACACACAACTATGCTACATGGTACTGAATTTGGGTGCAGTGTACCAGCTTATGCAACATGCTGGACTGCAGTATTATAGTGGTTGGTTTGTTCTATGGAATGACTTCCCCCGTCATTGTAATGTGGAATGTATAAAACTGCCTCTGATTTTTTATTAAAACATGAGCGCCGTTCCCATGTTCTTTTGATAGGGAAACCACTTGGGATTTTTTTTTTATCACAGCACAAAGGATGCATGGTTTACGTGCACAGCACAGGATATTTGAATATATGTTAACAGATATCTGAAAATATTCAAAAGGTAAGCTAATCTAGATGAAAATATAACAGCCCTTTACCAATCTCCTGCTGGATAAAGGCCCTAGCTAGGCTGTGTCGATCATGGGGGTTTGACCATACTTCACCACGGCTGGTCAGTGCGGATGGTAGAAGGAATGGGAGATGTGTGGGTAGGCTCAGAAATCACTCACCACTGATGCTACCCGGTGCTGGGAATCGAATTCGGTCATCAGGATCATATTGCTAACCACTGTGCTATGCACAGCTCCACAAATGTTTTATGAAGATTCAGTGGTTTGATGACTTGCTTAATGTCGTCTTGTTGATGCAGTAAACACATGTTATGTTCAAAACCAATGGCCGGTTGGATAAAATAACTCTTAAGAAATATACCCTCAGTTTTACCATTTAAATCAGTGCAACTTCGGGTAAAATTCTACTTCAGGTGCTTTGTGCGACTGACCACAACACTAAATCCATTGAGACATCTGGAGAGCTGTAATTATCTACAGACTTTAACTTACTATTTACAGCACTGTAATTTCAGATAACTTTCAAATTCTGTGTGGGACTATGACACCATCACATTTCCAATTCTCAACTTGTAATGTGCAGAATACATATATTTTTTATGCGTAAAAATGTTCAGATCACATTAAGTTCTTTTATTTTAAAAATGTCGTTCTTTGATGTGCAATTTTGACCTTTGATTATGTGAATGTTATGGTTGCCCGATGCAACTTAATGACATTGCTATCTGTGCAGGCTGCACAAGTTATAATGGATCAGGAAAGTGAAGGTGCCCTCTCCCATCTTCGTGCGAGTGAAGAGGCCATCAACTTCCTCGCCTCCATCGGTACGAACACTGGATATAAGCTCCTTAAATAGTGAGCATGAACCTATTTTAACCCTTTACGACTAAGTATGGCAAACGTTTATGCATTAGCTCTGCCCACCCATCTGTCCGTAATGGACTGGCACTATGACACTCATATAGATAATAAAATGTTAACTAAATTTGGGACTTACTTTTTTGAAAACTGGATAAGTTGATGAAAAGAAGTTTGCTCAAAACTCGGAGACCCAATTACATAAAAAATGCCTATTTGTAAATATACGAATAATTTTTCCCTGACAGCTACCAGTTGGCTTCCATGCTGCTGATGAAACACAAATAATCAATGCACGTTGAAACACAATGCATAAAGCATGCGTATTTATTATTTTTCCTGACTTGTTCATCAAATAATAACCTTATCAGAACCGTGTGGGCCACAACTTTAAATAGGATACACTATAGTAATAGGTTTTTACCCTTTCAACTGGTACAAAAACTGACACCTTTATACAAGGAATCATGTTTGCAATAACCACAACACAAGCAGTCAAAATGCAAACAAAAAGAAACAACTCTGATGATGATAATGATATGCACTGTCCTTGAAGTTGATTGGTCCACACCCGAGACAGCTTTTCTTAGAGCCTAGTCTCCATTGGTGTTGGACCAGATGACGCCAAAAGGTGTCAGTTTTTGTACCAGTTGAAAGGGTAAAAACCTATTACTATATTTTGCCACTGGTAAAGGAGGTCTCATAGTGTAGGATACACTATTTAAGTTATGGTAGTAAGTTGTGTTGTAAATTGGGAATAAATAGTTTTATTTAGATTTACATGAATTATTTCATGAAATCTATTGTATTTATTTCCATTTAATGAAAAAAGTCCATGTATTGCCATGCAGATAACACTAACCCATAGTGGTCCACCCTTATGAATAGCATCACAGCAAAACAAACACAGCAGCAGAGCACTGTGATGAAGGTGAGCGAATGTTCTCCCTTGTGAGTGCAGAACCACAGGAACTGAGCCGCTGCCTGTTTGGGGACGAGCTGATGACCATGTCACGGGACGGCACGCACCTGGGCGAATTCAGGATGCGAGTTTACTCTGCGCCATACCGCGAACACCCCGACAGTGGCGGAGGCACGCGCTTCCTCGTGCACGCCACCAGCAAGGGAGCCATCAACGACATTCCATGCGGCACAACCGTGTGTGGTGGGTTTTCTACGTGGTGTGCCACTTTGCACCTGTTTTTTTTAATAACGCAAGAATACGCCAGAGCTCGTCAGATCTCTGAAGCTCAACAGGGATGAGCTTGATTAGTACTTGGATGGAAGATTTAATGGGTATACCAGGTATTTGTAAGGTTAGGCTGAAAGGTAGCCAGCAGATAGTAGGACACTAAAGGATTATTTAATCTGTGTGGAACTTTGAAAGTTACTCCCTAATATGTGAGGGTTTTCTCCGGGTACTCCACTTTCATCACACTTGCCAAATACTCATGAGCGAATTGGCCAAGCAACCCAGTGCAGAACCCACCTGAATTAGAATTGTGATACTCTTTACCGATTAAATAAATATATTATTTGATGATACCGCATTGGCAGTGGCGCACAAGTTCCAAAAAACTAATGCATGACATTTCAGGCAATGCCCTTTCTACATAGCACGTGATGGAACTCAATCGCTGATGTTCATAGCACATGTGCTATTAAGAAGGACCATTGTCCTTTTGTCACCAATTATATATATTTTTATTAGGGCAGTGTTATTGACAAATGTATTTTTTGGATAAGTAAATTACATTAGCATAAATTATACAGTAGTTGTGACAGCTCCGAAAGCAAAATGTAGGGGGTTTGCCTAAAATGGAAACAAGAACAAGAAACCAATGTAATTTAACATCCTTCTTGAAACTTAATTCAAGATTTGAAGTTTTCGTGACTGCAAGGGTCAATACTCTTTGGTTTTTTCGGTAAAGTCACGAAGGTAAAAAATAAAATTCAAATAAATTAATGACACAGTCATTTTGCTGTGACGGTCCCACCTGAAGACGGATGCTTGTGTTGCCTCCAAAACGTCGTGATTTACGTTTTTATTTTTTATTTTTTACCTACGTGACTTTACCGAAAAACAAGCTGCTATAAATCTCTACATTAGAGGAAATATATTTACCTAATTATTATGGCAATATTGTTTTTCAGCATATGTCACCACCAATCTTGCGACACTGGAACAACACCATCATGAATATCTTGAGGTATGGAAAGTCACTTGAGAAAACTGAAGGGTTCATTGTTAATTCACTTTTGATATCTGAAGCGCTGAAGAAAGTTGCAACATCGTCACTCATAATGACGACTCATTGCCAATGGCAAAGGCATTAACATATAACCTTTGAATGTGAAAATACAATCGTTTTCTAGAGTGAGATTCTTTTATAAAGACCAATCAAGTTTTACTTCTCCTTTATATTGGGCAATGACCAAATTACCCGCAATGCACCCAAGCTCCTCATATCTCAGAAAGTACATGGGGTTGAGCATGAATAGTGCTTGGATGAGCAACCACCATAAAGCAGGTGTTACAGGCTCCTTTGAAACTATGTTGTGGACAGCGGAGGGCAATGCAAAAAAGTGCATTGCTGTACACTACTCTACTCCCATTCAATTGCTTAACCCAAACCCGCATATTGTCGAATAACCATCATGACCCACGTCCAATGGGGAGGCCTTCATCCAGCAGTGGATTGTAAATGTATAACATTGCGTAAAGGCCTTAAGAGTTTCAACAGATATGCTTTTAAATTTATTGCACGTGCCTATTTTTAGTATGTGCCTCTGGTAGTTATTCAATGTGTGTTCCCCATACAGCTGAATGAGCAAGCCCTGGACAGGAAGGTGGAACTGGTGTGGCAAGAAGAGTCACTACTTGTGAACAAGGTCGTGACTGAGGGAGAGGTGAGACTGTATATTTTAAGGAAATGCGTAATTGCTCTAAAAATGGAAGTTATCAGTTTTCCATGAGACATCATCCATTTCTGTTTCATTGACACTGCTTTTGACAATGGTGCATTATTTTTCTATGACATTTGCTATTTTATCGATTTATTCAAGGGATAAACAATACAGTTACACAACATTTAAGACAAATGGAAACATTTGAATGCTTTGACCTAACCAATTTGGCATGGATGATAACATACTGGCTTAATTTAGACTCCTCTTAGTCATATCTTGCCGAGCAGCTGGATCGCACAGGGTCATTACACCGTTGGAAAAGTGAGTATGAGTTTAAAGTTTTAACGTACTTTTATCAAACTTGTCTTTTTTACCAAAATTTATTCCAATTGTGCTTTCAGCGGCAATCTATTCAGAACTCGCGCAGAACACTGCATTACCCCGTGGTAGAGAATAGATTGCAGAAGGTGGTAGCATAGAATAGCTTCTGAGACAATAAGTTGGCAGCACTTTTCCGCCTACGCTGCGACAGATATTTTTCTTGACATGACAGTCAGACCATATGTTAACTGTCAGAGCTGAAATTAGCCAGATAGACTGAAAAACTAATTTATTTATTTGAAGAGTTATTGGTGGTACTTGATGATACTTGAAAACCCAGTTTCATCACAAGCACCTCGGCGGATTCGAACAAACTTGGATTATGACATTGGTGTCTTGTTAATATATGGTTTCTTGTATATGAACACTTGCATGCAGGAGGTACTACGGGAGTCTGTGCGCCTGGAGATGAGCCATCTGGCCGGCTTTCTTTCGGAGGCATCGTGCCTTCTTCTAACCAGGCTGTTGACACGGCGCGCACACGTACCCCATGACCTCACCTTCCTGTGCCTCGACTCCGAGTCCTGCCTTGCGACCTGCACATTCGTACGTGCGTGCACACCACTCAAGTGGCTTCCATTACATCATTAGATTGAAGTTTTCCACCAGCTTCTTGAGCCACTCGTCTAAGCCTGTGTTTATACTTCCTTATAGTGATAATAATCAATATACACACAAATCTAGAATGAAGCGGTAAAGAATCTCACTGGCGTTAACCACTGCTATTTTTGGCAAAAAAAAATATTGTGCATTTTTGTTTGAAATGTGAATTTTTTATTGTTAATAGCAAATAACTCTATTTGATTTGGTATCACTTTCCAGGTTTTCTAAAGCAACTGCATGAGCAAAATTTAAAGCTCAAAACAACACATTGACAAGCGTCATGCTTGATAGTTCACAGGTAATGGTAGCAATATTTTGGAGACACATTTGAATGACACAAATAATTCAACAAAACTGTCTTGCCTAGAGATCCTTGGGTACAGAAGAGCTGAGCGTTGGCGAGGAAAAGGTGGAAGTGTTTGGAATCGAAAGGACGCTCTACTCTCAGACAGCTCCACCAACCACGTGGCATAGCTATTATTTAAGAGATGGGTGAGTTAGTTTTTTTATTGTCACCAACATCATTTGGACTAATATCACCTGTGTTAATTTGAAATAAAATACTTCTAAATGTGCCTGCATGTACCAAAATGAGAAATACAGTGATACCTCGGTTCACGAACGCTTCTGTTCACGAACAACTCGGTTCACGAACAGAAAAGTTCATAAAAATATGCTCCAGTTCACGAACTCCGCTTCGGTTCACGAACAGGAGCCGCCGCCATTTTAATGCTATTTCCAGGCTGTCACATGGTCGTGACTTCCTGTAGGAAGATCGTGGAGAGAAGAAGAGACACAGAAAGAAGTACTGTGAGTACTGTGAAGACACTTTCAGTGGTTTTTTGCTTTTTGGTTTGCTTTTTAGCACATACAGTACTGTATTGTAGTACTGTACTGTACTGTACAATACTGTACATACTGTATTGTACAGTTCACCCGTTTGAGTGCTTACTGAAGTCATCTCAAGCAAGGTTAGTGTTCTCTCTTTATACATTACTATACTGTACAGTACTAATGTGTATTGTAATTTGTTTCATATTTTTGTGCTTCAAAAACCAAAAAAAAAGGTCAGAACGGATTAACCGGATTTACATTGAACCCTATGGGAAAATGTGCCTCGGTTCACGACCAATTCGGTTCGCAACCAGAGTCAGTTCACGAATTAAGTTCGTGAACCGAGGTATCACTGTACTCTAACACCCTTCTCGGACAGAATGGTTTTGCCCATGGAGGTGCTGCTCAGAATTTGTGTGTGCACTCACGTGTGAACTTACGACACCTCTGCTTTACAGGCATCTGGTGAGGCGTGAGCAAGTGGGCTCACCAACCACCATGATGATTGTACGCCTACCCGTACAAACACCTGCAGCAGGTACAGTCATGTTTTTTAAAAAGATATTGATGATAATGATCAGAATCAGATTCTTTATTTATCTGGGAGAAATCCAATGAGCTTTGAAGCTTTTTTTCAGAGATGTCCAGTAGGGGCTGGTCAGAAAATTACAAAAATAAAATGATGATGGCCATAATCACCCTCGTCGAGTCCAATATTTTACACATGAACAAATTGTAGTTATGCTATTTGAATATTGGTGTGTTGTTGTTCTACACATGCTTATTATTGTCTTAATTTCATAATACAGAGGAGGCTGAGGAGAAGGAGGAGGGTGGCACTGATTCTGGGGTGGAGCAGCAGACACTGAATTGGGAGGAAGACATGCAGATGTACTCCCATTTCCTCGACAGAAAGGTTGTAACCCCAAACATGACACTGCTCCCATTACATTCTTGTCTGCTTCGATCATAGTGTAATTAGACACAATTAACTCATTATAGACTATAGCACATTTAATGGCCTCTCACCTGGACGTGAAGTGTCTGATATACAAATGTAAATTGTATGATAATTATTCCACAGTTGTGAAATGAACACCGTAAGAAGCATTATCGCAAATTAGCTTCTTGGACGACGGTGGAGATACCCTACGTAGGCACGTTGATGTAATTTCTTTATTGACTAAAAAGACCATGCACTGTTTTATCAAAATTAGTTAATGTGGATTAAAATACGGTATTGCACTTACAGTTCACGGAAAAACTAGATACTCTTAATTATTTTACAGATAGGAAAGTTGCAAACTGGAAACAATATTTCCATGACATTTGGAAAAAAACACCAATTTCCCTTGGATGCCTGTACAACGTATAACTAGTATTTGTATTAAGACTAGATGTTTCTTAGCGTATTCAGGGTTAGTTTGTATACTGTGTAGTTTTGTACGAACTGCATTGTCATTTTGTGATGATTTGTAAATACAATGTTGTATTTATTAACATAAACAACAGCCAATCGTCTGTGTGATATTAGCTTTGCTTCCCATTTATCATACCAAAGGAATGACCTTGTGAACAAGGTACAGAATTGTATTCATTGATGCTATACCATTTAATAAACGTAAAAAATACACAGAATGTATGTAAATATCGTATTAGTCATTATATATTCACTGCTGGATGAAGGCCAACATGCTATCACCATTGCGAATGGCTTTGTGATACAATTCATCTACTGCACATGAGCTGCTTTCATCACTCTATCTTTGTGGTGGATGTTCCTTCTTTAAGCTGCTTGCGAAAAAACAATAATTATGTCTTTAACTTGGGTTTGCTCTCAAATCCATTTGATTCTCTTCACGTCTCACAATTTAATTCCAAGAATGCACCTCTTCATGCTACTTTGCACACTTGTCAGCGTTCCGTTTTCTTAGTCGAGTCAATTTTGTATATGTATGAATATTGTGCATATTTTACATCCATTGGAATTATCGTGGTGGGAGAGATGTAGCAAAATATTTTCCTAATGCAATCACTGCTGTACCTATGACTCAGTCCATAATCTCTGCTTTGTCGATTAAATGATTACCACTTCATGGGGAAGTCAATAGTAGTTGTCCTATGGAGAGATTACCCTCTGTCATATGAATGTAAAACTTTCACCGTTGACTCAGCGCTGTAAATAGAAGATGAAGACTGTCTCATTACTCATTTGAGCAGGAAATTACTTTGGCAACATGAGACGCTGTTGGTATCTTGCTGCAGACCGTAGTAATTCGGGAGGCTAGCGTGGCTGGCATGGGCCCTGGCGCAAGGAATGATTTGGAGCCCATGTCCAATTTCCCCCCTTCATAGCTGGGAGCCTGGACCCTTCCTGTGTGTAGGCCCTGGTGTAGTTGGACAGTGACATCATGCACAAATCTGTAAGTTTACCAGACAAAAAAAATCGCTTACTTTTAACGTAAGGAAACACGACTCTACTTTAAAAGTAGGCGATGTACACGATACACATTGCTGCGTATGAAAATGTCAGATTAAGTGAACAGTTATAGAAAATTACATTTGCACCATGGGCAACTACCACACTGGGTGGGGGCAGAAAAAGGGTGCCACAGTGGCGAGATGTTAACTACCTCGCCTGGTATACATGAAGGCGTGGGTTCGATCCCAACCCTGACGCCTGCATATTTGGAGTTTGCGTGTTCTCGCAGTCGCGTGGATTTTTGTCTGGGTCCTCTGGTTTTTTCCTCCACATTTAGAAACATGCCTTTTGAGTATTTGGCTACTGTACATTTCCACATCATAAACCACTTCGTTGAGCTATCATTTGTGGCCAACTCGCTTCTGAAAATAGCTATATAGCTCAGTGGGCCTTACCTAGTAAAACAATTTTTGTTTTATTTCGCTGGGACAGATTTGTGATGGTGGAATACACACTGTTGTACGCATCTGTGCCTCGTGGCAGGAGGAGCTACTCTCAGAGCATGCGGAGTATGCAAGGGCCCACCCTGAGCTGCGGGCTTTGCTCGGCGACTTCCTGCAGTACCTGCTGCTCCGTAAGCCGGCTGACCCTGTGGCCTGCGCCGCGCCCTACTTTGCCTCCTTCTCGGCACTGGAACGCGACATTCCCAGCACTCGCAGCCCTCCCACCCCTCAGTTCACCACCGATGCCACTGCTGCCGCATCACCAGGGGATGGGGTTGCTTAGCATCCACGCATTAGCGCTGCCAAAGCAATTCTTACAAAATGACTGCGCCTGTTTACAATTGCAACACAATGCCCCATAACTCAACAATAGGCGTGTTTACAATTTTTTTTTACAATTGAAACAATCCACATATTTCAGGCAGTACGTAAACATTCTGTAGTTGACTCAGGCCAATTGCTGATGTAATTTTACATGTATGTTATATACTATACTGTACATTCAACCATTTGTTTAGTTGAAAATCTAATTCCACATCATCTTTTGCGAAATACAGTAAAAGTAGGCTTACGGGAGTGAAATGTAATACGATGCAGTACTTATTTGTCTGATGTACAGGTGTATATTTACAAAAGATATAAAGCCTTTGTTGTTATTTTGGTGAAATTCATTACTTGTTGGCCAAATGTTCACAATGCAAACTCCTGTATTCAGAAGATCCATTATTCAAGATTTTTATTGGACACATTTCAGAAAGCACATGGAATGTGGGCTGTAACCCATCTGCAATGGATTGTTGCCTCTTTCCACCATCTGGCCAGTGTACAATTGATACCTTGGGTTACTGGACAAACATGGTAATATATATTTGATTTAATGCTTACAGTAAATGTGTAAATACAATATATTAACATCTACATTGGTTATTAAGCCGACAGATTTAGACATTAAATATCTGCTGACATGTCTACACGCATAATAAAGTCTTGTTAAAACATTCTCTTTTCTGATTTTGTCGCATAGTTTGTCAAAATACAAAGCACATCAATGCTACTCAATGTACATTGCTACTCAATGTACATTGAGTAGCAGAGAACCGTAGTATTTTTGTAAGGATTGTATTCAGACATACATGTGTAATAAAGGACTCTGTCAGGCGATGTAAGTCTCCGTTCGTCCTTTATTGGGTTCTTCTCCTCCGCACTCCGCTGGCCTCCTCCTCGGACCAGCGTCGTCTCTCACGCGCTCTGTGCACTCGCTTCCTCAACTCCTCCACTCGTCCTTCACCCCGCTGGTCCTGACAAGGGACCAGCGTCTCCTCTCGCGTGCCACGCACGCCCTGCTAGCCACTCCGCTAGCCCCGTGTGCCCCGCACACTCTGCTAGCCACGCCGCTAGCCCCGTGTGCCCCGCACACTCTGCTAGCCTCTTTGCTAGCCCCGTGTGCCCCGCACACTCTGCTAGCCACGCCGCTAGCCCCGTGTGCCCCGCACATTCTTCTCTCGATCCGCACACCGCTGGCCGACGGTGTGCCAAGCCCCATCAGCCACGTGGCTGATGGCGCGGCGGCCACCTAACGTGGTCCCGCCTCTTCACTCCATCGACTGGCCCCGATCTCTTCCGGGCTCCCCTCTATAACCTCTCTCCCACGTGACCCTGACTCCTCCCTTCCAGATCGTCACATCCGGCCTTCCCATTTACGCTCGCATTACACATGTATGACATTTACTATGCAGTGCAAAGTCTTATGGGACTTATTTTTGACCAATATTCCCTTTGAAACACTGGGAAGAGCATATTGAAATAAACTAGATATGGCCAGGTGCTAGAACTGAGCTGCCACTGCTGAGATTCTAGTTTCGAATTTAGCTGTCAGCCACCTGCCATTAATCCAGGTTCTTCATTTGAAGTGACTTTGTCTAAACCCAGTTACCAATTACTATTCGAAATAACATGACATTTAGTATTTCGTTTTACACCTAAGGGGCCGTCCATAAATGACGCCACGCGATTTTGGCCGATTTTTGACCCCCCCCCTCCCCCCACGGCGTCACAAAGCTCTGCCCCCCCCCAAAACCATATATCCATTTTTTAAAATAAAAAATGCTTCAAATCACTTTAAACTATTCTCATACTCTTTGGTTCTTTCGGTAAAGTCACGTAGGTAGAAATTTAATAAAACAAATCACGACGTTTCGATCGCAACACAAGCAATCTTCATCAGGTGGAACAACCACAGCAAGACAATGCTGAAGTAGGCGAGAGAGCTGCCGTGGCAAGAGTTTATATAGGTAAGAAAGGGGGGAGAGAGAGGGGGGTGTGGGGTCGGAGGGGTAGGGGGGGCGTGAGCGCTAAGGGAAGAGGACGTGAGGCTGGGTGGGGGAGTGGGCGGGGCTACAAGTGGGAAGCTGAGTGTGGGAAACTATTGTCATTGTAGTGCGTATTTAATGTGGCGCTGCACTCTGATGTTGTAGGACAAAACATTTATTAAAAAGGCGCTGGAAAGCTGAAATTTAGCATAAATTTCACTTGAAAAATATTCAACGTCTAACTAAAACTGCAGATGTTCGGAGTATTATATTGAAATTATCTTATAATTATAAAATATTAAAAGTTATAACTATAAAACAATACTTATAAAACTTTGTAGTAGAACGAAGCAAAATGAAGAGTACAATTATAACAATCACATATTCAGTCCACATAATGAAAAGCCCTGGTAGAATCATTAAAATAAAAATGTTTAATAACAATCATTTAAAAATTTTACAAAATGTATGCTTCTCCATTCTATATTCTTAGTTTTTTTTCGGTAAAGTCACGTAGGTAAAAATGTAAAATTAATAAAAGTTAAATAAAATAAAAAATCACGACGTTTCGGAGGCAACAAAAAGCTCCGTCTTCAGGTGGAACCGTCACAGCACGATTGCTTGAAACAGCAATCTATCTGTGACGGTTCCACCTGAAAACGGAAGCTTGTGTTGCCTCCGAAACGTCGTAATTTTTATTTTATTTTACTTTTATTAATTTTAATGTTTTTACCTAAGTGACTTTACCGAAAAAAACTAAGAATATGAATCCTTGAAGTCACGAAAACTTCAAATCTGGAACTTCTCAATTCTCCCACGGAGTTGCAAAATGCTCCTTCATTGAATAAATAAAAGGTGACCTTAGTAAATTTAAATAATCAAATAGTTAATAATGAAAATTAATCAAAATTTGTGTTATAATAATTATATTGTTTATATTTATTTAAAGTTGCGCATTTTATGTGACGTTACATTTCTCAACCCCCCCCTCCCCCCCTCGGCACACATCGTCACAAATGTCTGACCCCCCTCCCCCTCTAGGTGTGTGACGTCATTTATGGAAGGCCCCTGAATTAGAAAAAAAAATATGTTTATAGATTAATTAAAAGTTCAGTTTAACTGCCATACAACGATCGCTACAACAGGAGATGTGAGAGGTGCAGTCGCCACCTAGTGTGGATAGAACGTTCTGTGGTGCCAACCAATAGTAATTTTTTTTATGATGAAATACAATTTATTTTCCGTGAGCATTTCAAATAGTCCATGAGCCCAGACCAGATATTGCACTTGCCAATACCACCTGATGTGGGCATAACTTCAGCGGTTCCAATTTGGAGTCGGTTATAAAGTTATTCACTCGTATTTCCCATACATTATAAACTGGTATGGCAAAAATGTACTCCCTTAAAGTGGTACCAATTTCTGATTTGACCCCATGGACTAAAACGTTATAATTTTGGACTTGAGAGATAAAACATAACTTTGTCTCATATGAGATGTAAACAACAATCTGAACACTGCAGTGGGGGAAAAGTCAAAATATTGCTGAGCTATTGACCCCATGGACTAAAAAGTCTAAATTTGGAGTTTATAGACAAAGGATAATTATGCCTCGTACGAGCTTGCAAACAAGAATCTGAACATTGCGGTGTATGGGAAAGAAAAAGTCGAAATATTGCTGAGCTAAAAAGTATTTTAAGTGGAATTTTTCGATTTAAAGCTTTCGTGACTGCAGGGATTCATCTGCTTGGTTCTTTCGGTAAAGTCACGTAGAAGGGAAATAATAAAAATAAAACATAATAAAATACATTTTTATGATAATTTTATTTTAATAATAAAAAATAATAAAAAATAATACAAATAAAACATAATAAAACAGAATTTTATGATAATTTTATTTTAATAATAAATAAAAGAAACATAATAAAATACATTTTTATGTGAATTTAATTTAATTGTTTTATTTTTATTATTGTATTATTTCCCTTCTACGTGACCTTACCGAAAGAACCAAGAAGATATTTTAAGTGGCTTGAACTCCATAACGAGGGGAGGCGTGGCCAGAAGTGGCGTCTCGGCGGGAGGGGCGTGGCCAAAAGTGACGTCATGGATAGAGGCGTGGCCAGAAGTGACGTCATGGAGGGAGGCGTGGTCAGAAGTGACGTCACGGCGGGGTCAAAGGTAGCGGCGGCGCTCGCTGGCGGGGAGTTACGAATCCGCAGTGCGTGCTGCGCCTTGACAACTTCGCTATTGTCGAGCGAATTAAAGTTGTTGTTGTTGTTTAACTGTCGTCGCAGGCCGTGCTAAGGGGGCGCTTTAACGCGCAGCGGCGGTGATGCATAGTTTGTATATAAATGTGATTAAGTAATGCAGCAGGCTTAAGAGTGCTGTACTGTACTTGGGTGTTGTACTGTACTGCACAGTAAACATAGGCCTGGCGTTCGTGTGTTAAGTTCTTAAGCGAACGTATTGTGCTTTGTGTGCTTATTGTTGTTGCTTTTGTTCATATTTGACTTGGGCCGCAGTTTGATCGCGTTTGCCCCATACATAATTCTCAATTTAAGTGGATCATTGCACAGCGCTTTGATGAATGCACCGTACGTTGAACTTCTTTCGCACCGTACGTAGCCGACCGTGCTCATAGGGGGTGCGGGAGAAGAGAATCGATTAATCTATTCACGAGTACGCGAATCTCCGCTTGAATAAATGAACAAATGCATACAATCGAATAGTTAGGTGAGTGGATACAGGATTGCATTATACTGTAGTTTGAATCGGTGAATCCATGATTAAGTGAATGAATGATATCCGGAGGAAGAAGAGTAGGAGGAGCAGAAGGAAACGGGGAGTCGAGGCTGCGTGCGATGGTGAGGTCCGACACCGTCACCACCACCCATTACAGTCCTTTGTCAATCCACAGCGAGATGAAGGCTTCCCTATGCATTTCAATACGGCGATTGACCATTTACCACGCTGGTCCCTGCAAGTTGGTGAAGGTGATTAACGCCAGGAGCGATTAAGACATTACTCAGCCGAGCTTAGATTTCTGGGCTTGCAGGGCAATGCCGTAACCACTAAGCCAGCCGTTTCATCTCCACGCTTCCGTCCCATTTCCATGTGTTCGTTGCTTGGCCACTTCCCCTAAATGTGCTAATTTTAAGATGCACCGTACCCAATGTCAACCGAATAAACCTGACAGGAAAGCATTCCCACATGGATTCTTGCATTGCAGTCCAATATATGAATAGCAAAAGCCGTTCGCTCACATTGGAGTAATTGAGGAAATTTTATAAACATACGTTTATATTATTTGGGTGCGATATTCACGCGATAAGCCAGTTTGAGTTAGCATTTGTCGCTTATGAAAAAGAGCTATATAACTCAGTGGACCTTACCTGGTAAAATAAAATAGAATTGTTTTGGACCATTGGCTTTTTTCCCTTCTAGTTAAATGTCGTACCAATGTTCACTTTTCTTTTAAGTTTAAATTAGGTATTTAACTTACGTATGTTCTACAATTAATGTGTTAGTATTGATTAAAGTAAGAAAAGAGTGAATCTTATTTTTGATAATGCGCTGCCGTAATATAGTTTTTGTTTGGACATTTTGAGCACTGTATATTGTATTATTAACGATGTTTTATTTCGTAGGCTCTGGACACAAAAAACATGTTCAGCACGGGGGTTGAGGACTTCGACCTTGAAGATGAGGTATTCATCTCCTCACATGTTCAGCAGACTGTTTGCAAAACTGCAAAGCTTGAAAATTCGATTTTAAAAATCAGCCAGCAGTATGTTTCTGATGGGGATAAACAAAAAAGGGTTAAATGTTTTTTGCTGACGGGCCTAAAACAAAAATAGGCAATTTTATCTGACAACCAAAATAACTCCCTTCTTGCTTCGTCAAAACATTCATGTGACTTGGTGTCTGTTTTTCACAGTTTCCAAGCCCACATGCATCAACAGTATAATTACGTTGCTTTAGGATGCTGAATGATGCGCTTTGATAAAATTATTTGTTTTTAAAGTCACAATCCCATTTTGTCACAGGAGTTCATGTCGATGCTGGTGGACGTGGAAGAGCGGATTGCTGGTGGAGGGCGGCCGATGTGCAACTCAACTGGTGGAGGAGCCATGCATCCACCCATTGTGCAGACGGTGACACCATCCACGAGCAACCACCAAGGCCCCGCAGCTTCCGCAATCCATGCTGATGATGTGGGCCAGGGTGTGGCATCACTAGATCCTTTCGGCGATGTGGACTTTTCAGACCTGGATGATGAAGTTTGGTTGAACTTCACTCAGGAACTAGATGTTAACGGTAGAGAAAACTCAGGTGCGAAAGAAACGGCAGCAACAAATGAAACCACGAAATGCCCAACTTTGGGTTCCCGTGAATCTTCTGACTTTGGTCTGAGTGTCAGGACTATGACTGCCCCACCTGCAAAGAAGCTGCGGATGGCATCAAATTTGGAGAGTGTTCAGATGGGTTCTGGACAGAGCACGGTAAGCATTGGACATAATGGGTCAGGCAAGGTGTCGGTTCAGAGGTTAAGAGGACCTGCTAATGAGAGCAGTGAGAAATCGGTGATGTTTATGGCATCTGCACGGTTAAACCCTGTTCCAGTTGCTGATTCAGAAAAAATTGGCCACTCTGGCATGATGCAGGGTGCCGCTTGGACGAATTCCCCTCAGCAGCCAAGGCCATCTTCAACGCATATTGCACCATCTCACATTGGACTGCAGCAGCAGAACAGATCTTCTAGTCCGCATGTAAGAATCGCAAGTCACAGGCCGTCAACTCCCATGACAAACTCTCCACTTGTGCAATCATCTCGGGGCCTCGCCGTCTGCAGCTCCCCCATGCTCACCCGTGGTCAAATGAGAGGCCATCTCTTTCAGGGCCATGGAGCAAATCCGTGCTTGCCCACCACGCCCACGATAAGGCTCCACAACCCGAGTGCATCGGGACAGCGCTCGGCAGCCACTACTCCAACGTGGCTCATCACAAACCGACTCGTGCAACTCGTCTCGGCCTCCAACAATGTGACTCCCCGGCCCTCGCCTGCTGCTTCCTCTGCAGTGCCTGAAAGCACGCCGGTTCCCTGGCCCTGCTGGCCTCCTGCCTCAACAGGTATTTTCTTTGCCATTACGGAAGCAGAATGTGTTTTTGTGTATAATAATTTTAGTGCTTTAGAGTTTTCAGAAAATATGTACTTTAACAAATCCTTTTGTTTCATCCAAACATTTCCAACAGCTGAGCAGAAAAATGGATGACATCATGATTTCTGCTCCACAAACCCCAGCTCATGGAGCCGTCGCAAAGCTTAGCTCATTGGTAAGGTCTCTTTGCAGAACCACTGCACATGCTGTTCCTTTTCTAATGTGCAGTTCATTGTTCCCAACATGATTTGCTGGAGCCACGTGTCTCTCAACTCTTCCATACATTTTCTGTAGCCCTCTTCACAGCAGTCATCATTTGAGGAAGACTTTGGCCGGGGGCCGTGGGTTGCCATGAAAGCAGCACTGGGTGTCGATGAGAGGAACCCTTCCTCTTTTTTGTGCACGCACAGCATCATCATGGTGCTCCGCAAGGTACTGCGGCTTCTGGAGAAAATACTTGTTGTGTGGCATGAGTTTTCTGTTATGTCCATAACCTGCAATGACCACGACTGAACAAAATATTCATTCATCAGGGGATGAAATAGAAAGTGTCAGTGACTTTTCAATGTTTTTTTGATGTTATAGAAGCCGTTAAAATCTCGTGGTGCTGATATTTGTTTCCTATGAAGTTCAGTGAAACCTTTGGCACAGATTATTCAGCTACCATTGTGTTTGTACATCCAGCAGTAACCTAGGCACTGTATTAACACAAGTGATCCGTCATTTTGTGGGACAAAATGTGGATTCTGGTAATCTGTCCTCACTCATTTCACAACACGATATGACCTACATTTATCTTGAAGGTGGCCATCTGCCTGCACTTGTGTGAGCAATGTCAGGGCACACAATTATTTTCATTGGTTGTTGTTCAGGCCAGCCTCAAGCAGCTGCCAAAGGGAAAGGTGCCGAACATGTGCATCCTACTGAAATCTCTCGTCCAAACCGGCAGTGATGCAAAGGCCGTCTTCAAAGACCCCACTGGTAATCACATTGAAAACATGAAACGTGTCTTTATTGTGATGCCACTGTACATATTGCAGAACATTATGTAGTTAACAAGTACTTATGGGCAACGTGCATATGAGGCATTGTACAAAGGAACGAGCAACATTTTCCATACACTAAAGCATTGCAAAATCAAGTCCACTGTCTGCTCCATTGAGCGAGTTGTGCGTTTTTGAGTTTAAGATGTATTTTGTGCCTGCAGGAGAGATGCATGGCACCATCCACAGGCAGCTCGTTGAGCAGCATCAGTCGCAACTGAGGGCTGGTGTGGTGTTGCACTTGCAGCAGGTAATAATGCATTTGAACAAATAGGAATGCTACGTAGGATATGACATACGTGAATGTATTTGAGGAGTAGGCCAAGCTATGAACAGGTCATGGCAGTCATCACTTGTGACTCCAGCTTGAGGAGTTCACAAATGCTAATGTGACTTTTCCAATTTCAAATATCACACATGCACATGATTAAACTGACTAAATAGTAAGGAAAATAAATGTTTAACAAAGCACACTGCTAGACTGTTTTCACATTCAGACCTCAGGATATCTTAATGGCTCTGAATTTGCAAAGAATGGTGAAATATTTGTCCTTTGAAACTACTGCTGTCATATGAATACATCCCATAAGGGTTTCTTTCAATGACGTTGCTGTCAAGTGGACCTCCTGGCTTGCAGTACCAACTACTTGTGTGTGTATGTGTGAACGGACAGGTGGGAGTACTGTCCCCGAGCTGCAGAAACCACTACCTGAACATCACTCCTCGGAATGTGGTGCGGATATTTATGTCAGAAGGCTGTACCGAGACCAATTCGAGCTGCAGCCAAACAGCCGGTGAAGTAGCCCAGGTAAAGAGAATAACACAAAGTGCACTTGCACGACACACATCAAGAGATGTGGAACATTGTGTATTCATCATGTGTAAACTGCTGTTCAAATTCTTTTTTGACCTACATAACGTGCATTAGAAGGTGCTCTGGCAGTACAACCATGAGCCGATGTGCACCGTTGTTCTCTTTGAGCTCCGCTACCCAGGACCATCAGGCCATACCAATGGCTACCACATTCAGACAAGCCCCTCCCCCCCCTCCTTCCCCCCCTTAACTTGTATTTAAAGGCTTGCCTCTTGGATTTTTTCCTCACTTAATACAGTAAATTCAGCTGTGACGGTCCCACCTGATGACGGAAACTTGTGTTGTCTCCGAAACGTCGTGATTTATTATTTAATTTCTATTATTATTTCTATTATTTGCATTATTTATTTTTACCTACGTGACTTTACCGAAAAAACCCAAGAGTATGAATCCTTGCAGTCACGAAAGCTTCAAATCTAGAAAGTATATATATATATATACTGGTAGTGTGTTTGGATCTATGCTTGTTTGCAAAGTAGCGTAATTTTAAAATCCTTTATATTAAGCTTGCTTGCTTGCGTGCTTGCTTACAACCGTGCAAACCTTTCGGTCGTTTTTTAACCCACTTCCCGTGATCCAATCGAGCTGACATTTTGCACACAGACTCGTTGTGCGAGACAATTAATGTTCGTGAAAAAAAAATTCCAAAATTTTACACTGTTTAGGGAAAACAAATTAAATATTTAATTACCAATTGTTTAATACTGCAGACAATCATCTGACCCATAGGTGGCAGCCATCTCAAGCCAGAGGACGAGAGGACTCTAGCCGCCACACATATAAAGGATTTAGAGTGAAAAACCTTGTTTTTACGGGTTATACTTATTTGATTTTGTCTCCTGTCTCAAGATTGCTCAAGAAAGCATCCACAAGGTGACAGCTGGGGTAGTGGAAACTCAGGCTGAGAGCTCAGCAGTCACGGAGCGAGGAGGAACAGAGATGAAAGGAGGCTCACGGCAAACGGATGACAATCTCTCAGGCTTGGGTAATGCATCGCAACAAATGTCACATTGGACCTCCCTTTGAGCTACAATGATTTTGTGGCCACAAAAAAGGTGTAACTCAAGTGTATGTGTGCGTATGTGCGTGTGAGAACAGATAATCTGGACAGCTTTCTGGAAGACCTTCCAGAGGATGCGTTTGCAGATTTCTGACAATGCAGTGTAAGAAGACCAAGTGCCTACAAAATCACGAAACTTGAAAAGTGCTGTCAATCAAGATTGAAAAGTGCTGTCTGTGGATATGCTTCTTATATATTTAGCTTTTTTTCAATTTGCATTACAAAAATTGCTGTGTTGGTTACACTTGCCAAGATCAATATCATTTGATTTACAGTCATGGCAGTAGACTGATTCTTTAACAAATGCTCAGACAGACACATACTGTGTATTTTCAATGCTGTTTGTCACTTATTACATTATTTCTCTTCGTTTGAGCTTCTATTTGAAGATCATACACACTTGATGACCATGGTCAGTTTTGTCATTTGTTACAGCAGCAATACCAGGAATATACATTTGTTGGCGTTATAGTCAATATTCTATAAAGCATGTCCACGTTTATTAATGTCTATGGTGTCATTACCTGTCATGTTGAGGTGCTTCACAAGTCACAGCTGATGAATGAAAACAACTTTCTTCAGCGTGACTAGCGTATTGCATTTCACTCGAGCTAAGAAAGTTTTCCACAAAAATTTACTACAGTACTGTACTTGGCAACGTCAGTACAACGTACTGGCAAAAACGTGTTTTGCATAAATGTACTAATGGTATGTTATAAATTACATGCTGTTGATGAGATAAGCACATGTTCTTGAAAAGCAACAAAACATACTCTTACTGAAGTGATTAAAGTGACATCTTTTGTTGAAGCTAAAGCAATTTAGAGCTCGTCATTTAAGGTTAGCTCTGGGACATGTCTGCCGTATTTTTAATTGAGAGTGAGTAATTTTAGTTCCTGTGGTTCGTAATAATACTATACTGTTCTGTCATTTATCAGGGAAATCCTCAGTACCTCAACATTATTTTCAGGAGAGGGGTTCCGCATGTTTATCAATTATGGAGCATTGCAGATGGAAACTGAGGAATAGCACAACAACATTGCATTTGTGAGCTATATTTTAGAAAGCATTCTTACCTGTCAGCAGTGCCAGTTCTCAAGGAGTGTTTTACACGGCAAAGAAACAAGAGTTCCCAAAGAAACTCCACGCATACTTTGGGACAGCATTGAAAGGTCTGCGCAGACCGGTTCACCTCCCATTTTTTGTACTGCTATCTGGCCACTTCTAAGCCTGAGGGGATTTGGAGGTTTTAGAAATCTCGACATGCTCCACAAACTTCTAAATTCCAAAGAGGTGGGCCACAGGAATGTGCCATCACACCCGATAAGCGGTCACACATGGTGTCAACTTCGCAGCCAGGTGCTTTCTTGAAGCTCGTACAGACCACCCAGGCTTTACGCCCTATCAACTATTAATCATACACTAATCTGTGCATGTTCACTTGTGTAATAAATGCATGCAATATCATTTACATATTTTGTTACATCTACATCGAGGGTGTGTGGGGGTTAGGAAGGGGGTCTGGTGGTGGGGAAGCGGCCACAGATGATATCAGTGGAGAGTGAATATCTTAACCGGCTTTTCCCCCACGACACCAACATAGATATCGTCAAACAACCCGCTTGATAAATCATGGCGTGTGGAGGCCTGAACATTATTTATTGCCAAAGGGTTGTGAATTATGATTACTAACTACTACATGATACAAGTACGTTCCATAAAGTGGCGTGTGATTATAGTGCTGAACCATAACGCCCTCATGGAGGAATCCAATATCAATTGAAATTGCCACTGTTCTGATCTTTTCCGTGGTCGGAACAAGTAGAGGGCATATATGTTTACAACCAGTGGTGGTAATTCCACATTCCCATGACGGGGCAGAAGCAATCGATGGGATTATCGCTGTTAGTCTGGTGATAGCTTGTACCGATTGACGTGCGTCGTCATCATAAAAAGTGATGCTCAACACAAAACACGAATTCGACATCTTTAGTTGACCTCTAGGGGGCACGTGAACACCGCACTTTGTCCGACCGCAACATTCGTGTTTGTGGGGCGTTAACGTCGTCTCCCCACCCCCTTTAAACGCGACAAAGCAGTCTCGGGAACGCATGCAACTTCAGTTACACAACCGTACACTGCCATTAGCCACTCGCACAACAACAGCAGCAGCAGCGGGTTTAATTCACAAAGCCACGATTTGGTTTGTGTGAGATTTGAGTGGCCCCAGCATGGGCCCTGCTGGCAGCGTTTTGCTGCGTTGCGCCGGGGTGGACCTTGGGGTTCAGTGGGCTCTCGGTCTGGTGGCAATCGTCCTGCGCACAGAAGTCTTCTTTGATGCCGCAGGTGAGATGGTAATGCTTAAACTTTGCTTTGTTTTACAGCTAGAATGCTTGTCCGGTGAATTATATTTGTAGTCCATGCATCAGTCTGGTTTTTTTTGGTAAACCGCTTGAATTTTGATTTAAAGATTTCGTGACTGCAGGGATTCATCTTGGTTCTTTCGGTAAAGTCACGTAGAAGGGAAATAATAATTAAATATTGTATATTTATATTATTTTATTATTTCCCTTCTACGTGACTTTACCGAAGGAACCAAGAATATAAACCGCTTGAAGTTATTAGGTTACCATGCCTGTTAACCAGTTAGCAGTGCCTAGCTTATTACAGACCAATTCAGACCGTATTGGTCACCCCGTGTCTTTACAAATGTCAAAGTTCATCCTGCAAAGTCCCATCACAAGGGAGAAACACAAACAAATAGACAAAATGCATTGTTTCCCCCCGTATTGAAACGGCTGTACGCTGTATGGACCTGAAAACTCAATTTCCCTCTACAATAATACAGCTAAACCGTATGGGTTGACAGGTGTAGGTTACTTTTATCATGCGTGACTTTTCTAGTCGTAGTGCCTTAGGCCGGTAACCCCAAGCAAGCCTAGCTCGCAGAGTTTCGGATTATATCGAGTGAGATGTTCATCCCTTTGTTGGTAATGACTTTGACATGGAGTGATGGACCTGGCAGGGGCAATGGAGGTGATTGTGTCTTTTCGTCTCGTCTTCTACAGAGGTGTTCAAACTCGTGCGTTGTTGTGGAGCATTAATGGACAAAAGCATATACATTTTCGCAGAATTAAGATATTTTAGTCCATCGCCCAATATCCAGCAAAATTCGTGGAAGCGCACCGCTACATAGTTTATTTGCTGGTAGGTTAATGATCACTTCCAATTTGTTGAGAATATCATCATCAGCCATGATCTATCCAATGCTGATGATGGCCGAGAATAATACTTTATGAAGATACATTTCTTGTTTCTCCAGCGTGAATGTTGATCACCGAGTAGAGTTACTCTGCCGTGTTTATTAATGTAGATGAGAGTTTATTGAGATTGAGACATGAGAGGGAGTAGGAGTGGAAGTTGTTTTGACCATACTTCACCACGATGGTCAATTCGGGTTGGTGAAGGTAAGAGGGCATAGACGTGGTAGTTTCTAAGTACGGAATAACATTGGATTTTTCTTCACTACTGTATACACAACGTGTAGTAGCCGTGTAGCTTATAACGCATTCTGCATCCAAGAACACCTTATAAACAAATTGGTTGAGTTTTATACATCTATGTGTATAATGTGTATGGTCTCTAATCCGAACACTGCTTAGCTTCTGAGATTTGACGGTATAATTCCGGATGATTTGGTCGTAGCTGGCGCGTATTAAAGACCTGTGGTTAAATAAAGAGGCCCACGTGCTTATCTGTAGGAGCTGTAATGCAGGAACATCCCAATATTTACGCAAACATACAAACACACATACACATGGACAGCTGCTATCACATTCTAAAGACTAATGCAAAGCCTAAGTATTTTCAGTATAAAAATTAGGTTTTAAAATGTTTCATCAATTGTTCCTAACGTGAAGAAACTAAGTAAGTTCAACCAAAATACATAATACATTTTAAGCTTCAATACATGAGAAATCCCACAGCACCTTGTGGGATGAGAACCTATGATCTGGGCCCATGCAACCCATGACTTAATTTCATACGGCCCTTGGGCACATAAAAGTGTCTCACTTCAAAACGACTCATCAACGATATTTATCCGCAAGCAACTTAGCTGCACAAATCGGGTATTAGAGGGGAATATGTTTGACCTGGCAACAATGTTTCTCATTTGAACACGCTCAGTCACTTACGTAAGTGAGAGGACTTCATGCAATGACAAAAAACAACTGAGGTACTGTATGTGTAAATGTGGCCCTTGGTAATGAATAGGTTTCCCACCCCTGTATTAGCATGTACGTATGTCACATTCTATTACATGTCATTTTAATGCACTATAATCTCTATGAACTCATTCCCCATTGCTCTTTAATCCGCTTGCACTTATGCCCTGACATTGTGGATGCTGCTTTATCTAGGTTCTGGTACATTTCTGCTGCTTACGTACTTAAGCCGGAAATGGAGCAGCACCAAATTCCTGCGCCAGCAAATCCAGAGTGGTCTCGTGTCCGTCTGGGGACTCCGGTGGGTGCATTTGTTCATATGTGATGTCGCTTTATACAGGGAAATAGGGAGAACTCTATTCTGCGTCTTCACATAAATAAAAGTCTATTTTAGTCCACCAGCCTCATTGAGAGGTGATTACACATTTACTAGTGAATGTTGTGCATGCTCAGTCATAAACTTAATTCCACTGATGTTTCTGTTTTAAGGCTGGGTATGTACCTATTCCTGCGAATCCTTCGCGAGGGGAAGGACAGCCGTTTTGACAAGGTGCGAGACAAACCGTCCATCTTCTTCATGTTCTGGACATTGCAAGGTACCCAGCTGGGAATGTGTCCACCAGAACTCAATGCAACATGGCATCAGACGACAACACCATATTCAGCACAGAAATACAGTTTTTTTGCCGCGTTATCTTGGACTTTGAGCAAATGGGCAGTGTCATTTAAAGAGTGTTACAGTTGTCTCCAGAAGTAACTTGACAATTCAGACTCTTAATCGAGTGAAGCTTGATGAATCATAAGAATAGCATGCCTGCAGGTATGTAACCAAGCAGACCACAGTACGACACTGTGCTCATGTTCTTTGTTTCTGCAATCCCTGGTCAGAGTCTAGCAATGTGAGTGTGCCAACACTTTTTCTGATGCGATGAGATAAGGCTGTAGCATAGTTTACCTGCAGACAAGTAACTAGACATACCAGAACAACACCAAAGTATATAATGTTCTTACCCTGTCCGTTCCATCCATGGTCGTGGTCTAGCTGTGTGGGTGTTCGTGACGCTGCTGCCCACGCTCATCGTTAACACGAAGAAGCAAGACTCGCCGCTGACACTACGCGACTATCTGGGTTGGGCCGTGTGGGTTCTCGGCTTCACCGTGGAGATGCTTGCCGATCACCAGAAGTCCTTCTTCCGCAGCGACCCCAATAACGTAGTGCGTTTCTTTTCTCTCATGTCATCTAGGGTTGTTGTCAGTGTGTACATAGTACACAATCATTAGCATCCAATGTTGGACCTATAGTGCAGGTGTGAGGAATATTTTTCCTTGTGGGCTAAAGATGACTTTCAGATACCTATGGCAAGCCACAAATTGAAACACAGTATGTCCAAGTGTAAAATATCCCTTCTAGTACCCAATTAGTGTGGTTAAGATGCTTGCAATGATGGATGAATATTGTTGAGGTGATTTTTTTAAAATATTAAATGAAAAGAAAAATAAGTTGTGATGATGAGTACTCTTGTCATGTCATTGCGGGGACATTAAAAATGATTGGCTTGACGGCACTACAGTGCGAAGCAAAGCCACATTAAATGTTTTGATTCCTTAATAACGCACATCGCTTTTTCAATCTACTACTGGGATGATGGCCTCCCCGAGCTGTGTTGGGCATGGCAGTTTTTTTTACCTTACTTCACCACATTGGCCAATGCAGGTTGATGTAGGAGACCCAAGACTTTTAGCTTTGGCCAGCAATTGAATTAAGATCACTGGCATAGCACAATGTCCTAACCACTGCACCACCACTCCACCCCATAATTATTAAATCTTGATGCTTCAAAAGTCACATATCACCTTATCGCATGCCGTTAACCTACAACTTGAATTTGTCAATTCCATACAGGGAAAGTTTATCCAAAGTGGACTGTGGGCATACAGCCGACACCCCAACTACGTTGGTGAGATCCTGCAGTGGCTGGGCCTCTTCGTGTCAGCCTCGTCGGTGCTGTCCGGCTGGGAGTGGTTGAGTGCCGCATCGCCGCTGCTCGTGTGGCTGCTGTTGTCGCACGTGAGCGGCGTGCCCATCCTGGAGCGGCAGGCGATGCGGCGTTGGGGTCTCGATCCCGCATACCGCGCCTATGTAAAGCGCACGCCCGTGCTCTTCCCATTCAGCCCCTGGTGATGACAAGTTTCCAGCAACATCCCCACGGTTGTGGGGCCGTGGGCCATTCCCATGGGGAGGCACCCGCAGTGATAATGTTGTTTATGAATATAATGATGGTAATACTCATCAATAAAGTGTGTTTACGTTGCTCAAAGATGATTATAAGTGGGCACATATCATTCAGCATGACTGACTTGTGATCTAAAGACCAAAACATGACTGAACATGAAAAGATGAAATTAACTAGTCTGAAAATGAAGACTTAAGATAATTTAGTAATTTTAGTTGAGACTGCAGTGCATTAAGGATTGAGGAAAGCAAAAAAACTGTAATTGGCTATGTATGGAAACATTTATAGAGTTCACTGATTGACATATTATCAGGGAGGTATTTGCACACCCCTCAAACCAATATTGAATAACTAAGACTGTTTTAAGTATTTTCTTACTGCGATAATAACTTGGTTGATGAAAATAAAAAAAATGTTGCCGCTATATCCACGACTACTGTGTATTTTATAATTTGCCTCGGAAATGTATTTTATTGAGGTGGCCAGGTGGCTCGGTGGGCGAATACCATTTCAGAGCAGTGAGCCAGCACTGTTGAGCTCCTGGGTTTAAATAGGCATCTGTGAAAAAGAGCTTTATACCTCATCGGATTCTTCCAGGATATATAAAGATTCGGAATTTTTTTTGGTGTGGGCTATTTAAAACGGAATCTCGAGTGGAGTTGGTTGACGGTTTAAATCTGTTCCCCCAAAAGCTGCCCGAACTTTAGTTTTTTTTTACTCTGGCTTTTTCCGGCTCCCAGGACTAAATCTGTATTTGCAGAAGACGAACACCTGCATAGCAGGGACATGTGAGGAGTTGTGTGGATAAGAGGTAATTGAAGAGACCTCCAGAAGTAGTTATGTGATGTCATCTTCAGAGGCCATTCTCAGACAAAGTAATGCACCGCTGTCTGTAAGATTTCCTCGTATGAATTTATTTGTATCCCATCAAGATTTAGTGTCTAGTAGTGAAAAATACATTCTACAATGAGTCGGTAATGTAAACTTGTCAAAACATGTTGCTGACTTCACTCAATGCCCTCTACAATTTACAATTTGTCTTTATCCTCTTAAAATATAAACCACAGTTCATACGTAATAATTGCGCTCTTATGTCACACCGTCTATTTTTTAAATAATTTATTTTATACCTACGTGACTTTACCGAAAGAACCAAAGAGTATCGATCCCTGCAGTCCCGAAAACTTCAAATCGAGATTTCACACCATCTGTCACCTCGTTTGTCAAGAGATACCTTGGAGCTGCTCATGCGCTCTACCAAATACAATCTGGCCGTTAGCCCCGCCCCTCGGTGACAGCCAATCACATTCTCACAATATCCGGAACGTTACCTATGCGCGCTACCAAATACAATATAATACTCGCTGGTTCTAACCTCCGATAACCTTACGAAATCGTCTCTACCGGATTTAATAGTGAAAATTTAACGTGTATGTCATTGACGCAATGTTCACGACGAGAGTTTTAGTAAGTCTGGCCTCCACCGCCGAGTGCGGGAGGCCGCGCTCCCTTTTGGTTTTGGCCGGTCGAGTAGGCCTGAGCGGGAGCCTACGGACTTTCCTGAGCGCCCTGCCCGGCAGCTGCACTCGGTCGAGGCCGTCCCCGCGGGGAACTCGGGCCCCGGGTCGCGTCGTCGTCTGCGCTGGGAAGTCGCAGAGAACGTTTGACTTGAAAGCTTCTTCCAGTGGTGGAGCTCAAGAGAATGTGAGGAGCAATGGGTTATGGTTGAGTGGTCACACTAATAACAATAGGTGGCGATTTGACGGTGGTGGTGGTGGTGATGGCAAGGTCTTTAATGCGCCGCTGCCCGTCGCTGCTGTGTTCGGTAAGAGGCAACTTTCGTGGGATACTTTTTGTAGAAAAGCTTTAAGTTGCACTATTCTTTTTCGTTCACCAACCTGCATTGACTACAGCTCGATGAAGTATGGTCAAACAAGCCCCCGGTGACCGGGTTGCCGGTCACGAATGTTTGCTTTGACCGCACTGCGACATCAACTTACAGTAACATCAATGCAAATTATAATGTAGACGTCGTGTTATGCAAACGTCCACGTTTAGAAGAAGAAAAAAAAACAATGTTATATATCGATTTAAAGCTTTCGTGACTGCGGGGATTGTTGTTGGTTCTTTCGGTAAAGTCACGTAGAAGGGAAAAACTAAAATAAAACATAAAAAAATGATTATCACGACGTTTCGATTGCAACACAAGCAATCATCAAATCATCATCAGGTGTGAAAACTACAGCAAGATAATGTTAGCTCAAGTGGGAGAGATGCTGTGGTAAGGGGTTATACAAGTTAGAAAGAACCAATAATACAATGTTAAATACACAGTCGTCATTTGCACTTTGTGTCGGGGGTGTTAAGCTGCTGCTGGTGTTAATTCTTACACTTGGCGCAGGTCTGTCCTTCTTGTCAATGTTGTGGGGCAACGAAGACGACGAAGAGAAGACGCCCGAGGAGAAAATCATTCATTTGCTTAAACAAGCAAAGGTACAATAACCGCACCGGTTTGCGCAACTCAACCTTGATAAAGTACACTTTGGTGTGCCGTTTCCATTCATGGTGGCAATGGATTAGTAATACGTGGCCAAATTTTGGGTTTATGAGGGCATTTATGAACGTTTATAAATGGAGAGATTCTATAAGTCGCGTTTTACTGTTTAATGGCTTGATTTGAAGCTTTCGTGACTGCAGGAATCCATACTCTTTGGTTCTTTCGGTAAAGTCACGTAGGTATAAAATAGAATAAATCACGATGTTTCGATCGTAACACAAGCAATCGTCATCATATTAAAATTATGTAAGGCTGTCTTGCGCTTTCGATGTCAGATTTGTGAGCACGTCATCAGCGCTCACAAAGCAGTGAAAATTCAGTAATTTATTTTTTACTCAGGGGACAGCAAAATGCTCGTGAAGCTGTACTTTGAAGCTTTGCAAGTGTTCCCTAATGTCACATTTTACTTTGTCTGGAAGCTGCATTGACGATGTGACCAAACATCATCTGAAAATTTGGAAATGAATCGTAGTTTGATCAAGTCGACGGGACCACAGATATCATTTCCTGATTATAGCTTCTATTTTGTCCTAAACTTGGAACAGTCAGGGCTTTCTCTGCAGTCATAGGTTGAGCCCATTTAGTTGGCTGAAAACATCTGCCAAGTTGGCCAACTTAGCTAACCAAGGAAAATCACTGAAGCAATGTGAAAACTCAAACTTAGTCAAGTAGAAAATCCTCATTTACCCAGGCAACTCAAACAGGTGTGCGAGTACCTTTTTTCTCGAGAAAGCCAGCGGACTTCAGGATGAAGAAATATGTAGTTGACAGTGATCACTACCCATCTCGTCACAGAGAGAAGGAAAATGTTCTTGAATTCAAAGGTCGAACCATGATGAAATATACTGATTCCTCCATAACCGTCTGCAGGTCAGCAGGTATTTTTTTTTTAGCTAGAGCCACCCTGTGGATGCTGCAGTGGATGGATTTGCAAATGGTGCCACAGCTTTAACACGAGTAACAACCCCACTGCGTTGGCCTTTCAAAGCACAAGCCCCGTCAGTGCTTATTCCAATACATGTTGACAAATCAATATCCATTCTCTTTCATAACTTCAAAAATAGCCTCTGCAGTTGCACGCATAGGCAACAATTTGCAAAAGGGGAGGTTCTCATTCACCTCTCCATTGAGGATGTTATTTTACAGGTAGGAACAACAGTTCCACACTGCCCACTAAGGGATTATTTGTCTGTCTGTCGTGCACGAATGGCCTGTCCAACCAAGTTCCTACCTGCCCACTCCGAAGGAACGTGTTTTTAATTTTCTATGGGCCCCCCTGGAATAGCCTCTCGGACCACCAGGGGTCCACGGACCACAGGTTGGGAATGTTGCTTTAGGCCAGGGGTGTCCAAACTTTTTGCAAAGAGGGCCACATTTGATAAAGTGAAGATAACCGGGGGCCAATAGTTCCTTTTGACATTTTTTTTACCACAAAGTTACGTGGAAATACACACTGTTATAAAACAATTTTCATTGTCACAATTACCTTTATTTTTCAAATGACAATGTAACCAAATATAAGCCACTCAGGCAGACGTGAACAACTCTACAAACGCAATTCTGCCTTTCATTCAGTCAGATAACATTGAACAAACTGTATAGAATATCTTAAATTTCCATGAGTTTTATGATGTATTTATTCTGACAGAGCTGGCGAGCCATAACTAACACATTATAAGACCGAAGCTGCGGGCCGTATGAAATCTGCCCGCGGGCCGGACTTTGGACATGCCTGCTTTAGGCTCTCTCGCGCTTCTTCACGTGGAGGCCCTTCTGCCAGCAGTGACGTGAGCAGTAGCATTTCAGGGCTGCATTTTTACCATTCTGTATATGTGTGTACTTGTGTTTGTGCTGCCTCAGCTTTGTGTGCTGAAAAAGGATTTAAAGGGTGCAGAGAAGAAGCTGCACGAGGCACTGTTTATGGCTGAGGAGGAGAAGCACACGAATGCAATAATCTACACCTATGACCTGGTAAGCTGACTTCAGCTTTAAACACAGCTGTATCATGGTTGTATTTGACCAGCTCCAGACTGTAAACCCACTTAAAGCACACAGACCTAGAGTCAAGTACATTAACACCGTTAGCTGACATAATAATTACATTATAAATCCAGTTCATTATAAATAACACAATTACAATTATAATTGACCCAAGGTGTGTAGCCCACACATGCCCCATGTGTATGGACCTTGGTTATTTTATCATGATCACAATTGACACTTCATGATTGCTATGCTGGGTATGGTAGCACATGCCTGTGATAAATTATTGTAAAGTTAGAGGTTGATAGATCACACAGAAACTCAAAAACCTGCGAGGTTGCCAAGAGATGATGGTGGAACAACAAGTGGGTCTGTGATCTTGTTTCTTGATTTTTGAGTGTTATTATTCCCTTATTTGTAGTGGGTTTTCTCCAGAAAATAGAGTTTTCTTCCACAAACAACTCTTTAGAAGTCCAACATCTCAATGCAGGACTCATCTGAGAAAAAGTTCTTCAGACTCGGTGAACATTTTCTGGATAAATAAATGATTTTTGTGTTTTGTGTGCAGATGGCCAATGTAGCTTTCCTCGCAGGAAAGCTGGACTCTGTGAGTACACGATTTTCCCATTGCAGTAGAACATCGTGTCAATTCAGTTAATTAAGTACACATTCTTAAATATGTATAATGCTTCAATGCTTAATTTATGTGTAATAATATGCAAAATTCTGCTTTCACCCTACTGACCACATCACAACCTTGGTCCCTGCATACCTCACGAATAAAGGAAGCCCCATATCCCCTGTGGCATTTGAGATCCTCTGATTTTTATTTGGTTGTTCCTTTTATCCATAAAAAGATATACACGTGGGAACGGTATTTCAGCTGCAATGCACTCCTTTTCTGGAACTTGCTTCAAGCAACTCTTAGATCAGCTACTATCCTCTCCCGATTTTAGGTCTAAACTAAAGATACAGCTGTTCTTTCTATCTTTCCTTTAATTTGTGGTCCACGACTGCCAATGTAATATTTTATTATATATCCATAATCTCAGTACCTCTTCATAATCAACTATTCCACACCTCCGATTAGCATGGCGGACTAATTACAGTCCGAAAGAAGTTCAAATGACATACGTAAGCAAATCTATCATTTAAAAATAAACCTATAACATAAGTGCAGGTTGGAAAACCATGATTTTCAAGTACAAAAATGTAAAAGCATAGCCTCTGTGAAAATAAAAAAGCAGGAAATACTGAGGGTTTTGATTGTTGTTAATTAAGTGGAGTAGACTTTGTAAATTTATATCTGGCTCCCTAGGGTCAGTGTTTTACTTTAAATCGCTTCTAGTTTCTTTAGAAATCTGTTTTGCTTAGTTATTTTTGTGTAAATTATGATAAATCTTCAGGTAGGTGTTCATATATTTTACTGTATTCTTACTAATTGTCCCTTACTCTTGGATATTTGCCACCCCTATATTAATGTATTATAAGGTGGTTTATAAAATAAAGTTATATTGAATGACTGGAATGTTTAAATAATATAAAAATCTGAAATGCACGTTTTTGTTATTTTTAGGCTGAGACCTTGTATAAAGCCACATTGGGTTTGATGCTGAGCTCTGGTGTTGAGAAGGTATCAAATTGGATTACCTTAGACCACACACACACACACCACAATGATGCCATTCATTTACAGTGATATTGGGCGATGTATTTACTATTCTGATCACTACACACGGTAAGAAAGTGAATATTGTTATTCTGCACTTAGGACAATAATGCCGCCATTGAGATATCGCTGAAGCTTGCGGCCATCTACGCTATGCAGGGCAAGTGAGTACGATTTCTGAAAACACAGGCTTATGTGACATTTAAGTACCACCAGTGTCAATGGGTTTACATCTCTGATGTTTTTGTTACTGCAGGAATGAGCTTGCAGTACTTGGATATGAGTGGTGTGTGAAGTTGATGGAGGAAAAGCTTGTGCGACTGACAGAAGTGACTGATGGAAGTTTATCAGGCACGTGAATCGCAGCAGTTGGTGACTAAATATTAAGTGGATTTTGACCGCCCACACCCATCTTCCACGCTTGCCACTGATGTGCTCATACCTGTGCCTTGGTTTGTGTGTGCGTACAGAGGAGTACAAGGCCAACACACGGTTGCTGCTGGGGATGACGCTCGACTCATTTGGGCGTTACCTCCGGGCCAACGGTCACTGGGAGTTGGCGCGCCAGCAGTACGTCAAGGCCCTGGCCATTTCACATGAGGTGCAGGGGGATCAGCACCCACAGGTGACCAGGTTTGGTGTGGAGGATCTTTAAAAATTATTATTCCGTGTACAGTACAGCTTTTTTGTCAATCCACTGCTGGATGAGAGCCTCCCCATGCCGTCTGGGTCATGCAGGTGATTTGACCAGACTGAACAATACTGGTTAGTGCTGGTTAAGGAAGGGAGATAAAATATATGGGAATGTATTGTACAATTGTTCACCAGAAGTAACATTTTCTAATTAGTTATGTAAATATGCTACGAATGTTCTTATTCTGTTCGAATATATTCACCATGTTGAGTTATCATGTATTACCCCTGATAATACGCATTTGTTAAAATCTGTAAAGCAATGCTGTCCACAGATAAGACACTTGGATGTTACTTGTGCTGCTGCTGCTCAGACAGTGGTGCTGATGAGTGACCTGGCCACCACCTTGGACGCACTGGGACGCTTCGCCGAGGCCGAGGAGTTGTCAGGGCGTGCATCCATCATCGCCGAGGAGACCGAGCATCCGGAGCAGCCCACTGTTTTCCTGAACCACGCCGGGGTCCTCCTTCACCAAGGCGCGGTAACAGGGCATGACGAGACGTGACGCAAAAGGGTGGCACAACAGGGTAGGAATGGGGGATGTTTCAGAGATAGCCAGATGATGATGGTTGACAGATTAATTTATTTTACAGCTGTTTGTCAATTCACTGTTGGATTAAGGCTTTCCCATGCCTTGTCAGCCAAAGGGGTTATTTAATCATACCTCACCATGCTGGTTGGTGTTAGTCAAGGCGGGGAGCATAGATGTTTGAATATAGTACAGTAAAATGGATTTTGGTAGCCTTTTCTCTACTGCCCACCATGTAGTCCTACAACTTTTTTTTTGCATGATGGTCACCAATCAACTGAGACTTAGTTAAGGCTCCATTTTGGAAAAATTCCATTCCGATAGTTTACAAAATAGAATTGCATCTCATTAATATTTAATGGCGATAAGCAATGTCAATATTGGTATGTTTTTGAAGTTCTTTTTCTATTTTTCTGACTTCAGAAAACTACAGCCTGGCCGAGGCCATGTACATGAAGGCATTGAAGTTCGCGGAGAAGCAAAAGGATGCGATCACTGCTCAAGAGATCAGAAAGGGCCTCGATGAACTGCAGAAAAGAAGAGCAAAAGCACAGATAGCAGCAGTGTGAGGACAGTGGCTGTGGAAGTGATTTATCAGCTGCATCTGAAGTCACGACAGTAAGTGGAGGAGACTGGGTGTGTTGTGTGTGCAACACGCTGGACATTTTGAAAAGTAAAACATTCGTTGCACATTTATATCCTTTGCATTGTACGAATAAGGGCATTCCAAGTGTAATATAAACACAAAACTTACTGTAAATGTTTAGTTTATTGAAATTAGAAAATATATTTCCTAATTGTTTCGTGTCATGTGCTGTATGGCATTTGCAAGTGCTGAAATTCTGTATCGTTCTTAGCTAATGATGTATATTAAAACATCCAGTGCATTCAAAGTGTTTTTACTTTTTTGTCTATATTTACTAGCTTTACTACCCGGTTTCGCCCGAAACTTGGATTCTTGTGTTGGATTAATAGACGGCTTACGCGGATGGTTGGGGGGGTTGTGTGACGTCAGCAGGCACTCTGCGTGACGCTGCCGCATGCGGGTAATGATGATTTGAACAGGTGATATCACGATTTGGAGAGATAATGATGCATGTAGATGATACAATTCAATGCGTTAAAATATCAGGATGTGATGCGTCTGGATGATGATTATGTGATGACGGGAATGTGATAGGAGGCAATGCATTTGAGGTTTAAAATTATACTATGATGCCCGGAGGGTTTAAGATTATATGGTTTAGGGGGATAATGATGTGATTTGTGGATGTGTGTCTTCTTCAAGACTTAAAATAAATTGTTAGAAAAAAATATATCCATCCAATGCATGACCTTGAGGTGACTTTAATGCCAGGGATGGAGGCTGGAAATATGGAGATCATTCATAAGAACAATATCAATATGATTTAATATTGATGAATCGATGCATTCTGACACCCAGTCTTAGCATGTTATTTATGGTGTATTGGCATAAAATGAAAACTAATTAGCACAATCTCTGATTATACGTTGTTGGTGGCGATGGTGTCTGCATACAGCGAGGCTTGACCAACCCCGCCAAGGCCTCTGCAGCCTCTGGCGGCCCACTTCTTCCCGCGGTCACATTCTGCGGCCTCTGCTCACAGGGAAGCACCACCAACCCTTCTCGGGCCTCCGCCACTTCTGGCGGTCCGTGTCTACCCAGGTCACACTCCATGGCCTCCAACCATCTGTGCTACAGACGGGCATCTCCTATTCCTGCCAGCATGCCACCACTACCACCGGCCACTATTGCTCATCCATCTTGGGCCTCCATCCCTGCCTGCCGGCACCGATGCTCATTGGCGCTCTGCTGTCTCTGGCTACGAGTGCCAGTTTCTGAGCTCTCCTTTCAGGGCTGTGCCTGGTGCTTGCTCTTGACTGCGGTTTGCTTCCCTCTTTACATCTTGGGCCCGTCATCTTCGGTGGCCTTGGCCGACATTGGGCTGCGCACTGCGGCCATCTGGGCGCCATGCCTGCACATTGGGCTGCTTTTGGTGGTCGCTGGTCGACGCCTGTGGCGACCACGAGCAGAGCACTGCCATCATCCCGCTGCTGTGTCCCACCATCGCCAGTAGTTTTTTTTTTCCGCCGCCAGCTACCAGCTCCGGCTTCTCCAAACAATGCATCACTTGCTGCAGTGTCTTGTCACCTCCAGCTGCCTACTTGAAGACTACATAACCTACTCATCCACTGCTCTTGATCGGCATCCATCCTCATGCCAGTTCCTCTACCTTTAGGTCATTCCTACTTGATTTACTTTTCTCTTCACCCCTGATCTTTCTTCACTCGGCAATACTTGCCAGCTTTGCCTCTTTCGCTGAAACCATAAAAGTGGCTGCAGAGGTCGCATGGCTACGGTCAGTAACTCCTTGCCTTCTCACTGCTTTCTCCGCCGCCTCTTCAAAACCCTTTCCTCACCACAATGATGACAACTACTACTCTGTACAGCAGGCATCACATTCGGCCGATTAAACATCCCTTTGATCTTTTCCCTAATCACCAAACTATGGATCAGAGCGCGAACGCAACATAAAATGGGCTGGAGCAGCACACGTCACTAAAAAATAATTAACCAAGAGACATTGCATTATACCAGGGGTCCTCAAACTACGGCCCGCGGGCCACATGCGGCCCGCCGAGGACATTTATCCGGCCCGCCGGGTGTTTTCGCCGCCGCTGCCTGTCTGTTACTTTTTTTCTACATGAGAAGGACGGTCATTGGTGGAAGAGGGAGAGGGGGCGGAGTTCCCCCCAATCAGACTGCATTGATGGGCAGTGCAGTCTGTATGTCTCTGTGTGGGCAAAGTTATTGCTGGTATATTGTTTTTGTAGCGCTGTATATATATTGGTATTTTACTAATATCAATTTTGACTCCCTAGGAAACAATGATGTCAAGAAAGAGAAAAATTTACTCGGAGTGTAGGATATTCAAAGAACAGTGGACTTATGATTACTTTTTCATGCAGTACAAGGAAAGAGCTGTGTGTCTAATATGCCAGAATATAGTGTCTGTGTTCAAAGAATACAATTTGCGTCGACACTATGAAACTCAACATAAAGATAAATATGATTGTTTGGTCGGAGAAGTGAGAAAAGATAAAATATTAAAACTGAAAAATACATTAACAACTCAGCAAAATACTTTTGTGAAGCAGAAGAAGCTAATAGCGTGCACTGGCAGACCATTCGTGGACGGAGAATTTGTTAAAGAATGCCTTCTTTCTGTTGCCAAAGAGATGTGTCCAGAGAAGGCCGATTTATTTAGTACAGTGAGTCTTTCAGGACCTACAATTACACGGAGTATTGAAGAAATGGGAGACAATTTGCATCAGCATTTGCAAAACTCCACAAAAAAACTTTCCTATTTTTCCTTGGCACTCGACGAAAGCAATGATGTTCGTGATTCTGCACAACTTCTAATTTTTATTCGTGGGACAAATGACTTTCGAAGTCACAGAAGAGCTTGCTGCACTGCAAAGCATCAAAGGAACAACTACAGGAGAGGATATCTTTCGATTTAAAGCTTTCGTGACTGCAGGGATTAATCTTCTTGGTTCTTTCGGTAAAGTCACATAGAAGGGAAGTAATAAAATAATAAAAGTAAAACATAATAAAATAATTCTCACGACGTTTCGGCCACAACGCAAGCAGCCGTCCTCAGGTGAAAACCAGGTCTGTTGGGGAGACAGCGTCTGAATGAAACAGCACACGAGCTTGGAGCATATATAAGCTGGGTTGGAAACGGGGGAAAGAGTGCCTTGACAAAATAATTTAATAATAGTACTACATATGCAGCACGGGTATATGTAGTACTAATCACATTCCTGCATTTCCCATAAATATGCAAAATTCCTCTTGATATGCAAATTCTTTTGTCAGGGCGCTCTTTCCCCCGTTTCCAACCCAGCTTATATATGCTCCAAGCTCGTGTGCTGTTTCATTCAGACGCTGTCTCCCCAACAGACCTGGTTTTCACCTGAGGACGGCTGCTTGCGTTGTGGCCGAAACGTCGTGAGAATTATTTTATTATATTTTATTTTTATTATTTTATTACTTCCCTTCTACGTGATTTTACCGAAAGAACCAAGAAGAGAGGATATCTATGAAAAGGTTTGCCAAACTGTGAATGGTTTGGAGCTGAACTGGGCTAAACTAGCCAGTGTGACAACTGATGGTGCTCCTAGCATGGTGGGGTCTAAGAAAGGAGCAATTGCTCGCATTAACCAAGAGATGGACAAACATAACCATTCTCATCCAATAGCCATACACTGCCTCATCCACCAACAACCGCTGTGTAGTAAATCACTGAAGTGGGACTCTGTTATGAAATTTGTGGTATCTTGTGTTAACTTCATTAGAGGTCATGCACTAAACCACAGACAATTTCAGGAATTTCTGTCTGAGCTAAATGTTGACTATGAAGATGTTCTGTATCACACAGAAGTCCGTTGGCTGAGTCGAGGGAGAGTTTTAAAACGTTTCTATGACTTACTTCCACAGATTACAGCTTTTCTGCTTTAAAAAAACAAAGAAGTACTAGAGCTCAATGATGCAGAATGGAAATGGCACCTTGCCTTTCTGACAGATGTAACAGAGCTACTCAACAGCTTCAATGTGCACCTTCAAGGAAAGGGGAAGCTCATCTGTGATATGCAATCACATGTCAAAGCATTTGAAGTAAAATTAGGCCTCCTCATCAAACAAGTGAAGGAGGAAAACTTCTGCCATCTCCCCACAACTAAAAATCTGTTAGCGGAAAAACCATTGGTTGCATTCCCAAACAAAACGTGTGCGGATTCACTGGAAAAATTGCAAAAGAAGTTCCAATTTAGATTTAAAGAGCTTCATCTCCATGAACAGGACATACAGCTTTTCCGTAACCCATTTTCTATTGACATTGAAAATGTGGATACAATTTACCAAATGGAACTGGCTGAACTGCAGAATTTTGACTCTCTGAAAGACGCATTCAAGTCAAGCAGCCTTCATAATTTCTATGCATCTCTCCCCTCTGAGACATATCCTCATCTCAGGAACCATGCACTCAAAATGGCAACCATCTTTGGCAGCACGTATGTCTGTGAACAGACTTTTTCCAGAATGAAACATTTGAAATCTCCAACCAGATTTAGACTAACGGATGCACACTTGCATCACTTGTTACGACTAGCAGTGACAAATATGGAACCGGACATTGACCATCTCATTAGCCAAAAGCAGGCCCATAGTTCCCATTGAAATACTGGCAAGTTTGTTGATTTAACTTTACTAGAAAGTTTGTTGATTTAACTTTACTTGTTTTTCATTTTAAATATTGTATTTGTTCTCGTTTTGTTTCTTCACTTCAAAATAAGATATATGCAGTGTGCATAGGAATTTGTTCATAGTTTTTTTTTTAACTATAGTCCGGCCCTCCAACGGTCTGAGGGACAGTGAACTGGCCCCCTGTTTAAAAAGTTTGAGGACCCCTGCATTATACTGTACTGTACAAGGCTGGGAGCAAAAAACTCCGATCGTAATAAGGGAAGTCAATAAAGTACTGGGCGTTTACAGTACATTTTATCACAAAGAAAACCACAAGTAAAATGTATGATGTGATTTTCTTAATTGTTTGTGTTTCACGGTGAAATAAATCCGAGACATTGAACAACATCATCGTTACAGTCAGTCTTTTATTGACATGGTTTGTATAGACCACGGGGCGGCACTGGTAGTGCAAGAAAAGCGAAGTAGCGCGTCCTATCCAGTAGCTTGTGACCCACAGTAATTGTATTGCTTCAACATGCTGCAGCTGCCCCTCCACATACAAAAATAAAGTTTTTTGGGGGGGGAGGAGGAGTGTTGGGGGGGGGGGGGGGGCGCGCTGGGGGGTGTGGTAGGGGACTGGGCGTTTGGGGGTGTAGGGGACTGGGCGTTTGGGGGGTGTGGGGGGGGGGGCTGGCCGTTTTGGGGTTGTGGGTGGCTGTATTGGGGGTGCCTAGGCGTTTGGGGTTTGCGGGGGGTGTAGGGGGACTGGGGGTGTGGGGGGCTGGGCGTTTGGGGGTTGTGTGGGGGGCTAGAGGTGTGTAGGGGGGTGTGTGGGGGCCGAGGGGTGTGTTGGGGGCTAGAGGTGGGGGGGGTGTAGGGGGTTGTGGTGGGGGTGGGCTGGGGGAGTGGGGGCCGAGGGGGTGTGGGGGGGGGCTGGGGGAGTGGGGGGGCTGGGCGTTTGGGGGTTGTGTGGGGGGCTAGAGGGGTGTAGGGGGGTGTGTGGGGGCCGAAGGGTGTGTTGGGGGCTAGAGGTGTGGGTAGGGGGTTGTGGTGGGGATGGGGGTGGGCTGGGGTGTGTGTGTGGGGGGGTGTAGGGGGTTGTGGTGGGGGTGGGCTGGGGTCTGTGTGTGTGGGGGGGGGTAGGGGGTTGTGGTGGGGGTGGGCTGGGGTCTGTGTGTGTGGGGGGGGGTAGGGGGTTGTGGTGGGGGTGGGCTGGGGTCTGTGTGTGTGGGGGGGGGTAGGGGGTTGTGGTGGGGGTGGGCTGGGGGTGTGTGTGGGGGGGGTGTAGGGGGTTGTGGTGGGGGTGGGCTGGGGGAGTGGGGGCCGAGGGGGTGTGGGGGGGGCTGGGGGAGTGGGGGGGGCTGGGCGTTTGGGGGTTGTGTGGGGGGCTAGAGGGGTGTAGGGGGGTGTGTGGGGGCCGAGGGGTGTGTTGGGGGCTAGAGGTGTGGGTAGGGGGTTGTGGTGGGGATGGGGGTGGGCTGGGGTGTGTGTGTGGGGGGGTGTAGGGGGTTGTGGTGGGGGTGGGCTGGGGTGTGTGTGTGGGGGGGTGTAGGGGGTTGTGGTGGGGGTGGGCTGGGGTCTGTGTGTGTGGGGGGGGGGGTAGGGGGTTGTGGTGGGGGTGGGCTGGGGTCTGTGTGTGTGGGGGGGTAGGGGGTTGTGGTGGGGGTGGGCTGGGGTCTGTGTGTGTGGGGGGGGGGGGTAGGGGGTTGTGGTGGGGGTGGGCTGGGGTCTGTGTGTGTGGGGGGGGGGGGGTTGTGGTGGGGGTGGGCTGGGGGTGTGTGTGGGGGGGGTAGGGGGTTGTGGTGGGGGTGGGCTGGGGGTGTGTGTGGGGGGGGGGTGTAGGGGGTTGTGGTGGGGGTGGGCTGGGTGTGGGGGGGGTATCCGCAGCAGTCTGCGCGGGACGTTGCCCCTTTAAAGGCTCCGGGACGCTGTCGCCATCTTCCGCGGGCCTTGTGCGAGGTGCCGGGAGCAGTCGCCTCAGCCCCGCTGCCTTGCTCGCCTATCGCCCTCGTCAGCACTTCGCTCTCGTTGAAGCGAGCGCGAGTAGTCCGACAACCGTGTCGTGTTTGTTTCGTATGATTTCGAGTGTGATTTAAAGAGAAATCCTCCTCCCTCGGGACCACGGCCTGACCGGCCTGCCCCAGCCCCGATCCCGCCGGCTTAGGCGCATCGTTTCCGGCGGCGTGGCTAGGAAAGGCGTAGGCGTCGGTGGGTTCTACACTTTACAGACACAATTCTAGACATAGTTTGCGTTTAATTCGTCATTGGAATCATGAACTGTGATCAGTCCACTGCTGGATGAAGCCCTCGCTCCCGGCAGTCCATCGCCAACCCTCACGGTTCTGCGATGTTAACAAGGAACCACTTTTAGCAAATGATTTGCTGGTGTCGCTCCATCTTCGCTGTTGAATGTCCGCAACATATGAGCACTGTAACGCGCCTAATTGTGGAAGTCCTTTTTTTTATTTATATTACAATTGTAATGGGGGTCCGATTCGCACACGTATGTTGTGTTTTGATTTCGGAAAGATTTGTGGACTTGGAACGTTTAATTGTAGGTGGCTTTGGTGAAGTATGTGAACAGGCGCTCTGATGCAAAGTTTCGCCGCTAATTTGTGAACCGGTCTGCAAATAAATATTGTTGTAGTGAGGACTTTTGAAGGCACTTAATGCAATCCAACTACGTACATACAGTTGTGTTTTTTAACGTTAACACTGCCGTGAATTTATCCATAAAATCGTTAGTTTTGAGACTTGTTCGGAGTGCCCTGCCAGCTGGTGTCAATGTGTCATGTCTCTCAAATGTGTGGCCAATTCCGTTGTTATGAGAGCGACTTTGTTGCCATGTCAGTGTGTTAAAGCCACGCAATTAATAACCAGGGGAAACTTGTGGTGTGAGCGTGAGCTTTCCTGGTATCTTGACTGGGGTTGCGTTACTTTGTAGGACAGCCTAAACCTGAAGCGTATGCCATAAACCACGTATTAAACGACTTGCCAGTATTAAAGCGAAGCTGAAAACATTGAGATACAAAACCTATAAATATAAACCTCAGCTGTATACGAGTCCATTTGCTTTTGCATGTGTAACCAAGTTAACGGTTGAGCAGTGACGGATTGGTTTCCACACTACTCGGAACTCGGTCACCTGGATTTGATTTCCGGCCAGAGCTAATACCAGTGGCGAGTGATATTCGAACTGATTCTGGACCCCACCTTCATGAACCTACACTGACCAGCGTGCTGAAGTATGGTCAAACAATCCCCCCACACTCAAACAGTGTGTGGATGCCTTCATGCAGTTGTGGGTTAGAAAAGGACTGTGCAAGAAGTCATTACGATTTAATCGTCTCTCTTTAAGGGGATACCTGAAATAGAAAAATGTATGAATGAAAACATGCCGACATTCGTTTGTATGCATGTATGTTGAACTTCTTTAGCACCGCACGTTGCCCACCGTGCTAATCGGAGGTTTAATCTGTGTTCCAGATGAAGGGGGTCAGCCTTAGGCAGGCCATCCTCCAGGCCTGGAGGGAACGCTGGCCTGACTATCAGTGGGCCATCAACCTCAAGAAGCTCTTTCCCAGGACCACTTCCTGGGATGTGCAGGGCTTGGCAGGTAAGATTTGCTTGAGAGGTCGTTGATAACTTTTAGGGTCATGTGCATACCATGCAGTGTTAAATGCATTTGACAATACCAGAGATGGTCATGAAAAATGTAATTCATGATGTTGGTGATTTAGTTGGATAATCTGTTACATTTTTTTCTTAGATCATCTTTTGGAGCAGGCTATGGTTGGCCCAGCTCCGAATGCGCTTATTTTCTCATATCTAAAGTATGCCATCAACTCACAGGTACCTGCCTTAACCTACAAATTTATGTACAGTAAAACCTTGGATTGAGAGCATAATTCGTTCCGGAAACGTGTTTGTAATCCAAAGCACTCGTATATCAAAGCACTCGTATATCGGTTGTGATCACGTGACGATCGGCAGACAAAGCGTATACACGTACTACTCGAATTGCAAGACCTCGCTCGTTTATCAAATTAATATTTATTTTAACATGTTGCTCGTCTTGCAAAACACTCGCAGACCAATTTACTCGCAATCCAAGGTTTTACTGTATTTACACTCATTGTGTATTTCTCGCACCATCTGCATAAATAATTGATATACAACAGTGAATGCAATTTTGCGTAATACATTTCCTGACTTTGAAATAATTGTGTTCCACATAGTAATTGTCAAATTTAAAATCTTTATTGCCTCTAGATGGTGTCATATTCAAGCATTCTTCTTGCCATCACAAAGGTAAAACTGATGTTTAATTTTGTATTCATAATTTGCTACTACGTATACTAGCATATTTTGGACCATGAATATACATTGGTTCTTAATATTAAATGTTATGTCATTGTGACCTTTTAAAAACTTTATTTGGTGTCACCCATGTCACTTGCAAATTAGACTAATCCTTGTCTCTTGAGTTCATATCTGGTTAACAAAATTACCTGAAACTGTAGTCACTTTAAAAGAACATTATTTTACGATCTGAAATGTTATAAGAGTTATTTAAATATTATTGTTGCAGAAAATATGTTCGGTTTTAATTGATTTAGGGGCATATTTGGTAATAAAACAATGTTTGTTTTCATTTAAGTTTGAAGACACTTCCAAGGAGCTCTGCATGAAGACCCTGCTGGATCTCATTAACAACATTTGCCCAAAATTGAGGTGGGTAATCCATAATAATCGCCTACAATGTAAAAAAAACAACATTGAATAATTCCCTGTTTACTGACAGGTCTGTAGCTCACATTGATGTCTTCTCTTCATGCACAGCTGTCATGGAAAGGCAGAGGAGTGCATGGGTCTGTGCCGTGCCCTGCTCAGCTGCCTACTGTGGCTGCTGCAGTGTCTGTCGCACTGCTTGGAGAGGCTCAGAGCCAACGCCGCCAACTCTGCCAATCCCGGTGGGGCCGGCTCGAGCGCCGGCGTCGACAATCTGCTGGGCCCCATCGCCGGGGCACTGGAGAAGCTGCTGGGCACCACAAAGAACCGTGCCCTTCTGCACATCGCACGTCTAGAGGAGCAGAGTATGTGCACGCCACCTTATATTAAAATCAGTGGGCACGTTGATGCATGTTTAAGCCACAATGACAATTTGTTTATCGAAACTTGAGAATTTAAATTGCTGACAATTTCAATATATTACCGGACATCCCCAGCACCTTTTATGAATATCTGTGCCAAGGTGTTTTACAAATGTATGTTTGTTTTTCAATTCTGTATTTTGAAGTGTGCTTGTTATTATCAGGTTGTCTGTGCAGTGTTGCCAATGCAAAGTGTTGTTGCACTATTATAGCCTGTGGATGTAGCCAATGTGGTTGTACAGGCCCTTGATTGTTGGTGTGATTGGCACGCAGGCATCTGGTCGGTGGTGGAGCAGACCGCGTGGAAGGTTCCCGAGTGCTTGATTGGCGTCAACATCCAGGATGAAGTCCGTACCCACCTGGAGGACAGCATCCTCATCATAAAAGGGTAAAACTAGGGCGTGGCAGACAATCCTGAATATTGGATTAAACTATTTAAGTCAACTGAAGATAGCTTGCCTCTGTTCCTGACTACCCAGATTTTTATTTTAGAATTATATCTTGCCAGTATTAGTTTCCGACATGACGTTGCTTACTTATGACCATATCACCTGGAATGGTCTGATCTCGTCAGATTTCGAAAGCCGGGATAGTGCTTGGATGGGTGACCACTATGCATGCTGGGTTGTCATGGATCTACAGGGCTATGATACATAGGTTTTTGAGGATAGTGCAGTAAAATCCACTGTCGCACTACTTGCATGTTTTCCGCCTTCACCAAATCGCACTCAGCAGCGCGTTAGAGTATGGTCAAACAATCCCCATGGCTGACATGGCATGGGGAGGCCCTCATACAGCAGTGGATTAACAACAGGTTGTGATTCTTAAAAAAAACCACCATTACCTTTGCTGGTTATTACATTCTCAGATAGATTTTACCTGGGTGCATTCGTGACTGATCGTGTTTATTGCTTTTGCAGAATTCCTTCGCTGTTGACCATACACGAAGAGCATTCCTACAAAACAGAATACCCCACGGTCCACGCTCTGGTCACACTAGAGGGAACCATGAACCTCACTGCTGACGGCCAACCGCTCATGGAGCACTTACTGCTTGTCAAGAAGATGCAGGTATCAATTGACGCTGTATTATACATTCGAGTTGACTTCAATTGTACTTGTTTTGCACCGTACGTAGCTAACCGTGCTAATCGGTGTGAGATGTGTTGTGAATTTCTGATGTTTTACAACATGCTGCACCAGCTGCTTTCCACACCAAAGCATTGAAGCATTGCTTGTTGACTCATCAGTGCGTAGTTCTGCACGACTTGTCTGCTGTTATCCTTTGCTGACTGTGTTTACTCTTTGCTCTATGCCAGCGGATACCCATGCAGTACCTTTTGCTGGAGGTGTGGAAGGCCTGCATGGTGGGGCTCATAGAGGCTCAGGAGGGAATCGAGGAGCTAAAGTGGACGGCATTCACCTTCCTCAAGGTTTCATTGTTTACTAAACGTTTTCTGGATTTGGATTTGAATCTGGATCCAGACTGATGCGCAAGTTAACATAGGCCTCATTGGTTAACTCGCCATCAATTGAAACTTCCCTGTGTCTCTCCCTATCTTTTTTGTCTTGATCTCTCTTCGTTAAGTATCTTCTTGTCCCTCACACCCTTTCTCTACGTATGTCTCTTATCTCTCCCTCACTGTGATCGGAGTTGTTGCATAGTAGCTACTGTTCCTTTGCATGTTCCTGCCCTCCCTTCCCCCCCCCCACCCACACTGCAGGCCTTGGTGGTCAAGTGACTGTAAAAATAATATTCGGCGTTTTTTCCGAATATACAAATAAAACTGTCGGTATTTGACCAAATTTGAAGGCAAAGCAGATATTAGATGCATCCCTGCCTTTGAGTGTGCAAATTAGTTTTTGTCATGCACATTTAAAACTTACTTAAAAATGATATCGGCCATGTTCTATTCACCGCTGGATGAAGTCCTCCCCATGTCATCACCATTCTTCATGGTCCAGTGATGCCGCAATCCATCTCACTCCTGTGCATGCGTTAATCCCATCACTCCATATCTGATGATTTAATGTCAAATTATTATGTATTATTTTTATTTCCAGATTCCACAAGTGCTGCTTAAATTAAAGAAATGCTATAATGGAGAAAAGGTAATCGTGTGATTGTGAAACCCACATTCCTTACATTAATGTTTATCTTTCTAAATTCCTCTGGTGTGTGAAAAGCTAGCAGTGACGGATATTAAAATGCTGACTTTTATCCACAGGACTTTTGCGAGGAACTCAACCTTGCCTTTGAGCATTTGGTGAAACTAACCCCACTGCTGGACAAAGCAGACCACAGATGCAAGTATGTACTTCACAGAATCCCTCATTGTAACAAAACCATGAAAAATTATTCAATGACTTGCATCGTATTTTCTAATTGTCCCAATTGCTTGTGCCTTAATTATCCTTGTATGTACTTTAGCTGTGACTGCCTGCAGCTGATACTGCAAGAGTGCAACAAACTGGAACTCCTTTCTGACATTCACATGAAGAAATTGATTGGAGTCAGGTACATGAATATAAAACAATTTATAAATGAAGCAATATTTTTTAATGTATTACATCGTAAAATATTTGTTTACAGAGGGAGAATACAAGGTAACGTGTGTGTAAGCATAGGTGGCATTTGTGTGTACAGAACTACAGATCGCGAACAAGTACCTCAGTCCAAATCTCCGGAGAACTCCAACGTGCAGCCCAACCCAGGACTCATCCTCCGAGCTGAGCCCACCGTCACCAACATCCTTAAAGTGAGAACGAGCGGCTTTCTAGGAGCCACAGACCATCACTATTCTACGCGTTGCTTAATTTCACCTTTTATATAAACCTTTGTCATGCTTTTAAATATTCCATCTAATGTAACACATTTTATCCCACCACATTTCTTCCGAATAAATTGTATCTTGGTTCAGCAACATGACAGCTTTGTCACAATTACACGTGTTTGTAAATAGGTGTCGCGTACCTTCTTTCACAGACCATGGACGCAGACCACTCCAAGTCTCCTGAAGGCTTGCTGGGAGTGCTGGGTCACATGCTGTCAGGCAAGAGCCTAGACCTGCTGCTGGCCGCAGCTGCTGCCACTGGCAAGCTCAAGTCATTTGCGCGCAAGTTTATCAAGTATGGCACTTATCTGCACAGAAACGGCTCACTCTAGTAAATGTTTTTTTCATTAGTGGCTTTTCACTGTCGTGCACCTAGTTTGGTGTGTTTTATGTTCATATGTATGACTTTACACCCGGAATTTAAACGACGATCCCCAAAGGACTGGTTTGACATTTATACCATGGCTTATTTGTATTTTTGTTTTCTTCCGCACTTTTGGCTGCATAGGCTGAACGAGTTTGCCAAGCACATGAGTGGAGAAGGAAGTAAGTTGAGACGTCATCATATGCACCAACATACGTGTTGGAGTATGCACCCGAGAATATTCTGGAATAATGATGCGCTAAATAAACTCCCAAGTCAAGGATACTGAGGCTAACCTGCTAATGAAAATTTCCCGGTATATCTGACTTCCAGAAGATAATGTACGCTATACTCGTGCTTTAGTAAATGAAGCATATTATTTATGTGTTATAGATTAAGTTGCGTACGTGTGGCTAATGTGCTAATTGTAAGCTGTTGTGTGCCTTTCAAAGCCAAGGCCTCTCAGGTCCGAGCGTTACTCTTCGACATCTCGTTCCTGATGCTGTGCCACGTTACTCAGATCTATGGCTCAGAGGTAAGCCAACATATACAGCCTGGAATACCACAACCTCACACTGTGTATAGCAATGCAGCACAAGAAGTCTGGCACTGAATGTGCATGCTGAGTGCCGGATGTGGTCATTTTGCAGGTGATCACGTCAGACCCATCGGCGGGAGGTGAGCTAACTTTCTTCGAGTCGTGGATGCAGCTGTGCATGCCAGAAGAAGGCAAGAGCCTGAACCCAGAGCATGGGCTCCGCATTGATCCTAGCAAAGTGGAGGCACTCATCAATCACCTCAACTCTTCAGGCGAGATGAAGCTAGTGTGAGTAGTGCGCTTTATATCAGGACTGTATTGAAGCGTGGACTGATTGACCTGTGTTTAGCCTGCTCCAGGTTTCGTCGGGTGATATCACTTGATTATTTATTCTGAGTCTGTGTCTTTCGGCAGGCAAGTGAAGTGGCACGAGGTGTGTGCCAGCCTGCCGGGGGTTGTGAATGAGGTCCTGAATGCCTGGGAGCATGGACTGCTCACCATGGAGAATGTCCAGGTATTGCCAATGTCCAGGTATTGCTTTGTTTTGTGTTAAAACGTTATTTGTCAAGTTCTGTTTACACATTGGCATAATTGTTTGCATGTTTGTAATTACAACATAATAATGTTTACCAAAAATGATTTTACCATGAAGAAGGCCCATTAACTGAAACATCACCTGTTATATTTGTGTGTAGGTTATTTTAGCACCGCAGCTAATTCTGTATCAAGATCGTTTTTTTTACTAATGTACCAAATAAGAAATGTTCACATTGCTGTTTGTTTAGCTTAAAGCTATCATACCTGTGGCTTTTTAAATCAGTTTCTTTGGTTGTATTACCTTTGGAAATGCTAATTATGGTTCTAAATTCTAGATATGGAAGAGTTGGGTATTTTTTCTGCCTCCCCCACCCCCCAGAAAATCACTGACAACCTGAAGGGTAAAATGTGCAGCATGGCCGTGTGCTCGGTGGCGTGGCTCGTGACTCACATCCGGCTCCTGGGGCTGGAGGAGCGGGAGAAGCCACTGCAGCTCATCCAGCTGCTTGTATCGCCCATCCAGGGAGAGAGCACCCTGCAATTCTATTCGGAGAGGTGAGACGCGCACACCTACAACAACACTAGACGCTGCTCGCCACTCAGTGGCAGTGGCATCACTATGACATATTGTGCCAAACTCGGTGCACTCTGCGGCCACGTGAAGTGCCAAACGTTCTCTAGCAAGAGGTCACAGGACGGAACGAGGTCTGTTATGAGGTTAACTGCTTGAGATGGTGGCAGATGTACTATCTGCACTCCCCACTGTCCTATCTTGTCGTGCTTCAACTGACTGGTGCTGTGCTCATTATCCAGAGTGTCATTCCTTCGTTTTTCCTCTGTTCGCTACCACTTAGTAGTTAACTATTTAACTATTGCACTAACATCAGCTGTTTAGGTCGTTTTAAGATTTGGAATTGTTCACGTGTCTGCCTAGCTTCATCTAAAGCTGCTCCCCCGCCCCACCTCCACCCTGCCTTGTGCCCGCAGGGTGATCATCATGAGCTCCATCCTGGAGAGGATGTGCGCCGACGTGCTGCAGCAGACCGGCATGACGGTGCGCTTCCCCGGCGGGGCCCCCAGCGAAGGATCTCCGGCACCGGTGACGCGGGAGCTGCTGCCCGGGGCGCGGCCCGTTCGCGAGCTGCTCTCGTCCACGTTCTCGGCCTCCATGGCGCGAGGGCTGCTGCACACGCGCGCCCTGCATGCGCTGGAGGCCAGCCTGCACATGGGCGGCCTGCACTGGTTCACCAACAACCTCGTCAAGGTGGGAGCCCAACGGGGGGCCGCTTTTGGGAATGTGTTTTTCTTTTGTCTTGTTTTAGTTGTGCTTTAGAGAATGTGAAACATTCTAAAGGTCAGGGGTTGTATTTACATTACATTGATGTTTCTGTCCATTACACATTGTTGACAGTAATCACCACACAATTTCAGATTCATATAATTGAAACTACAGTGCAAATAAAACTATGATGTTACTGAAGGCCTGCCAATGTAGATCCAAAGATGCCTGTGTTTTTTTAAAGGTATTAGAAATGGTTTAATCTGCATGTATCGGCTCACAAAACGTTTCCCATACTTTTCAATGTTGTCTCTACATCTCTATTTCTGGCATCCTGTTCCTTTTCCAAAATTGTAGTGTCCAGTTTGTTGTGGATATGGTCCAACAGTCATCAGTTACTCTTTCCACTCGGCTTTCCCATTTCCATTTGAGTATTTTCGCTGTAATAAATGCATCAATTACATAATTGTTTTAAAATATTAAGGCTTGCTAATTGGGGTGCACACAACTCACCGTGGCCTCTCACAATGCACAGGAGCTGCTGCAGGAGACTCGCAAGGAGAGTGCGGAGACAGCGGTTGAGCTCCTGTACAGCATCTTCTCACTGGACATGCACCAGCTAACGCTCTCGCTCCTTGGCCATGTCCTGCCACCCCTGCTCACCAGCCCCGCCAAGTGGCCATTACTCACCGACCCACCAGGCCGGGCTCTTGCCAGGTTTGCCTGCTTGCAGACGTCCACGACACTCATGCCATAACCACTCATTTGTCCACTTGTGTTGCCGCCTCTTAACAATTGTCATTCATTTTTCGATTTCAAGCTTTCGTGACTGCAGGGATTCATATTCTTGGTTCTTTCGGTAAAGTCACGTAGAAGGAAAATAATAAAAATAAAACATAATATAATAAAATTCTCACGTTTCGGCCACAACGCAAGCAGCCGTCCTCAGGTCTCATTAAGAGACGCTGTCTTTCCGACAGCTCTGTTTCTTCACCTGAGGACGGCTGCTTGCGTTGTGGCCGAAACGTCATGAGAATTTTATTATGTTATGTTTTATTTTTATTATTTTATTTTTTCCCTTCTACATGACTTTACCGAAAGAACCAAGAATATAATTGTCATTCATGTTCGAAATGTAATTTTTTGCCATCAAATACTTCACTTCCTCAAGTGTATGAAGCTTGTTGATTTATTGCTCTTTCTGCATTTTTGGTAGTTACCTGTTGCTTAACCAGTGGTCGTTGTTTTGGTGTTCGGTTTAATGGTTGGGAGTGCGGTGAGCATTCAGCTAACAGCCTACTGTGTGACTTGGCAGGCTGGCAGTCTGGTGTGCCATAACCTCATACTCCGTGTACAACCGCAGTCAGACGTCTGCTCGCTACAGAAAGAGACCCCGGGAGGACATCGAGGTAAAGTACTGCCCTATATGAGCAGTCTTATACGAACGTTTTTTTTCAATCATTCCACAGTATACTTAACGATTCTTAAAGAGTGGTATTTTAATCCACAAATGGCTGAGTTTTTCTTAATCTGTGTAATTGTACTTGTTAATTTGATACTGTTTGGCTGCGAGTCCTAGAGTTCAAAGCCACTGCCATAAGTATTTTTGGATTAAATAATTTATATGAAGTTGCATTTTGACATTTTCAACAGGATTATGTCAGCCTCTTCCCGTTGGATGACACTCAGCCGTCCAAACTCCTGAGGCTGCTGAGCTCGAATGAGGAAGACCCCAGCATTTTGTCCAGCCCAGGTTGCCTACGATGCACTGCCCTACTATGCACTGCCTTATTGAGATCAGCTGTATTATATATTTTATTGCAGTAGACTTGTGGTTATCCTCATAGTTGTGCTTGTCTGCATTCTATCCTAAAGGTGACCGATCCATGAGTAGTTCTCTCTCAGCTGCTCAGCTCCACAACATCAACATGAAGGAGCCTCTGAACCGTGTGCTGGGTGAGTGAGGCCAAAGTGATGCTTAGGGTAAAACAATAATGGGACGAATTAATCTTGCATCCTTTTGTAATGCTTCAAGTCCAAAAATATTTAAGATTTGCTACTCCGACAACTCTGTGGCCCACAAATGGTACCATTTTCAATTCCATAATGGCTTCCACACATATGATAAGCTGACATTCTTGAGAGCGGCCATTATTTATAACGTATGTTTTGTGGTGGTCAACATGTCATCGCAGCCAATGCCATCAGTTCCTTCTGCGAGATTTTATAGTTAAAAATTACCTCCAATGAGTCCTTACAGCATCCAACCATCTGGATTTGAGTTTCAGTGTGTACAGTAAAAGTTCAAATGTTCAGCCTTTTTCTCAATCGATTGGTGGGTGAAGGCCTCCCCCCCCCCCCCATACTGTCTCAGTGATGGGAGTTTGTTGACCTTCACATTGGTTGAATTGGGGGAAACAAGACTGGTTCAGATATCATATGCCACTGATATGAGTCGTGCCCAGGAACCGAACTTGGGTTGCCGAATCAATAGCGCAATGCACCAGCACATTGTGTAGGCTGCATCTGTTATCATTCATTATGTTGGACAACATTCAGCTTGTGCTTCATTCATTACCACTTAAACGAACAATAATTCTCACAGCAATCTTTTTTGTCTCGTTTTTACAGCGAACCTATTTCTGCTCTTTTCGTGGAGCCTCACATCCAAGGTGGCTGGACCTCAGACTCAGTTTGTGCAGTGGTTCGTGGAAGAATGTGTGCAGTGCGAGCAGGGCAGTTGTACCAGCATCCTCCACTTCATGCCTTTCACCATGGTTAGTTCCCCACACAGATTTAAGACAGTTGTTAGGTCATTCTGTAAGATGGTACGTACAATTACACAGTATGCGATCAAGGGCAGGAATGATTTTCGGACCGCGCTCTGTATATAGTAAATACGAGCCGAGGCTCATATTCTCATACACCTTGGAATTATCCATGAATATGAAAAATATATTCAATTGATAGCGTTATTGAATATTCAATTGATAGAACGTTATTTTTTATATTGATATATATATATAAAAAGCAGTTCCAGGACTGAATTGTGCAAAAAGTTGTACTATATTATTTCCAAGTCAAAAAAATTCTGTTCAGGTACACGTTTAGTATGGCTAAGATACCTGCAGAGATGGATATCATTCGTGGGCATTTTTGAATCGGTAGGCCTCATGTGGCTGCAGGCCCTAGGTTCCTCACCCCCTGCATTAAAGTGATCGAGTTGAGCTTTTTTCAGTCCTTTAGAATGCTGGTCATCACGATTCAAGTACATCAGCTTTCATATTAAAGCTGTGACGAGCTCATTACCAGATGAGGTACTTTTCGAGGACTTGGCTATGCAGACAGCATTGGGAGTTGTCTGGAAACGTCGTTTAATGCGCATGCTACCACTGCTTTTGTCACAGGTCTCGGAGCTCATGAAGCTACCTGGCATGAACAATCCCAAGCTCATCTTGGCCATCACGGACCTCAGCTTGCCACTGGGCCGACGAGTTGCTGCCAAGGGGGTGGCAGCTGTGACTCTAGCCCTGTGACGGCAAGCGCAAGGATTGTCTTGCAGATCATGGTAGTGACAAGTGTGAAAATTGTTAATTCGTGATTGTCCATTGGAAGATTAAGTGCTTGCAAAAAAATATTTATGCCGGCCGGTTCATTTGGCTGTTCCTCACTTGTTGAGGGTCAGTGCCTCAGTATCCACATGTCCACAAACACATGGCAATTCACATGGTTTGCATTTCCCCTATTTTTACCAGACCACTTCTTCCTCCTCCACTTAGCACGGATAAAAGCGAGTTTACGATACAGTTTTTGTATACGACGAAAAACATGTGTAGCAATGTTTATTTTATTTACAATTGTATCAAAAGTACATTGAGCTCACTGGTAAAATGTTTTCAGGCATAGAAAAGGCGATTACAAGTTACTCTTAATGGTCACCATGACACTTGTGTATCGAGTAATGTGCTGCGAAAAAAAATACTCCTTGGCAATAATGTAATAGATGCTGTGTCCACAGATGCCTATTTATTATTATTGTTGGTGACATTGCGTGTTACAAATGTAATGTATATATGTAAAGAACAAGTAACTTTTGTAAGGTTAGGTTTATTTGTATTCAGAATGTGCGCGTGTTTTCATTGCCATTATTTACAAATGATATAATTAAATAGTGAAAAGGGCCTGTAATTTCCAATGAATAAAACTATTAACATTCTACAGAATTGGTATGCATTGCAGAGGGTGACGAATACCAAGGTGTTTGTGTACAAGGTGTAGGGGTTATTACGGGAGAAACGGCGGACAACAAACACAGGGCTGTCGGCACTCACATACACGGGTGGTCACACCGACGTCCGCATCAGTTATTGCCCACGCCCCCAGCCCTCGGAGGCGATCCCTATAAAAGGTGGAACCCAAAGAGCTCGAGGGGAGTTCGACACGAAGCTGACCAGTGAAGATCCAAGACTCGGGGAGATTAGGCCCTGGGACTCCCCGGTCTCGCCGTCCTTATAAGGGCCGAGCCGGGTAAGCCAGTGGCGCAGCCCAAGAGCTTCCAGACCGCTGCCCTTATCAGGGCAAGGCTGGTTAGCTGGTGCCGAGATCTGTGCTTGCCAGGGCCAGATCAGTCAGCCTCCCGTAGCCCAGTAGAGGAGGACTGGGGGACAGGACAGAGGGCTTAGTACTAGGGTGGGTTTCCCATAGTACGGGTGAAGGGGTCGATACCCCTTCAACTATTGTATCTGTCCCGGAGTTAATAAACAGTGTGTCTCAACTTCGACATCGTCTCCTCCTCTACTTACTACATCTGGTGTTGGAAGTGGTCCAAGCATGGATACGAGACGGAAGACTCGTGCCCAAGACCCAGGAGAGGATGACGACGAGGGAGGGGCAGTGCAAGACATCGCCGCCGGCGTACCTGCACAACAGCTGCCGGCTCCGACATCGGCGGGGTCGTCGGAGAGGGCCGGGACGTCGACTGACGAGTTGGCGTTGGCTCACTCGCGGCTGGCGGAGCTCTTGTATGCAGCGGCCGCTATGCTGGAACAAATAACTCGCCTGGGGCCGGGAGGAGCGACGCGGCGGGAAGATGGACAACGCCCGCCAGAAACTCCCGCCTTTACAACAGCGGGGCGACTCGAAATTCCCGCCACGAAGACAGTAGGGGCGGAGGGAGGAGTCCCAGCTCGTCACGCGGGGGACGGTGCCCAGCCAGCAGCCGCCACGTCATCGGCGGAGGCGGGTCGCGGTGGCGGCCTATCAGGGGTTGCAACGTCACCACCAGCGGACGCCAGCACCGACCAAGCCCCGACCAACACGTCACTGACGGCGCGACACCCATTAGAGTCCGCCATTACTCATACAGTACGGGGACGCGCTACGGATGCTGCAAGAGGATCAGAGACAGAGCCGACATTCCAGCAACGCCTGCCGGCCCTGCAGGTATTTGTTGCAAGCGACGGCGATTGGGGGGGGTTCCAGCGCCGGCTCTTGGCCCACCAAGAGATGGCAGGCTGGTCGGACAATGAGGCGCTGTGTGCTCTCCTGGCGTTACTGGACGGCGACGCCCTGGGCACCCTCACTGCTGCACCCAAGTCGGCACGCTCCACCATTCAGTCGGCGCTGCAGCTGCTGGCCACCGTTTATGGGCCGCCCTCCGATTGTCGCCAGCTCTTCTATGAACGGCAGAAGGGTGACAAGGAATCGCCACTCGCTTATCGCACGGCCCTGCTGTCATTGGCGAAAGACGCTTTCCCGCGTATGGATGAAGAGGGGATCGATGCGATGGTGGCCGAGAAAATTTTGCTGCTGGCTGACGATTTGGACTTCACCATCTTAGCGCAGGACGATGCGGATATGTCATCACTGCGGGCTGCAAGGCACATTCACGCCAATCTCATCTCCCAGCGGAGGAAGGCGAACAAAGCAGCTGCACGACACACCGTGGCGGCGACCTCTTCCGGAATGGAAGGAGCCTTCGCTGCGGATCGTTCTGCAGGATGGCGATCTGCCGAGCGACCGGCTCGGGACGTTCCAAGCCACCGAAACCAGCCCAAGTCCTCTGGAACGCTCGTCGTCTGCTATAATTGTGGCCTCCGGGGCCACGTGGCGTCCGGATGCCGGGCTCCTCGACAGCGCGGTGCGAGACCTGGAGCTGCGGACGGCCCTCCTCACAAGCCTTCGCAACATCCTTGGGCAAGTCATGGCACCCCACATGTTCGGCCTGCACACACACCCACTTTCCTATCACAAGGTCCGACACACGATTCTCGGGGTTTGGGTGCTGGTGCGTCGGGTCGCGGCATGTCGGGGAGGGCGCTCCAACCGGGCCAATGGTCTGAGTTGGCTCACCGAGTTGTGGCTGCATCGGCGGGGTCGTCCGTTGTCGCGGGGCATATTGACGGGGTGGAGGTACGGCTATTGGTCGATACGGGAGCTTCGGCAACTATCATTTCGGATTTGATTTATAATATCCTGCCCGTTCAGAGTCGCCCGTTGCTCCCTGTCGATATACCGTTTTACGCTGCGAATGGGGGCTCGTTGGGTATTATCGGTCAAATTCGAGCGCAAATTTCGATAGGGGACATTAAACTATCTGGCCCGGTGTTCGTCTCCTCCTCGCTGGCTATTCCGTGCCTGTTGGGGACAGACTTTTTGGCCAAATTGCCCATCAAAATTCTGATTGACCAGCAATGCATCGAGCTTCCATCGGGCCGACGTATGACGTTCCTACCTGCCACCCCTGCCTTGCGTGTTGCCTGTGCTACGGTACAGGCGCTTGTTGCTCGGACGGTGCGTGTACCCCCGGGGGCACAGATGTTGGTACCCCTGCGCTTGCGTCGACCGTTCGATAAAGGGGTCTCTGACCGGGGCGTTATTTTGGGACCATCTAGAGCCGGGGTGAGTGGGCCAGATCTGGTGACGGCCCAGACTATTGTTAAAGGGGATGGGGATCCGTTTATCGCGGTCCTCAATGTCGGGACACGGACGGCAGTGGTTTCGCAAGGTACCGTGTTCGCACATGCGGTTCCGGTACCTGCGGAAACGCCGATCATTGGCCAGGTGGCCACCGATTCTCAAACGCGATTAGCCTCAGACGCTGGCGAGGGTTGGCTGGATGCGTTGTGTGCTGAGTCACCTGACCTGTCCGACGCACAACGTGCTAAATTACGCGCCTTATTGCGAGAATTTTCCGACGTCTTCAGTAAACACAAATACGATATCGGATGTACCAAATTGCTACACCACCATATTGACACCGGTGACAACGCTCCTATCCGCCAAAATCCTTTTCGGTTAAGTCTTGCCGAAAAGGATCATGTCAAATCGGCTGTAGATGACATGTTGAAATCGGACATCATTTCTCCCTCGACCAGCCCTTGGGGTGCACCCATAGTGTTGGTTAAAAAGCACGACGGGTCCCTAAGGTTCTGCGTTGATTTCCGGCGATTAAATAAGATCTCGGTGGCCGATGCTTATCCGCTTCCTCGAATGGACGAATCGCTGGATGCCCTCGCGGGATCGCGATTCTTTTCCACTTTGGATTTGCTCTCAGGATTTTGGCAACTTCCCTTGGACGACGAATCTAGGCCCAAAACAGCTTTCCGAACGCCGCACGGCCTCTTCCAATTCAATCGCTTACCCATGGGATTACACTCTGCTCCCGCGACGTTCCAGCGCCTGATGGAATTGGTCCTCGCTGGCTTGCAATGGGAGGTGTGTTTGATTTACCTGGATGACGTTATCGTATTCAGTAAGACGTTCGAGGAACACCTTGATAGGCTTCGGGCCGTCTTTCTCAAGATGCGCGCTGCTAATTTGAAATTCAAGCCACAAAAGTGCCATTTGCTGCGCGAATCTGTTAAATATTTGGGTCACATCGTCGGCCGGTCAGGTATCTCAACCGATCCCGCCAAAACGCGTTGTGTCAGCTCCTGGCCTACTCCCACCTCGGTGGGGGAGGTTAGAAGCTTCATCGGCTTTGCTTCATATTACCGCCGGTTTGTTGCGGACTTTGCTTCCATCGCTAAGCCACTACATGCCTTGACGTCAAAAGGGGTCAAATTTCATTGGGGGCCGGTGGAGAACGCCGCTTTTGTCTCTCTTCGGGATGCCCTGGTGGGGGCCCCGCCGTTAAGCTACCCCGATTTTTCCATGCCGTTCGTGCTCGACACGGACGCAAGCAATACCGGGATTGGAGGCGTGCTGTCACAAATTGTGGGTGGCGTGGAGCGCGTTGTGGCTTATGGTAGTAGAGTACTGTCCCCGGCCGAGCAGCGGTACTGCGTCACCCGCCGCGAACTGTTGGCTATCGTGTTCTTTATCCAACAGTACCGGCCATATCTGTACGGCCGGCATTTCACCGTCCGTACAGATCATGCAGCGTTGCAGTATGCCCTACGAATTAACCAGCCATCGGGGCAGTTGTCCCGATGGCTCGAGATCATGCAGGATTTCGATTTTGAGACAACTTACCGGAAGGGGATTCGCCACACCAATGCCGATGCCCTATCACGCCTGCCGATCGCCCTGGATTGCACTTGTTTCTTGGGTTCGGGCCGTTGCAAATCGACAAGTGACGGCCAGGATCGGGTTCTTGCGGCCGCAGTTGATACTCCTTCGGACGCTGGTCCTATTTCGGGGGGTGGGAGTGATTCCCTACTTGGCTTGTCGAGTGCTGAGTGGGGTCGCCTCCAAATGGAGGATGCGACCCTCCTGGCGCTACGACGTCGCGCGGAAGGATCAGGTCAAGGGAAGTCGGGCGTTGACTCATGGGGGTGGTGCCAGGGCTTACTCATGCATTGGGACGGGACGATCCGCCGTCACAGGCTGGTGGTGCCTTCCACGTTGAGGGGTAGGGCTGTATGGGCTGCTCATGAACGGCTCCTGCACCTGGGTACCCTCAACACTTGCCATGCTCCAGCTTAATTACTTTTGGCCGGACATGGCAAGAGACGTGGACGATCTGCTGCGGTCCTGTACCCAGTGTGCACAACGGAAGCCGCCGGCGAAGGGAGCCAGTCCACCGCTCCAGTCCATTTCGGTCACCCGGGTTAACGAGCTGGTCGCCCTTGATATTTTGGGACCGTTTCCTTCCACGCCGAGGGGTAATAAGTACCTGCTGGTTGGCGTGGAATATTTCACGCGATGGCCTATGGCTTGGCCCCTCGCCAACCTGTCCGCAGCGGCCGTTGCGGAGGCTTTTGTTCAGGGCTACGTCCTCGACAAGGGCGCTCCGGAACGGTTGTTGACCGATCAGGGAAAGAATTTCACTAGTACCCTTTTACACGAGGTATGTGGCCTTCTGGGTACAAAGAAAGTTCGTACCTCGCCTTACCATCCACAAACGGATGGGATGGTGGAACGCTTGCATAGGACTCTTACGTCCATGCTATCCCACCAGGTATCTGAGTCCCAAAACGATTGGGATCTACGGATCGGGGGAGTCCTGGCGGCATACAGGATGGCTCCTCACGCGGCGACCGGTTTCTCGCCATTTTTTTTGATGTATGGTCGCGAGGTTGACCCGCCTGTCGCGACTCAGCTGACGATTGCCGCGCCTCATGCTAAGTCGAAAATCGCCGACCATGTTAAATTTAACATCCTTCGCTTGGCGGAGGCACGGCAGGCGGCCATGCAAAACTCTGACTCTCGCCAGAAACAAAACGAGAGATTGCGGTCGCGCCGGACTCACACGCACGAATGGCACCCGGGCGACCGAGCATGGTTGCACTGCCCCCAGGTGCCATTGGCCACCTCGGCTAAGTTGTTGCGACCATGGAGGGGCCCCGTTGAAATTGTGCAGGTTGTGCGGCCTCAATGTGTGCGCATTAAGTGGGGGAAGCGTCGGTGGTTTGTGCACCCTTCACGGTTAAAGCCATTTTTTGCTCCGCACGCTTCCTCCCACGTAAATGGCCGAACATGTGGGGAGTCCTCTGACTCCGGGGGGGCGGGATCGATGCCAGCCTCTGATCCACTAATGACTGTCCCGTCTTCAGGAGCCCCAGGACTGAAGCCCTCTTGGCTGCCAGCCTCCCCCGTGGGGGGCGGCGCTGGCACGTCCAGGAAACCGGACGACCAGGCACCTGCTGATGCGACACCTGCCACCGACTCTACCAAGCCGGCCCCTTGTGACGGGCCTGCTGCACGGACTCGCGCCAAAACGCGCCGGTTGTTATGATTAGCTTTCCGCGCGTGTTCCGTTGCTGCGGAACCCGCTCATTGTATATATGTTTTTTAATGGTTGTATGTGTGTGTAATAACGATGACCACGCTATCTGCTTGTTGCTTGCTGTCCATATAAGTGTGTGCGTGTGTTGGGAATGGACGGAGAGTCTGCTGTGGTTGCTGAGTTTCAAAGGGAGTGTGTGCGCTGCTGCGTGGAGTTGTTATCTTGATGGTAAAGTTAATTATTAACGTGGGAGCGTCGGGTATCCTGTGCTGTACCATCTCGTGGGTTACCGTGCGCGATGGGCTTAATTGGGAAAAAAAAAAAAAAAAATATGTTTTTTTTTGGGGTGTATTGTGCTGCGAGGTGCTGTGTGCGATGCGGTCGTTGCATGAGAGAGAATAATTGTGTTGTGGTTGCAAAGTTACGACGGGATTGATGGTGTGTTGGTCGCCTGCAGATTTGCTTGCTATTGTGCTTCAATGTACGCGTGTGATCGCGATATGCTGATTGCATGTGCTGTTATACCGTTCTGTATATGTGTTGCGGTTCTGGGTGGGGGTTTTTTTTTTATATAGGGAACCATCGGTTGATGTTACGCTTGTTCTTGTTATTGTTACTGTTACGAGGCACACGTGTATTGACGGTGTTAATCTTTATTCTTGGGGGTTGAGGGATTGTTGCAGCCGGGACGGCTGCGAGCTGTACAGGGGGGGGGTGATGTAGGGGTTATTACGGGAGAAACGGCGGACAACAAACACAGGGCTGTCGGCACTCACATACACGGGTGGTCACACCGACGTCCGCATCAGTTATTGCCCACGCCCCCAGCCCTCGGAGGCGATCCCTATAAAAGGTGGAACCCAAAGAGCTCGAGGGGAGTTCGACACGAAGCTGACCAGTGAAGATCCAAGACTCGGAGATTAGGCCCTGGGACTCCCCGGTCTCGCCGTCCTTATAAGGGCCGAGCCGGGTAAGCCAGTGGCGCGGCCCAAGAGCTTCCAGACCGCTGCCCTTATCAGGGCAAGGCTGGTTAGCTGGTGCCGAGATCTGTGCTTGCCAGGGCCAGATCAGTCAGCCTCCCGTAGCCCAGTAGAGGAGGACTGGGGGACAGGACAGAGGGCTTAGTACTAGGGTGGGTTTCCCATAGTACGGGTGAAGGGGCCGATACCCCTTCAACTATTGTATCTGTCCCGGAGTTAATAAACAGTGTGTCTCAACTTCGACATCGTCTCCTCCTCTACTTACTACAAAGGTATCACTCGTATATTACTGGTATATATCCCAAGACTGGCATTGCATCTTTGCTGTGCGGCAATGTGCAGTCAGGTGTCTTAAAACAGTGGAATGTGTACTCTGTCCAGACACACTCCCTCTCAGTGATGGTCATCTTCCTTTATCCAGGAACAACGTTTTCAGCTTATTTGGATAATTGGCCATATCTGTCACTCTATTAGAGGACAAAACATGCTTTAAGAAGATGCACACCCAAATGCTACATATTGGTCAGAAACCTACTTGCTGTACAGCATTCTGTAGGCACATTGGTGCCCTGCAGGTGGGTTTCTCGCACGCAGTGCCTCCATGGCAGCATGATTTGCCAACTCGCTGGATTTTCCTTCTCCATCACTGCACATCTGTGACAAAGAGCTTCATAGCTCATCGGATTTCTCCAGGATGAAGATTCTGATTGTGCTTCAGGACCTCTTAAAGCAAATCTGTAGAGGGGGTCCAGGTCCTCAATTAGTCAATGCCATTCAAAAGGTGTTTGAGGAGAACCTCTGTTGGTTCCACTTCTGCGCTTAACTGCCCAATGTCATGTTTCTTCAGAAGCCGAGGCAGATAGATGTCGTGCAGGACATCAATTATCTCTGCAGGACACGGACATTGAGAAATGCACACACTTTGTATGTCAATTATTGGTCTTTTGAAAATGTATACATTTGACAAGATTTTTTTTTACGGATTGAATTTTTTGCATTAGCTTTTTTTTGCATTAGCTTTATCAAATAGCAAAATAGCACCTAAGGGTTACATACCTCCAAAGGTCTTATTTTTCCAGTTGGGAACGTGAAAAAGTTTCAGTTGGTACAACTTCCTTTGTAGCAACCATGGTGGTATCCTATGGACAAAGTTTTAAAGCGACTTCATAAGATATTGATTGTCACGATTCTAGGCCAGCACCTGAGGATTTGGGTTCCAGCCCACATGTGGTTCAGCATGACGTTTGCCGTTTCAATTCCTGAACAATATCCCAGCATATGGAGGGAAATGCGAGACATGCCAAATACGCGGTAAAACATGAAAACAGAACAATGCAGGACAACCATGAATACCTATGCAGTAGTATTTTAACGTGCACTTGTGTAGCGAATGAGATTAAGTCTTGATAATTGTTACTCCTAGGTTTTTTCGGTAAAGTCCCGTAGTAAAAAAATAAAATTAATAAAAGTAATAATAGAAATAAAATAATAAATCACGACGTTTCGGAGGCAACACAAGTCTCCGTCATCAGGTGGGACCGTCACAGCTAGATTTACTGTATCAAGTACCATCTTGATAATTGCACAAGATCATCTTGATGTTTGTTTTGTGTGAATGTGCCCTCGCCAAACAAACGGAAAGCTTTACAAAGGTACATCACGAGTATATTTCAATCACATTTCATTGCTTATTACAAGACGAATTAGGCATTACTCACTTCATTTTTTGGACGATTCCATCCCAGTCAATATCCGCACTGTCTTCAACTTCCAAGTTGTACAAACTGCTCGTGAACAAGGACAATTTCCAATAAACGTTAGTACTAACAAAAAAACCACATGCAATTCGTTTACACAGTTCTCCAGTATCGACAAATACCTCTGAATGAGTTGTATTCTGGATGTATCGCCTTTCCATCCATACGTCAGTGGTGTGATCTTTCCCAACCGATTGCAAAGAACGGCCATCCTAAAAAAATATAGTTAAGCTTCATAAATGTTTGTTCAGTTTAAACAAATATATGTAATGTGCAAAGACTACCGGTATATAGTTTTTACACACACGGCTCTATGGCAATAGATAAGAGTTATGCTCCACAAAGATGTACTCTAAACTTGTGGCAATAAGGTTATACAAATCTTCCCGCACACTGGATTACAAGACTCATCCCTGACATTTGATTTAAAATACGGGTGAACTGTCAATCTGGAGAATAAGGAAATAGATTAGTTGAATTTCATATTAAGTACCATTTTGCCCTGCACTGGTGGGAATTTCTGTTGTCCACGCTGGCGGAAATGTGTCTCCAGGGAATTTCGGAGTAGAGAAATCTCTGCAGGATACGGATCGTATGTTCGGAATCTGTGTTGAGTTGGTCCACCCCATTGTGCTGCTGCTGAGCTTGCAGGTAGTCCTTCATTGCCTGCAGCAGACTCTCAACCTCCCCATCACTCCAAACGCCCTTGGTCAAACCTTAAACCACACAACCAAGACAATCGAAGTTTCAAGAACTAGTGATCAACAAACCACCATTGGAGACATTTCCCATATCTCTGAACATGTCAGTAGAAGGCAGTGTCGTGAAATCCACTGTACTATACTCCCAAAGTCTATACTCCGCCTGTACCCACCCACATTGAAAAGTGTGAATTATGGTCAAGTAACCCCCACAGCCCATACGGCGTGGTTGGGGGCCCTCATCCAGCAATGTATTGACAAAAGGGCGGTACATATTTATAATACAATGCAATTAGCAATTTGCTTTACCCAAATTGTGCATGAACTAGACAATGCAGGCAACAGAAGTCCTTACCATCGTTCATCAAACTGAATTTGACGGACAGGTTCTTCTGCCCGCGCTGCATGATTTGTGAAATGCGAGTCCAATGTGGACCCAACTCCCGGGTGAGCTGCGTCAGCTGCTTCAACTCTTCTTCCGAGTACCTTTTTCCAAGACAAGTGTCGCACATTGCCATAGACTTAATCACAAGAAAAATAAACAACTATTTTGCAAACAAGTTCATGAGCAAGAAAATGTGGACACGCAGTCCTCAATTTACGAACACCAAATTTACATATACTCGCACTTAGGAACCAGCTTCCATGAAATATATAAATATATTATATTGACTTAAAAACACGAACTCGCAATCGCAAACTGAACTGCAGAAGTATTTTGTTCAGCGGAGCGATCCTCTGCAAGATGTAATGAGTCGGGCTCGCGCTGGGAGTGGGTTTGTGTGTGAAATTGAGTGTGGGCAACGGTTAGCACGCTGTGCTACGAAAGCGGTGACCCCAGTTCAATTCCCGCTCACTGCCAACGCCAGTGACGATTAACTGAACCGGTCATGGGCCTCCCCCTGGTCGACTCGGCCTCAAACGAGTATCTGGTGCGGTGTGTAAACATCGCAACTGGAGAGCTAGGTTTAGTACTGACCACTCACCCCCTCGTGTGCCGTGTTGGCCTTCATAGGCATTGCTCGCTTAACATCATTTGCTGTTCAGGTCATACGGGGGATCGTCGTTGGTGTCTCCCCGTGATTGTATGCAATTGTGGTGACTCATTGTTCCCCCTTTAGAGAATAAGGCCAGCATCATGATTCAGGGCGAGTGAAAATTTAAAACGATTATATTCCTATTTAAAGCTTTCGTGACTGCAGGGATTCATCTTCTTGGTTCTTTCGGTAAAGTCACGTAGAAGGGAAGTAATAAAATAATAAAAATAAAACATAATAAAACAATTCTCACGACGTTTCGGCCACAACGCAAGCAGCCGTCCTCAGGTGAAAACCAGGTCCGTCGAGGCGACAGAGTCTGAATGAAACAGCACACGAGCTTGGAGCATATATATAAGCTGGGCGCATTGACAAAGGAATTTGCATATCAAAAGGAATTTAGCATATTTATGGGAAATGCAGGAATGTGATTAGTACTGCATATGCATGTGCATTATGCAGGATTAACAGCATCAAAGGGAGCTGCAGTTACTGCTGCTGCAGCAGTTGCTGCTGCTGCTGCAGTTTCTGCTGCTGCTGCAGTTGCTGCTGCTGCTGCAGTTGCTGCTGCTGCAATTGCTGCTGCTGCTGCACTTGCTGCTGCTGCAGTTGCTGCCTTATCCATTTTAATATAACACTATGTATTATTCTACCCACCCTAATGTGTATCATACTGCTATATGTTTACTGTACAATTACGACACCATACATTACTCTGCACACTGCACCATGCCAGTGAGTGGAACGCGGTCTGAAAGTCACCGTAAACGTGAACACAATCAGTTAAGATCCGAAATGGTTTATTACGTCCTTCCAATGATTGCTAAGCCAGAATCCATCTTCTCGGTTGAAATTGTCTCTGTGTTTGTATATGTGGATCGCCTCATGAACGAATCTCTCATGATAGCCAGATGGCTTGCAGAGAACCTCTGTCTTGGAGAAGTCAATGTCATGTGAGCCCTTTTTGGATGTCCTAATCAAAAGAAGACCTGATGGTTCAATGAGCCACTCTGTCTACAGGAAAGCCACCCACACGGATGCTTATCTAAAACCGGATTCCCACCACCATCCATCCCAGAAGAATTCCCTCATCAAGACTCTATATCATAGAGCCCAATGCATCTCCGACCATGAACACATTTCCAGTGAACTCAAACACGTACGCCAAGCTCTTAAGGCTAATGGTTACTCCGACTACACAATCCGCAAAGCCATCACTCCAACCATCAAGAAGGATCCTGTTGAGGAGCCTTTCAAGACCATCACCTTACCCTACATTGCTGGGGTCACAAAAAAGATCTCCAAAATCCTGATTAAACACAAGATCCAGGTCCGATTCAACACAGTACATAAAATCCGTGATCTGGTCCCGTCTGTAAAAGATGTGGTTCCAGACATACAGTACCCTGGCGTCTACAAACTAAGTTGCCTCTGTGGTAGCAGTTACATTGGAGAAACCAAACGACATGTCTCGGACCGCATCCGTGAACATAAGGCAGACCTGAAACACGGTAGGACAAACACCTCAGCCGTGGCAGATCACTGTTACAATTCAGTGGGCTCACATGACATTGACTTCTCCAAGACAGAGGTTCTCTGCAAGCCATCTGGCTATCATGAGAGATTCGTTCATGAGGCGATCCACATATACAAACACAGAGACAATTTCAACCGAGAAGATGGATTCTGGCTTAGCAATCATTGGAAGGACGTAATAAACCATTTCGGATCTTAACTGATTGTGTTCACGTTTACGGTGACTTTCAGACCGCGTTCCACTCACTGGCATGGTGCAGTGTGCAGAGTAATGTATGGTGTCGTAATTGTACAGTAAACATATAGCAGTATGATACACATTAGGGTGGGTAGAATAATACATAGTGTTATATTAAAATGGATAAGGCAGCAACTGCAGCAGCAGCAGCAAGTGCAGCAGCAATTGCAGCAGCAGCAACTGCAGCAGCAGCAGCAGCAGAAACTGCAGCAGCAGCAGCAACTGCTGCAGCAGCAGTAACTGCAGCTCCCTTTGATGCTGTTAATCCTGCATAATGCACATGCATATGCAGTACTAATCACATTCCTGCATTTCCCATAAATATGCTAAATTCCTTTTGATATGCAAATTCCTTTGTCAATGCGCCCAGCTTATATATATGCTCCAAGCTCGTGTGCTGTTTCATTCAGACTCTGTCGCCTCGACGGACCTGGTTTTCACCTGAGGACGGCTGCTTGCGTTGTGGCCGAAACGTCGTGAGAATTGTTTTATTATGTTTTATTTTTATTATTTTATTACTTCCCTTCTACGTGACTTTACCGAAAGAACCAAGAAGATTATATTCCTGTTACTTTGTTACTGTACAGTATGTTTTTGAAGTGTTGCATGCACATTTACAATATTTCTGAGTTTAACGATGCTTCCCTTTTTTGTTGAACCGTAACAAATTAGACCGTGCATTTAACTAATACAGTACATTGTGTTCCGACTTACAAACGGGGCCCAGGAACGGAGTGTGTTTGTAAGAAGAGCACTTCTCGTACTTACCTTCCAGATTTCAAGTCTTGGCCTTCATATAAAGTCATCCCACGTTGGAATATCTGCTTCATTGGTCTTGAAATACCCTGAACTGCAAAATGAAGAGAGAACGATCTTACCTCGTATGTCACTTGAGCAAACACAAGCCAATGCTGTACTTGAAATATCTTAATTATAGTTGCACCTGCTGTAAAGTGGATATTTAAATAGCTGTAAAACTGAAGTCGGTGATGTGTTGTGCCAGTGTACACGTACAGCACCTTTTGTTAATTCAAGGATGAAGGCTGCCCCACACAATGTGGGTCATCGTCAAGATGACCGCACTTACCACACTGATCAGTACGGATTGGTAAAGGTGGGCGAGCATTGTACAAGAATAGATTTTTCTGCACTACCCTCTATTAACCATCATATATGACAAGAGTTTCCTTGAGCTTTTTCCCATATGCCAAACACTATTGGTTTTATCAAAATATCCCAACGTAGGACCTTCCTGAAATGGTTAGCACCCACTTCTATGGTTTGCACGGTTGGCTACGTACAGTGCGAAAGAAGTTCAACATAAATTAAGAGTGGATACTGTCTTGGGTAGTGATTAGCTTTATAATGCATTGTAACGCACGCAGGTAGTTGTAGAAGTTGTTCTGCAATCGGTATTTTGAGATTAATTTCTTCTCCGCGGGGAAGTTCGAGGGCAGGAATAGTTTCTGTGGATCCGTGAAGGCATCGTGGTCACGAATAAAGTCGCAAACATTCATGTGCAGCTGTTCCACCTCTGCCTTACTGAAACGCCCAAACCGGACCTTGATTCCTGCAAGCCAGCAAGAGCAACACACGCACACACACGGTTCCATTATTGCTGGTTATTTTCTATAGTTAAACAGCACAATAAAACACACTTTTTGTAAGACTTGTTTACGAGTTATCGGTTTGGGTGTCGTATGTTGACGATATCCTACGAGGATACAGTCATATTCCTAGGGGATGAAGGGGGTTGGGAATTTAAGGGTTAAAGTGCAGGACAGATGGGCAAGTTGTAGGGGTGGTGGTGAATTTGTAAGGAATGAACATAGCAAAATCGGTCTGCCAAGAAGTACATTTTCATATTCTTAGGTTTTTTCGGTAAAGAAACGTCGTGATTTTTTGTTTTATTTTATTTTATTTTCATTAATTTTGATGTTTTACCTACGTGACTTTACCGAAAAAACCTAAGAATATGAATCCTTGCATTCACGAAAGCTTCAAATCAAGTACATTTTCATACTGTATATTATAATTGTCTGAAATGTACATGCACCTTATTAAGTAGAAAAAATACTAATATTTGTGTTTTGCACTACTGACCTTCCTTTTCAAACTCCTTAAAACGATGATAGTCATATTTGAGGGCATGAGCAATATACATTTGCGATCTACGTGCAAAGCCAGGAATGAATTTACTCATGAATTTGACCTGGTAATCATAATTCTCGAGATGCCTAACCTCCTCCTCTTCCTCCTCATCCTCCTCATCCCCCATTTCTTTATCTACTTCATCAACAACCTCTTCAGTGTGGGACGCATTTATCTGGCGATGTTCGTTGGTGACAGAGTTCTCGGTTCTCAATGTGGGAAGTGGCTCACTGGGTAAGCCCTCCTCAAGGTCACGCCGTTTTTTCTTCTTGCCATGCTTCTTGCTCCTTGTGCCCGCAGTATTCTGCGCTATTACACCACCCTGGTTATTTCCAGATTGGTACGACTTTGCCTTCTTCTTATTCTTCTTCCTGTTGGAGCTTGGGGATGGCTCAGGATTCACGGGCGATTCCATCGGGCAACTTTCTGACACAACTGTCCCTTCAGAAGAAGCATGTCGGTCAGGCACCGCAATGCTCATTTCCCTGCGTTTTCTCTTTTTGCGAGGTCTTTCCTGCACAGGAGGAGGTTCAATGTCTTCTAAATTACTTCCTCCATCAGCTGCAGTTCGTTTCCTTTTCCTGCTCGATTTCTTCTCACTCTTCACAGTTTCCTCTTCACGGTCCGACTGCAAAGCCCCTTCTTCTTGCTGCCAAGTTGGCGTCAAATTATCGTCAGCGTTTTCCATTTTCTTCTTCCTTTTCACTCCCTTGCACTCGGCGTCACCGCTTCTGGAACAGGCACGCACGTCTTCTCCCCGTTGAGGTGCAACTGCCGCCTCCTCACTTCGTCGTCGAGATTCGCCTTCTCTCCGCTCACCGTGCTTGCAATGGTGCTCGCCGCCGTCTACTGCAACCCGAGAAGAATCACACCGCGAATCACCATCAGACGTTTTCGTTTGGGCATCGTCACTCCTGGATTCCGCTCTGTGGTTTACGCATCTTTTCTTTTTACAAATCTTGACTTGGTCCAAATCCAGGTCATTCGGAGCTTCTTCCAGGCATGACGATTCATTTCCACGCGCATCTCTTTTCCGTTGGCATTTCTTCGTGTGTTTCTTCATCTGCAAAACGTAAACGTCCAATGTTTTAAGAAATGCTTTTATCTAATTACATCGCCAAAAGGCTTTCCTGACAATTGAATGTCATGTTTATTCACACAGACAATAATTACACAACTGCAAAGTACTCATACCTGTCAACCCCTGATCGATGCCTACCTTATTATAGACCAATTCAGATGTTATTGGTCACCCTGTGCTCTTACAAATCTAAAAGTTTATCCTAAAACACATACAAATAAGACAAAAAACATTTTGCCCGTATTGAAATGGCAGTACGCCGTATGGTCCCAAAAACTCTATTTCCCTGTACAAGAATACGGGTAAACCGTATGGGTTGACAGGTCTGTTGTGCTTCCCCTTTGACCATTCGCTGCTGGGTTATTTGACAAACATGTAGTGTAGTAGAACGACACTGCTGTATTGGCTCGGTATGGGGGCTGTAGGCAGGTGTCACGGGGGTCACGTCGGGCTGTGATACTCTGCGTGAATTCTAGATTTGAAGCTTTCGTGACTGCAAGGATTCATACTCTTTGGGTTTGTCGGTAAAGTCACGTAGGTTAAAAGAAAGCAAACAAATTAAATCACGACGTTTCGGAGTCAACACAAGCTTCCGTCTTCAGGTGAAACCGTCACAGAAAAATTGCTATACTTGATACAGCAATTTTGCTGTGACGGTTTCACCTGAAGACAGAAGCTTGTGTTGCCTCCGAAACGTCGTGATTTAATTTGTTTTCTTTTAACCTACGTGATTTTACCGAAAAAACCAAAGAGTACTCTGCGTGAACCCAACAGGACACGTGACCGGATAAAGGGGGGCCAGGGGCCCCAGGGGGGTCACGTGGTTGGGGTTCGGGCCTTCCCGAAGGATCGAGAAGGGAGGCGTGTCTTGGGGCGGAGCTGGCCACGCCGGAGTGGTTATGAGCAGCGGGGTGTGTACGGAGAGCTGGGCTGGTCTGTGTTGTTCTGCTGCTGGGTCATCTCTGGGATGAAGCTCTCCGGTCTCCGCTAGTGGAACAAGCAGCGTGTTGGGCTGTCCTGGTCCAGTGATGTAGTTCCCCCGTGGGTTAGCTAAGTTATGAAAGGTGGCTACCACCTTAAGTCGTTATGTTAAGTGTTACCTGTTGTGTTAGCGAATAGTGTTGTCTCCAAAGTTCAGTGTGCGCCTGAATTTAACCCACTACAAAATACAAATACATCACGTTGGACAGTGAGGGTTGGTGACAACGAGCAGACTTGGGTGCAAATGACAGTTCTGGAAGTACAGAAAACTACTCTGGTTGTTCCTGCACTGCCCTCTGCTGACAGCGTCTTCAAACGCGTGATTATCCGCTTTCATTGCAGTTGCCCCGTTACACGCGTGTTTACTCTCCTACACGTGTTGATTCCACGTGTGGTTACCCTCTACGCGTGCGGTTACCCCACGTGTGGTTACCCTCTACACGTGTGGTTACCCCACGTGTGGTTACCCTCCTCTACGCGTGTGGTTACCCTCCTCTACACGTGGTTACCCCACGTGTGATTACCCCACGTGTGGTTACCCCACGTGTGTGGTTACCCCACGTGTGTGGTTACCCCCCTCTACACGTGGTTACCCCACGTGTGGTTATCATCTACACGTGTGGTTACCCCTCTACACGTGGTTACCCCCTCTACACGTGGTTACCCCACGTGTGTGGTTACCCCCCTCTACACGTGGTTACCCCACGTGTGGTTACCCCCCTCTACACGTGGTTACCCCACGTGTGGTTACCCTCTACACGTGTGGTTTCCCCCTCTACACGTGGTTACCCCACGTGTGGTTACCCACCACACGTGTGGTTACCCCACGTGTGGTTACCCTCATCTACACGTGTGGTTATCCCCCTCTACACATAGTTACCCCACGTGTGTGGTTACCCCCCCCTACACGTGGTTACCCCACGTGTGTGGTTACCCCCCCCTACACGTGGTTACCCCACGTGTGTGGTTACCCCCCCTACACGTGGTTACGCCCTACACGTGTGGTTACCCCCTACACGTGTGGTTACCCCCTCTACACGTGGTTACCCCACGTGTGGTTATCCCCTCTACACGTGGTTACCCCACGTGTGGTTACCCCCTCTACACGTGTGTGGTTACCTCCATCCACGCGCCGTTACCCGGGCAGAGCGGACGACTTCCGGGTCCGATCCTAGTGCTGCCCGTCACCGATTACATTCCCTAGCGCGCATAGGCAGCTGCTCGCTCTAACGAGGATCGCCATTGGCCCACGCGCCTCGCGGGCCCCGCCTCTCGCCGGGGCGCACGGACGAATCGGATCGCGGGATCCTCTCGGCGCTTGCCGGTGCAGTCTGGGAAATAAAAAACGACGCCCGGATGACTTTTTTTCTCCCAGTAACACTCGTCGCTGTTGGTGAAGCCCGCGGCCAATCATCGGAGAGCGTGAGATTGGCGGGAACTGGGTTGTCACGTGGCGCGCACGGCGAGCACGTGGGCAGTGAGGGGCACGGTTGGGAGACGCATTGAGCGGGGTACCGGGCGGGCAGTTGGGGGTGGGGGCAGTTGGGGGGGGTGGGGGCAGTTGGGGGGGGTGGGGGCAGTTGGGGGGGGTGGGGGCAGTTGGGGGGGGGGGCAGTTGGGGGGGGGCAGTTGGGGGGAAGGTAGTTGGGGGGTGGGGGCAGTGGGGGGTGGGGGCAGTGGGGGGTGGGGGCAGTGGGGGGTGGGGGCAGTTTGGGGGGGGGGCAGTTGGGGGGGGGACAGTTCGGGGGGGGGCAGTTGGGGGGTGGGGGCAGTTGGGGGGGGCAGTTGGGGGGAAGGCAGTTGGGTGGGGGCAGTGGGGGGCAGTTGGGGGTGGGGGCAGTTGGGGGGGGGACAGTTGGGGGGGGCAGTTGGGGGGGGACAGTTGGGGGGGGGACAGTTGGGGGGGGGCAGTTGGGGGGGGCAGTTGGGGTGGGGACAGTTGGGGGGTGGGGACAGTTGGGGGGGCAGTTGGGGGGGGGACAGTTGGGGGTGGGGACAGTTGGGGGGGCAGTTGGGGGTGGGGACAGTTGGGGGGGGGGGACAGTTGGGGGGGCAGTTGGGGGGGGCAGTTGGGGGTGGGGGGGCAGTTGGGGGCTGTGGGTAATAGATGCTGCGTAATGTAATTAGATGCTGTGTCCACAGATGCCTATTTATTATGGAGTGAAGTGTAATACATTTTTGTTGGTGACATTGCGTGTTACAAATGTAATGCATATATACAGTCACGAAAGCACCAAGTAAAGTTTGAACTTTTGTAAGGTTAGGTTTATTTGTATTCAGAATGTGCGCGTGTTTTCATTGCCATTATTTACAAATGATATCATTAAATAGTGAAAAGGGCCTGTAATTTCCAATGAATAAAACTATTAACATTCTACAGAATTGCTATGCATTGCAGAGGGTGACGAATACCAAGGTGTTTGTGTACAAGGTATCACTCGTATATTACTGGTATATATCCCAAGACTGGTATTGCATCTTTGCTGTGCGGCAATGTGCAGTCAGGTGTCTTAAAACAGTGGAACGTGTACTCTGTCCAGACACACTCCCTCTCAGTGATGGTCATCTTCCTTTATCCAGGAACAACCGTTTTCAACTTCTTTGGATAATTGCCCATATCTGTCACTCTGTTAAGAGGACAACAAATGCTTGAAGAAGATGCACACCCAAATGCTACATATTGGTCAGAAACCTACTTGCTGTACAGCATTCTGTAGGCATATTCTTAGGTTTTTTTCGGAAAAGTCACGTAGGTAAAACATCAAAATTAATGAAAATAAAATAAAATAAAACAAAAAATCACGACGTTTCGGAGGCAACACAAGTCTCCGTCATCAGGTGGGACCGTCACAGCCGAATTAGCTGCATCAAGTGAGGCAATGATTCAAGATGTAATCCCTTATAAGCAAGTTTAAGGGGGGGGAGGAGAGGGGGGGGGGAGCTCATCAGAATGTGGTAGCCAATGAATGGAAACGTATCGGGAGGGAGGGGGGCGGGGCTCAAAGACAGCACGGAGTGCTCAACACATGGGGCAGAGAGGGGGAGGGGAGGCCTGATACACATGATAGACAAAATAACGAAAATGCCCCTGTTTATACCAATGCTGGCTGAAGCAAGTTGAAGGGGGGGAGGAGAGGGGGGGGGCTCATCAGAATGTGGTAGCCAATGAATGGAAACGTATCGGGAGGGAGGGGGGCGGAACTGATTCTTCTGCCGTTGCCGATCATTGCTATAACTCTGTGGGCTCTCATGAAATTGTCTTTTCCGAGACCAAGATTCTCTGCAAACCTCCTGGCTACCATCAAAGGTTTGTACACGAAGCCATACAAATATACAAACACAGACATAATTTCAACCGTGATGATGGATACAAACTCAGTAATCATTGGAAAGATGTTATCAACCACGCAAAAAAGACTTAATTACACTTTTTTGGACCATCTTATCTGACAGGCACTATTTTACTTTACTTTACCGAGTGTTAACATCCCCAGTTATTTTTTAACAGTACTCTCCTCATTGTTCAGCCAGCATTGGTATAAACAGGGGCATTTTCGTTCTTTTGTCTATCATGTGTATCAGGCCTCCCCTCCCCCTCTCTGCCCCATGTGTTGAGCACTCCGTGCTGTCTTTGAGCCCCGCCCCCCCCCCTCCCGATACTTTTCCATTCATTGGCTACCACATTCTGGTGAGCCCCCCCCCCTCTCCTCCCCCCCCCTTCAACTTGCTTATAAGGGATTACATCTTGAATCATTGCCTCACTTGATGCAGCTAATTCGGCTGTGATGGTCCCCCACCTGATGACGGAGACTTGTGTTGCCTCCGAAACGTCGTGATTTTTTATTTATTTATTTTTCATTAATTTTGATGTTTTACCTACGTGACTTTACCGAAAAAACATAAGAATATGAATCCTTGCAGTCACGAAAGCTTAAAATCTAGAATTCTGTAGGCACATTGGTGCCCTGCAGGTGGGTTTCTCGCACGCAGTGCCTCCATGGCAGCACGATTCTCCAACTCACTGGATTCTCCTTGTCCATCATTGCACATCTGTGACAAAGAGCTTCATAGCTCATCGGATTTTTCCAGGATAAAGATTCTGATTTGTCTTAAGAGGGCCTGAAGCACAATCTGTAGAGGGGGTCCAGGCCCTCAATTAGTCAATGCCATTCAAAAGGTGTTTGAGGAGAACCTCTGTTGGTTCCACTTCTGCGCTTAACTGCCCAATGTCATGTTTCTTCAGAAGCCGAGGCAGATAGATGTCGTGCAGGACATCAATTATCTCTGCAGGACACGGACATTGAGAAATGCACACACTTTGTATGTCAATTATTGGTCTTTTGAAAATGTATACATTTGACAAGATTTTTTTTTACGGATTGAATTTTTTGCATTAGCTTTTTTTTGCATTAGCTTTATCAAATAGCAAAATAGCACCTAAGGGTTACATACCTCCAAAGGTCTTATTTTTCCAGTTGGGAACGTGAAAAAGTTTCAGTTGGTACAACTTCCTTTGTAGCAACCATGGTGGTATCCTATGGACAAAGTTTAAAGCGACTTCATAAGATATTGATTGTCACGATTCTAGGCCAGCACCTGAGGATTTGGGTTCCAGCCCACATGTGGTTCAGCATGACGTTTGCCGTTTCAATTCCTGAACAATATCCCAGCATATGGAGGGAAATGCGAGACATGCCAAATACGCGGTAAAACATGAAAACAGAACAATGCAGGACAACCATGAATACCTATGCAGTAGTATTTTAACGTGCACTTGTGTAGCGAATGAGATTAAGTCTTGATAATTGTTACTCCTAGGTTTTTTCGGTAAAGTCCCGTAGTAAAAAAATAAAATTAATAAAAGTAATAATAGAAATAAAATAATAAATCACGACGTTTCGGAGGCAACACAAGTCTCCGTCATCAGGTGGGACCGTCACAGCTAGATTTACTGTATCAAGTACCATCTTGATAATTGCACAAGATCATCTTGATGTTTGTTTTGTGTGAATGTGCCCTCGCCAAACAAACGGAAAGCTTTACAAAGGTACATCACGAGTATATTTCAATCACATTTCATTGCTTATTACAAGACGAATTAGGCATTACTCACTTCATTTTTTGGACGATTCCATCCCAGTCAATATCCGCACTGTCTTCAACTTCCAAGTTGTACAAACTGCTCGTGAACAAGGACAATTTCCAATAAACGTTAGTACTAACAAAAAAACCACATGCAATTCGTTTACACAGTTCTCCAGTATCGACAAATACCTCTGAATGAGTTGTATTCTGGATGTATCGCCTTTCCATCCATACGTCAGTGGTGTGATCTTTCCCAACCGATTGCAAAGAACGGCCATCCTAAAAAAATATAGTTAAGCTTCATAAATGTTTGTTCAGTTTAAACAAATATATGTAATGTGCAAAGACTACCGGTATATAGTTTTTACACACACGGCTCTATGGCAATAGATAAGAGTTATGCTCCACAAAGATGTACTCTAAACTTGTGGCAATAAGGTTATACAAATCTTCCCGCACACTGGATTACAAGACTCATCCCTGACATTTGATTTAAAATACGGGTGAACTGTCAATCTGGAGAATAAGGAAATAGATTAGTTGAATTTCATATTAAGTACCATTTTGCCCTGCACTGGTGGGAATTTCTGTTGTCCACGCTGGCGGAAATGTGTCTCCAGGGAATTTCGGAGTAGAGAAATCTCTGCAGGATACGGATCGTATGTTCGGAATCTGTGTTGAGTTGGTCCACCCCATTGTGCTGCTGCTGAGCTTGCAGGTAGTCCTTCATTGCCTGCAGCAGACTCTCAACCTCCCCATCACTCCAAACGCCCTTGGTCAAACCTTAAACCACACAACCAAGACAATCGAAGTTTCAAGAACTAGTGATCAACAAACCACCATTGGAGACATTTCCCATATCTCTGAACATGTCAGTAGAAGGCAGTGTCGTGAAATCCACTGTACTATACTCCCAAAGTCTATACTCCGCCTGTACCCACCCACATTGAAAAGTGTGAATTATGGTCAAGTAACCCCCACAGCCCATACGGCGTGGTTGGGGGCCCTCATCCAGCAATGTATTGACAAAAGGGCGGTACATATTTATAATACAATGCAATTAGCAATTTGCTTTACCCAAATTGTGCATGAACTAGACAATGCAGGCAACAGAAGTCCTTACCATCGTTCATCAAACTGAATTTGACGGACAGGTTCTTCTGCCCGCGCTGCATGATTTGTGAAATGCGAGTCCAATGTGGACCCAACTCCCGGGTGAGCTGCGTCAGCTGCTTCAACTCTTCTTCCGAGTACCTTTTTCCAAGACAAGTGTCGCACATTGCCATAGACTTAATCACAAGAAAAATAAACAACTATTTTGCAAACAAGTTCATGAGCAAGAAAATGTGGACACGCAGTCCTCAATTTACGAACACCAAATTTACATATACTCGCACTTAGGAACCAGCTTCCATGAAATATATAAATATATTATATTGACTTAAAAACACGAACTCGCAATCGCAAACTGAACTGCAGAAGTATTTTGTTCAGCGGAGCGATCCTCTGCAAGATGTAATGAGTCGGGCTCGCGCTGGGAGTGGGTTTGTGTGTGAAATTGAGTGTGGGCAACGGTTAGCACGCTGTGCTACGAAAGCGGTGACCCCAGTTCAATTCCCGCTCACTGCCAACGCCAGTGACGATTAACTGAACCGGTCATGGGCCTCCCCCTGGTCGACTCGGCCTCAAACGAGTATCTGGTGCGGTGTGTAAACATCGCAACTGGAGAGCTAGGTTTAGTACTGACCACTCACCCCCTCGTGTGCCGTGTTGGCCTTCATAGGCATTGCTCGCTTAACATCATTTGCTGTTCAGGTCATACGGGGGATCGTCGTTGGTGTCTCCCCGTGATTGTATGCAATTGTGGTGACTCATTGTTCCCCCTTTAGAGAATAAGGCCAGCATCATGATTCAGGGCGAGTGAAAATTTAAAACGATTATATTCCTATTTAAAGCTTTCGTGACTGCAGGGATTCATCTTCTTGGTTCTTTCGGTAAAGTCACGTAGAAGGGAAGTAATAAAATAATAAAAATAAAACATAATAAAACAATTCTCACGACGTTTCGGCCACAACGCAAGCAGCCGTCCTCAGGTGAAAACCAGGTCCGTCGAGGCGACAGAGTCTGAATGAAACAGCACACGAGCTTGGAGCATATATATAAGCTGGGCGCATTGACAAAGGAATTTGCATATCAAAAGGAATTTAGCATATTTATGGGAAATGCAGGAATGTGATTAGTACTGCATATGCATGTGCATTATGCAGGATTAACAGCATCAAAGGGAGCTGCAGTTACTGCTGCTGCAGCAGTTGCTGCTGCTGCTGCAGTTTCTGCTGCTGCTGCAGTTGCTGCTGCTGCTGCAGTTGCTGCTGCTGCAATTGCTGCTGCTGCTGCACTTGCTGCTGCTGCAGTTGCTGCCTTATCCATTTTAATATAACACTATGTATTATTCTACCCACCCTAATGTGTATCATACTGCTATATGTTTACTGTACAATTACGACACCATACATTACTCTGCACACTGCACCATGCCAGTGAGTGGAACGCGGTCTGAAAGTCACCGTAAACGTGAACACAATCAGTTAAGATCCGAAATGGTTTATTACGTCCTTCCAATGATTGCTAAGCCAGAATCCATCTTCTCGGTTGAAATTGTCTCTGTGTTTGTATATGTGGATCGCCTCATGAACGAATCTCTCATGATAGCCAGATGGCTTGCAGAGAACCTCTGTCTTGGAGAAGTCAATGTCATGTGAGCCCTTTTTGGATGTCCTAATCAAAAGAAGACCTGATGGTTCAATGAGCCACTCTGTCTACAGGAAAGCCACCCACACGGATGCTTATCTAAAACCGGATTCCCACCACCATCCATCCCAGAAGAATTCCCTCATCAAGACTCTATATCATAGAGCCCAATGCATCTCCGACCATGAACACATTTCCAGTGAACTCAAACACGTACGCCAAGCTCTTAAGGCTAATGGTTACTCCGACTACACAATCCGCAAAGCCATCACTCCAACCATCAAGAAGGATCCTGTTGAGGAGCCTTTCAAGACCATCACCTTACCCTACATTGCTGGGGTCACAAAAAAGATCTCCAAAATCCTGATTAAACACAAGATCCAGGTCCGATTCAACACAGTACATAAAATCCGTGATCTGGTCCCGTCTGTAAAAGATGTGGTTCCAGACATACAGTACCCTGGCGTCTACAAACTAAGTTGCCTCTGTGGTAGCAGTTACATTGGAGAAACCAAACGACATGTCTCGGACCGCATCCGTGAACATAAGGCAGACCTGAAACACGGTAGGACAAACACCTCAGCCGTGGCAGATCACTGTTACAATTCAGTGGGCTCACATGACATTGACTTCTCCAAGACAGAGGTTCTCTGCAAGCCATCTGGCTATCATGAGAGATTCGTTCATGAGGCGATCCACATATACAAACACAGAGACAATTTCAACCGAGAAGATGGATTCTGGCTTAGCAATCATTGGAAGGACGTAATAAACCATTTCGGATCTTAACTGATTGTGTTCACGTTTACGGTGACTTTCAGACCGCGTTCCACTCACTGGCATGGTGCAGTGTGCAGAGTAATGTATGGTGTCGTAATTGTACAGTAAACATATAGCAGTATGATACACATTAGGGTGGGTAGAATAATACATAGTGTTATATTAAAATGGATAAGGCAGCAACTGCAGCAGCAGCAAGTGCAGCAGCAGCAGCAATTGCAGCAGCAGCAACTGCAGCAGCAGCAGCAACTGCAGCAGCAGCAGAAACTGCAGCAGCAGCAGCAACTGCTGCAGCAGCAGTAACTGCAGCTCCCTTTGATGCTGTTAATCCTGCATAATGCACATGCATATGCAGTACTAATCACATTCCTGCATTTCCCATAAATATGCTAAATTCCTTTTGATATGCAAATTCCTTTGTCAATGCGCCCAGCTTATATATATGCTCCAAGCTCGTGTGCTGTTTCATTCAGACTCTGTCGCCTCGACGGACCTGGTTTTCACCTGAGGACGGCTGCTTGCGTTGTGGCCGAAACGTCGTGAGAATTGTTTTATTATGTTTTATTTTTATTATTTTATTACTTCCCTTCTACGTGACTTTACCGAAAGAACCAAGAAGATTATATTCCTGTTACTTTGTTACTGTACAGTATGTTTTTGAAGTGTTGCATGCACATTTACAATATTTCTGAGTTTAACGATGCTTCCCTTTTTTGTTGAACCGTAACAAATTAGACCGTGCATTTAACTAATACAGTACATTGTGTTCCGACTTACAAACGGGGCCCAGGAACGGAGTGTGTTTGTAAGAAGAGCACTTCTCGTACTTACCTTCCAGATTTCAAGTCTTGGCCTTCATATAAAGTCATCCCACGTTGGAATATCTGCTTCATTGGTCTTGAAATACCCTGAACTGCAAAATGAAGAGAGAACGATCTTACCTCGTATGTCACTTGAGCAAACACAAGCCAATGCTGTACTTGAAATATCTTAATTATAGTTGCACCTGCTGTAAAGTGGATATTTAAATAGCTGTAAAACTGAAGTCGGTGATGTGTTGTGCCAGTGTACACGTACAGCACCTTTTGTTAATTCAAGGATGAAGGCTGCCCCACACAATGTGGGTCATCGTCAAGATGACCGCACTTACCACACTGATCAGTACGGATTGGTAAAGGTGGGCGAGCATTGTACAAGAATAGATTTTTCTGCACTACCCTCTATTAACCATCATATATGACAAGAGTTTCCTTGAGCTTTTTCCCATATGCCAAACACTATTGGTTTTATCAAAATATCCCAACGTAGGACCTTCCTGAAATGGTTAGCACCCACTTCTATGGTTTGCACGGTTGGCTACGTACAGTGCGAAAGAAGTTCAACATAAATTAAGAGTGGATACTGTCTTGGGTAGTGATTAGCTTTATAATGCATTGTAACGCACGCAGGTAGTTGTAGAAGTTGTTCTGCAATCGGTATTTTGAGATTAATTTCTTCTCCGCGGGGAAGTTCGAGGGCAGGAATAGTTTCTGTGGATCCGTGAAGGCATCGTGGTCACGAATAAAGTCGCAAACATTCATGTGCAGCTGTTCCACCTCTGCCTTACTGAAACGCCCAAACCGGACCTTGATTCCTGCAAGCCAGCAAGAGCAACACACGCACACACACGGTTCCATTATTGCTGGTTATTTTCTATAGTTAAACAGCACAATAAAACACACTTTTTGTAAGACTTGTTTACGAGTTATCGGTTTGGGTGTCGTATGTTGACGATATCCTACGAGGATACAGTCATATTCCTAGGGGATGAAGGGGGTTGGGAATTTAAGGGTTAAAGTGCAGGACAGATGGGCAAGTTGTAGGGGTGGTGGTGAATTTGTAAGGAATGAACATAGCAAAATCGGTCTGCCAAGAAGTACATTTTCATATTCTTAGGTTTTTTCGGTAAAGAAACGTCGTGATTTTTTGTTTTATTTTATTTTATTTTCATTAATTTTGATGTTTTACCTACGTGACTTTACCGAAAAAACCTAAGAATATGAATCCTTGCATTCACGAAAGCTTCAAATCAAGTACATTTTCATACTGTATATTATAATTGTCTGAAATGTACATGCACCTTATTAAGTAGAAAAAATACTAATATTTGTGTTTTGCACTACTGACCTTCCTTTTCAAACTCCTTAAAACGATGATAGTCATATTTGAGGGCATGAGCAATATACATTTGCGATCTACGTGCAAAGCCAGGAATGAATTTACTCATGAATTTGACCTGGTAATCATAATTCTCGAGATGCCTAACCTCCTCCTCTTCCTCCTCATCCTCCTCATCCCCCATTTCTTTATCTACTTCATCAACAACCTCTTCAGTGTGGGACGCATTTATCTGGCGATGTTCGTTGGTGACAGAGTTCTCGGTTCTCAATGTGGGAAGTGGCTCACTGGGTAAGCCCTCCTCAAGGTCACGCCGTTTTTTCTTCTTGCCATGCTTCTTGCTCCTTGTGCCCGCAGTATTCTGCGCTATTACACCACCCTGGTTATTTCCAGATTGGTACGACTTTGCCTTCTTCTTATTCTTCTTCCTGTTGGAGCTTGGGGATGGCTCAGGATTCACGGGCGATTCCATCGGGCAACTTTCTGACACAACTGTCCCTTCAGAAGAAGCATGTCGGTCAGGCACCGCAATGCTCATTTCCCTGCGTTTTCTCTTTTTGCGAGGTCTTTCCTGCACAGGAGGAGGTTCAATGTCTTCTAAATTACTTCCTCCATCAGCTGCAGTTCGTTTCCTTTTCCTGCTCGATTTCTTCTCACTCTTCACAGTTTCCTCTTCACGGTCCGACTGCAAAGCCCCTTCTTCTTGCTGCCAAGTTGGCGTCAAATTATCGTCAGCGTTTTCCATTTTCTTCTTCCTTTTCACTCCCTTGCACTCGGCGTCACCGCTTCTGGAACAGGCACGCACGTCTTCTCCCCGTTGAGGTGCAACTGCCGCCTCCTCACTTCGTCGTCGAGATTCGCCTTCTCTCCGCTCACCGTGCTTGCAATGGTGCTCGCCGCCGTCTACTGCAACCCGAGAAGAATCACACCGCGAATCACCATCAGACGTTTTCGTTTGGGCATCGTCACTCCTGGATTCCGCTCTGTGGTTTACGCATCTTTTCTTTTTACAAATCTTGACTTGGTCCAAATCCAGGTCATTCGGAGCTTCTTCCAGGCATGACGATTCATTTCCACGCGCATCTCTTTTCCGTTGGCATTTCTTCGTGTGTTTCTTCATCTGCAAAACGTAAACGTCCAATGTTTTAAGAAATGCTTTTATCTAATTACATCGCCAAAAGGCTTTCCTGACAATTGAATGTCATGTTTATTCACACAGACAATAATTACACAACTGCAAAGTACTCATACCTGTCAACCCCTGATCGATGCCTACCTTATTATAGACCAATTCAGATGTTATTGGTCACCCTGTGCTCTTACAAATCTAAAAGTTTATCCTAAAACACATACAAATAAGACAAAAAACATTTTGCCCGTATTGAAATGGCAGTACGCCGTATGGTCCCAAAAACTCTATTTCCCTGTACAAGAATACGGGTAAACCGTATGGGTTGACAGGTCTGTTGTGCTTCCCCTTTGACCATTCGCTGCTGGGTTATTTGACAAACATGTAGTGTAGTAGAACGACACTGCTGTATTGGCTCGGTATGGGGGCTGTAGGCAGGTGTCACGGGGGTCACGTCGGGCTGTGATACTCTGCGTGAATTCTAGATTTGAAGCTTTCGTGACTGCAAGGATTCATACTCTTTGGGTTTGTCGGTAAAGTCACGTAGGTTAAAAGAAAGCAAACAAATTAAATCACGACGTTTCGGAGTCAACACAAGCTTCCGTCTTCAGGTGAAACCGTCACAGAAAAATTGCTATACTTGATACAGCAATTTTGCTGTGACGGTTTCACCTGAAGACAGAAGCTTGTGTTGCCTCCGAAACGTCGTGATTTAATTTGTTTTCTTTTAACCTACGTGATTTTACCGAAAAAACCAAAGAGTACTCTGCGTGAACCCAACAGGACACGTGACCGGATAAAGGGGGGCCAGGGGCCCCAGGGGGGTCACGTGGTTGGGGTTCGGGCCTTCCCGAAGGATCGAGAAGGGAGGCGTGTCTTGGGGCGGAGCTGGCCACGCCGGAGTGGTTATGAGCAGCGGGGTGTGTACGGAGAGCTGGGCTGGTCTGTGTTGTTCTGCTGCTGGGTCATCTCTGGGATGAAGCTCTCCGGTCTCCGCTAGTGGAACAAGCAGCGTGTTGGGCTGTCCTGGTCCAGTGATGTAGTTCCCCCGTGGGTTAGCTAAGTTATGAAAGGTGGCTACCACCTTAAGTCGTTATGTTAAGTGTTACCTGTTGTGTTAGCGAATAGTGTTGTCTCCAAAGTTCAGTGTGCGCCTGAATTTAACCCACTACAAAATACAAATACATCACGTTGGACAGTGAGGGTTGGTGACAACGAGCAGACTTGGGTGCAAATGACAGTTCTGGAAGTACAGAAAACTACTCTGGTTGTTCCTGCACTGCCCTCTGCTGACAGCGTCTTCAAACGCGTGATTATCCGCTTTCATTGCAGTTGCCCCGTTACACGCGTGTTTACTCTCCTACACGTGTTGATTCCACGTGTGGTTACCCTCTACGCGTGCGGTTACCCCACGTGTGGTTACCCTCTACACGTGTGGTTACCCCACGTGTGGTTACCCTCCTCTACGCGTGTGGTTACCCTCCTCTACACGTGGTTACCCCACGTGTGATTACCCCACGTGTGGTTACCCCACGTGTGTGGTTACCCCACGTGTGTGGTTACCCCCCTCTACACGTGGTTACCCCACGTGTGGTTATCATCTACACGTGTGGTTACCCCTCTACACGTGGTTACCCCCTCTACACGTGGTTACCCCACGTGTGTGGTTACCCCCCTCTACACGTGGTTACCCCACGTGTGGTTACCCCCCTCTACACGTGGTTACCCCACGTGTGGTTACCCTCTACACGTGTGGTTTCCCCCTCTACACGTGGTTACCCCACGTGTGGTTACCCACCACACGTGTGGTTACCCCACGTGTGGTTACCCTCATCTACACGTGTGGTTATCCCCCTCTACACATAGTTACCCCACGTGTGTGGTTACCCCCCCCTACACGTGGTTACCCCACGTGTGTGGTTACCCCCCCCTACACGTGGTTACCCCACGTGTGTGGTTACCCCCCCTACACGTGGTTACGCCCTACACGTGTGGTTACCCCCTACACGTGTGGTTACCCCCTCTACACGTGGTTACCCCACGTGTGGTTATCCCCTCTACACGTGGTTACCCCACGTGTGGTTACCCCCTCTACACGTGTGTGGTTACCTCCATCCACGCGCCGTTACCCGGGCAGAGCGGACGACTTCCGGGTCCGATCCTAGTGCTGCCCGTCACCGATTACATTCCCTAGCGCGCATAGGCAGCTGCTCGCTCTAACGAGGATCGCCATTGGCCCACGCGCCTCGCGGGCCCCGCCTCTCGCCGGGGCGCACGGACGAATCGGATCGCGGGATCCTCTCGGCGCTTGCCGGTGCAGTCTGGGAAATAAAAAACGACGCCCGGATGACTTTTTTTCTCCCAGTAACACTCGTCGCTGTTGGTGAAGCCCGCGGCCAATCATCGGAGAGCGTGAGATTGGCGGGAACTGGGTTGTCACGTGGCGCGCACGGCGAGCACGTGGGCAGTGAGGGGCACGGTTGGGAGACGCATTGAGCGGGGTACCGGGCGGGCAGTTGGGGGTGGGGGCAGTTGGGGGGGGTGGGGGCAGTTGGGGGGGGTGGGGGCAGTTGGGGGGGGTGGGGGCAGTTGGGGGGGGGGGCAGTTGGGGGGGGGCAGTTGGGGGGAAGGTAGTTGGGGGGTGGGGGCAGTGGGGGGTGGGGCAGTGGGGGGTGGGGGCAGTGGGGGGTGGGGGCAGTTTGGGGGGGGGGCAGTTGGGGGGGGGACAGTTCGGGGGGGGGCAGTTGGGGGGTGGGGGCAGTTGGGGGGGGCAGTTGGGGGGAAGGCAGTTGGGTGGGGGGCAGTGGGGGGCAGTTGGGGGTGGGGGCAGTTGGGGGGGGGACAGTTGGGGGGGGCAGTTGGGGGGGGACAGTTGGGGGGGGGACAGTTGGGGGGGGGCAGTTGGGGGGGGCAGTTGGGGTGGGGACAGTTGGGGGGTGGGGACAGTTGGGGGGGCAGTTGGGGGGGGGACAGTTGGGGGTGGGGACAGTTGGGGGGGCAGTTGGGGGTGGGGACAGTTGGGGGGGGGGGACAGTTGGGGGGGGCAGTTGGGGGGGGCAGTTGGGGGTGGGGGGGCAGTTGGGGGCCGTGGGTAATAGATGCTGCGTAATGTAATTAGATGCTGTGTCCACAGATGCCGATTTATTATGGAGTGAAGTGTAATACATTTTTGTTGGTGACATTGCGTGTTACAAATGTAATGCATATATACAGTCACGAAAGCACCAAGTAAAGTTTGAACTTTTGTAAGGTTAGGTTTATTTGTATTCAGAATGTGCGCGTGTTTTCATTGCCATTATTTACAAATGATATCATTAAATAGTGAAAAGGGCCTGTAATTTCCAATGAATAAAACTATTAACATTCTACAGAATTGCTATGCATTGCAGAGGGTGACGAATACCAAGGTGTTTGTGTACAAGGTATCACTCGTATATTACTGGTATATATCCCAAGACTGGTATTGCATCTTTGCTGTGCGGCAATGTGCAGTCAGGTGTCTTAAAACAGTGGAACGTGTACTCTGTCCAGACACACTCCCTCTCAGTGATGGTCATCTTCCTTTATCCAGGAACAACCGTTTTCAACTTCTTTGGATAATTGCCCATATCTGTCACTCTGTTAAGAGGACAACAAATGCTTGAAGAAGATGCACACCCAAATGCTACATATTGGTCAGAAACCTACTTGCTGTACAGCATTCTGTAGGCATATTCTTAGGTTTTTTTCGGAAAAGTCACGTAGGTAAAACATCAAAATTAATGAAAATAAAATAAAATAAAACAAAAAATCACGACGTTTCGGAGGCAACACAAGTCTCCGTCATCAGGTGGGACCGTCACAGCCGAATTAGCTGCATCAAGTGAGGCAATGATTCAAGATGTAATCCCTTATAAGCAAGTTTAAGGGGGGGGAGGAGAGGGGGGGGGGAGCTCATCAGAATGTGGTAGCCAATGAATGGAAACGTATCGGGAGGGAGGGGGGCGGGGCTCAAAGACAGCACGGAGTGCTCAACACATGGGGCAGAGAGGGGGAGGGGAGGCCTGATACACATGATAGACAAAATAACGAAAATGCCCCTGTTTATACCAATGCTGGCTGAAGCAAGTTGAAGGGGGGGAGGAGAGGGGGGGGGCTCATCAGAATGTGGTAGCCAATGAATGGAAACGTATCGGGAGGGAGGGGGGCGGAACTGATTCTTCTGCCGTTGCCGATCATTGCTATAACTCTGTGGGCTCTCATGAAATTGTCTTTTCCGAGACCAAGATTCTCTGCAAACCTCCTGGCTACCATCAAAGGTTTGTACACGAAGCCATACAAATATACAAACACAGACATAATTTCAACCGTGATGATGGATACAAACTCAGTAATCATTGGAAAGATGTTATCAACCACGCAAAAAAGACTTAATTACACTTTTTTGGACCATCTTATCTGACAGGCACTATTTTACTTTACTTTACCGAGTGTTAACATCCCCAGTTATTTTTTAACAGTACTCTCCTCATTGTTCAGCCAGCATTGGTATAAACAGGGGCATTTTCGTTCTTTTGTCTATCATGTGTATCAGGCCTCCCCTCCCCCTCTCTGCCCCATGTGTTGAGCACTCCGTGCTGTCTTTGAGCCCCACCCCCCTCCCTCCCGATACGTTTCCATTCATTGGCTACCACATTCTGATGAGCCCCCCCCCCTCTCCTCCCCCCCCTTCAACTTGCTTATAAGGGATTACATCTTGAATCATTGCCTCACTTGATGCAGCTAATTCGGCTGTGATGGTCCCCCACCTGATGACGGAGACTTGTGTTGCCTCCGAAACGTCGTGATTTTTTATTTATTTATTTTTCATTAATTTTGATGTTTTACCTACGTGACTTTACCGAAAAAACATAAGAATATGAATCCTTGCAGTCACGAAAGCTTAAAATCTAGAATTCTGTAGGCACATTGGTGCCCTGCAGGTGGGTTTCTCGCACGCAGTGCCTCCATGGCAGCACGATTCTCCAACTCACTGGATTCTCCTTGTCCATCATTGCACATCTGTGACAAAGAGCTTCATAGCTCATCGGATTTTTCCAGGATAAAGATTCTGATTTGTCTTAAGAGGGCCTGAAGCACAATCTGTAGAGGGGGTCCAGGCCCTCAATTAGTCAATGCCATTCAAAAGGTGTTTGAGGAGAACCTCTGTTGGTTCCACTTCTGCGCTTAACTGCCCAATGTCATGTTTCTTCAGAAGCCGAGGCAGATAGATGTCGTGCAGGACATCAATTATCTCTGCAGGACACGGACATTGAGAAATGCACACACTTTGTATGTCAATTATTGGTCTTTTGAAAATGTATACATTTGACAAGATTTTTTTTTACGGATTGAATTTTTTGCATTAGCTTTTTTTTTGCATTAGCTTTATCAAATAGCAAAATAGCACCTAAGGGTTACATACCTCCAAAGGTCTTATTTTTCCAGTTGGGAACGTGAAAAAGTTTCAGTTGGTACAACTTCCTTTGTAGCAACCATGGTGGTATCCTATGGACAAAGTTTAAAGCGACTTCATAAGATATTGATTGTCACGATTCTAGGCCAGCACCTGAGGATTTGGGTTCCAGCCCACATGTGGTTCAGCATGACGTTTGCCGTTTCAATTCCTGAACAGTATCCCAGCATATGGAGGGAAATGCGAGACATGCCAAATACGCGGTAAAACATGAAAACAGAACAATGCAGGACAACCATGAATACCTATGCAGTAGTATTTTAACGTGCACTTGTGTAGCGAATGAGATTAAGTCTTGATAATTGTTACTCCTAGGTTTTTTCGGTAAAGTCCCGTAGTAAAAAAATTAAATTAATAAAAGTAATAATAGAAATAAAATAATAAATCACGACGTTTCGGAGGCAACACAAGTCTCCGTCATCAGGTGGGACCGTCACAGCTAGATTTACTGTATCAAGTACCATCTTGATAATTGCACAAGATCATCTTGATGTTTGTTTTGTGTGAATGTGCCCTCGCCAAACAAACGGAAAGCTTTACAAAGGTACATCACGAGTATATTTCAATCACATTTCATTGCTTATTACAAGACGAATTAGGCATTACTCACTTCATTTTTTGGACGATTCCATCCCAGTCAATATCCGCACTGTCTTCAACTTCCAAGTTGTACAAACTGCTCGTGAACAAGGACAATTTCCAATAAACGTTAGTACTAACAAAAAAACCACATGCAATTCGTTTACACAGTTCTCCAGTATCGACAAATACCTCTGAATGAGTTGTATTCTGGATGTATCGCCTTTCCATCCATACGTCAGTGGTGTGATCTTTGCCAAACGATTGCAAAGAACGGTCATCCTAAAAAAATATAGTTCAGCTTCATAGATGTTTGTTCAGTTTAAATAAATATATGTAATGTACAAAGACTGCCGGTATATAGTTTATACACACACGGTTCTATGGCAATAGATAAGAGTTATGCTCCACAAAGATGTACTCTAAACTTGTGGCAATAAGGTTATACAAATCTGCCCGCACACTGGATTACAATACTCATCCCTAACATTTGATTTAAAATAAGGGTGAACTGTCAATCTGGAGACTAAGGAAATAGATTAGTTGAATTTCATATTAAGTACCATTTTTCTCTGCACTGGTGGGAATTTCTGGTGTCCACTCTGGCGGAAATGTGTCTCCAGGGAATTTCGGAGTAGAGAAATCTCTGCAGGATACGGATCGTATGTTCGGAATCTGTGTTGAGTTGGTCCACCCCATTGTGCTGCTGCTGAGCTTGCAGGTAGTCCTTCATTGCCTGCAGCAGACTCTCAACCTCCCCATCACTCCAAACGCCCTTGGCCGAACCTCAAACCACACACAACCAAGACAATCTGACGTTTCAAGAAACAGTGACCAACAAACCACCATTGGAGACTTTTCCCATATCTCTGAACATGTTAGCAGAAGGCAGTGTTGTGAAATCCACTGTACTATACTCCCAACGTCTATACTCTGCCTGTACCCACCCACATTGAAAAGTGTGAATTATGGTCAAGTAACCCCCACAGCCCATACGGCGTGGTTGGGGGACCCCATCCAGCAATGTATTGACAAAAGGGCGGTACATATTTATAATACAATGCAATTAGCAATTTGCTTTACCCAAATTGTGCATGAACTAGACAATGCAGGCAACAGAAGTCCTTACCATCGTTCATCAAACTGAATTTGACGGCCAGTTTCTTCTGCCCGCGCTGCATGATTTGTGAAATGCGAGTCCAATGTGGACCAAACTTCCGGGTGAGCTGTGTCAGCTGCTTCAACTCTTCTTCCGAGTACCTTTTCCAAGACAAGTGTCGCACATTGCCATAGACTTAGTCACAAGAAAAATAAACAGAACTATTTTGCAAACTAGTTCATTAGCAATAAAATGTGGACACGCAGTCCTCAATTTACGAACACCGAACTTACATATACTCG